TTTTAGCTTATAACTATACTACCTATAACTTTTTTGAAAAACTCGAAAAAAATAGAGTCTAGACCCTGTACCTGCTACGTACTTATCTTGAATTTAAAAAAAAAAACTGTGACGGTGTAAACGATGGAACGTGAAGATGTATTTACCGGAGTTGGTGCAGCTAATCCGTGAAGGCCAAGAAGTGCATCCAGAAGACATTCAGGTGGGCACTGCACTTCCAAAACACTCACAGAAAATCCATAGAATTTCCTGGATATCGCGAGAGCAACGCGAGAAGTACATGAGCGATAACTTTCTGTACCGTTTCAAAACACAGCTAGAAAAATTATCAACGAGATAGACTGCTTTGATGATAGCCAAATTCGAGAACTAATCATTCTGATTATCCGATTTGTCGAGATCCTTATAACTCTTCCTTTCCCTCATGCCGTCCCTTTGAATCAAGTGGAGAGCGTCCCTTAGCAAATCGGTACGTAGCATTTGGAGATCCTCCACGGCGGCTTCTCCAGGACATTGCACAACAGCTGAGTACCACATCTTTAACTCGGGCAGGAAGTTCCTCCCCGTATCGTAACGAAACCTTATCTCCGCCCGCTCTGCAGCCCTTTGCTCATCTCCAGACGTCTCCGTCGGGTCCTCTCCTCTGCCGGGCAACTCGCTACGTCAAGATTATCTCCCCATGGCAGATTCGAGCACCTGGACGTCGACTAAACAATAACGAAATCTTACGAGAGCGTTGGCATATCTATACGAATCAACCCGGGAGCGTAGCTTCTGAGCAGGGTGGTGACTCGAACGGAACCAGAAAGCGAAAACGTTATCTGTATCGGTAGCCGGAGTCACCTTGTGACCGTGAATCGAAAAATCACGGCACAACACTTACCCATGTACCAGCGTATAAATACATCTAAAATAATTGTGTGTAGTGTATTGCGCTAAGTATTTTATATAAATGTTAAGCAATAAAATGAATTTATGGGAACAATAATAATTGATAACGAAAAGACAGATAAGGGTAGGGATAAGCTCACGAGACTGCTATGACCTTAATTAACGTCCCAGTGGCTCTAATGGTATTTTAGATAAAAATGGACCACGACTGCCACCTCAATTTTTGGAAAGTACGCATTTTAACGGTATTGCGTAGCAGAACTATTGTTAAAACCTATCAGGAAATATAAAACTCTCCTAAAACTCTTATAAAAGCTTATTGTTGAAACATTATTCAAAAATCGAGATGCTACACGGGTGTCAGCTCCAGCATCGCACTTTTTTAAAAGCTCTTAAAAATGTTTCAACAATAGGCTTTTTTAATGGTTCTCGAGGAGTTCTATAGTTCCTGGTAGATTTTAACAATAATTCTGCTACGTAACATCGGTAAAATACCTATTAAGGATACTAGTCGCACCATATGCTTCAGTGCAGGTATGCATAAGGAGCTGGCTTTCAGTGTTGTTTTCAGGTTGTGTTTCAAACAGTTCCGAAATAATTCTCTCTAGTACTCAATGTTGGGACCATAGTTCCACTTGGAACTATTGTTAAATAATGATGGAAGCTAACACCGCATCGCTGCACTCCTTAACACAGGCAGGCATAAGGGGCTGGCTTTTGTCTTAGTAAATCTTATCGAGCTTACACTGTACATTTGAATTTAAGATTACAAAAGAAAAAGATTTAGGGAATATCTGATAACCGGCCTCTTTCTAAGGGTTGCTCTGGGAATCAATTGTAAATTGTGGAGAATCTCTGCCCGCCAGGCTACCCGTTCGTGATCACGTTCAGCTCCGCTACGACGGGATATGCATTATCGACGGAGGCGATGATCACAAAATTCTATTCCCGGACTCGCCGCTACGATTTAGCGCCATGTTTTTGGTATCGCCTAAAACCGTAGCGATACCGTACCCTACTGATCTCTGCCAAAAGCATGGCGTTAAATCGTAGCGGCGATTCTGGGAGTAGGATTTCGTGATCATCGCCTCCGTCGATATCAATGATGTAAGACGTCAGATTGATCGTTCGAACAGTGCCTTTTTTAGAACGAATTTAAAACAAAGTAATTTGTTTTAAAGCAATCCAATTTGAATAAGGGTAAGTTATAAATAAATTAAATTTGACTGATGAATTTGGTTTAGACTGAGCACAGTTTATTTCATTTCACGTTCCAGAATCGAATCTCTTACATCATATTCATACATATCGCCAGGATTTCTGTACAAAATACACAGATAGATTACTATCAACTACTAAGTAAATGGAATGAACACAGATCAAGTTGTAATATTGCTTTAATTCAACCGCTCCGTACATGAAAACTTCAGTATAAGCATTCAATAATACAGTGTTTAAGAAAGATTAACACAACAAACAAATTAAGTTTACATGAATTCCTATGATTCAAATTCTATGATCTTGTACTGTTTTGCAGCAAAATCGTAACATACGAGTGCTTCATGATACGTTATCTCGTCTAAGCTTTCGTTTTTAAAATCAATATGTTTGTAATTCTTGAAGTAACGAAAAACTGAAGCTGTTTCAATATGCTGCTCTTATCCTGCCTGCTTGGTGCAGTTCAAAATTTCCTCACATTAGATATAGAGCGATTGAATTAAGTTCATTCTGAACGTTGTGCCATCTGTGTAGTGACTATCTAACTTAACGTAGCATAGTCACATAATAAAATTGAAAGCGTTTCTTTAATTGTCAGGTGTGAGATGAATCTGTTTTGTTAGTTCCACGTGTACCAGATATTTTTTACGGCTCTACCTTCAGCAGCTCAACGTCGAAGATAAGAACAGCATTTGGTGGAATAGTGTGTCTATGTCAAGGATAATATAGACGTTTGACATCTGTTAAAAACTCAAATTATTATCAAAAAGGCATCACGCCACAATAATTATGACGTATTTTCATATTATCAAATATTAAAGGATATATCCCAGGATGACCTCTGCTACCATAGGCAAAATCTGGTGAACATGTTAGCCTAGCTCGTTCTCCAACACACATTTGAGCGACACCTTGATCCCAACCTTTGATCACTTCTCCTTTACCAATTTTAAATTTGAAGGGAATTCCACGATCCCTACTGGAGTCAAATTTCTTGCCATTATCGAGTGTACCTTTTGTGAGTTCAAAATTTAATTAGAAATTAAGAAAACATGAGATACACTTCTTTTTAAACTAGGTCATTATGTTACTTATTGAAATTATGAAATTTATGACAAGAATACTTAAAAACTGCATTAATTCATAAAATTTCAAAAAAACATGTACCTGTATAATGAACAACAACAGTTTGCCCGGTTTTAGGATAGGTTTGGCCTGTGAATGAAAAATAATGTTAGTACAGGACATAATTTATGCTGTATTCTGATATATTTCACATGCTGCCTATCATTAAACAAGAAAAAAAAGAGCACAGCGCTGATTTATCGTACATAAAACTTGAATTGTAATACATAAATAATCATTTTTATTATTTATATAAAAAAGATAATCAAATACATCATATATGATGGTAATTACTGTAAACATCCGGTTTGAACAAGTGAAATGTCACTCTTATCAAATAATTACATTTGAGAAAAACATTAAGGAAAACACAAATATACAAAGACGGAAGTAATCAATGTCTACGCGCTCAAAAATATCAGAGGTTGAGTTAACGATGTATCCTAGATACTATAGTCTTTTTCTTAGTTTTAATATTCAAGTAAAATTTTTCCGTATTTACATAGCATAATAGTACGTATACTGGACAAATAACAGGAATTTATGCGTGCATTTCGGCCACAGTATTATACGTCGAAGGATGATTTGCAAAGATTGCTAACAGTACACGATGATTAACTTGTATGAAAAATCGATAACGAAAACGTAAAAGAGAAATCGTGGAAAATAACAAGATGCAAATAATTACCGTCCCCAGGCGAAAGAACTTCGACATCCACGCCCATAACTGCGTATTTTCTGCGAAATAAGCAACGATCTCTTGATTATCAAAGTCGCTTATCAAAGACTATGGCTACTTAATAATTCTGAATTAAATATCTTTTTCTTTTTGTCCATATGGCGTCGCCCCTCTCGTGTGAGGCTAATGCCAGTTGAAAAAGTATTGCGAGAAAAAGTCGAAAAATACGGCAGTCTTTACCTCGGAATACGATGCTACCGAAATGCGGTGTGCCGAAAAATGAGGTTCCCTCGGGAAAGAAGTTTCAACTAGAACAACCGCCGCTAGGATCGCTGCGGTGTAATTACTTCCGGTCAAATAAGAAAGATCGATAAGACCACTTCCGTTGCGCGGGTCGCACCGAGTTTCAATATCCCTTTGCCTTTTACAGCATAGTTGAATAAATGAATATTGACCATGTAACCATAACTGCCAGATCTTTATTGTTCGTATTACTCACATATAAAAGCAATAAATATAAATGATAACCATTTAAGTACAGCGCAACGTTTATCTGTTTCATTAAATAATAACCAATAACATCACTAACATCTTGTTATCTAAATATTAGAGTTCCTTTATATACAATTAAAATATTATCAAGTAAGTTGTCCTTTCACGAATCTCAAGAAAATGAGAAAACTCGTTGATGTAATGGAATGTCAAGTATATAGTAATCTCCTAATATAGCTGTGAAAATATTAAAAACTAAGTAGGGACCATAAGATGCTCCTGTAGAATTGATATCTTATATATCTATATAATAATATAATATCATATAAAGTATGCTGTAAAGTAATAGAAATATAATACGATGTAGAGTCGCATATTGAAACGTAGAATATGTTTCGCAGTCGAGATGTTTAAAAATTATGCAAGCACCACACTGAGTAAAATACTTTCAGAGCATGATTTGTGAACACCTTGTTTTATGACATTACTGCATCAGGGTACTTCATCCGTATATTAACTATTTTCTTGCATTACTGAATTGCTATAATTTCATACATATTGCACAGATTATTACAATTGATGTTGTCTTTTACTTGGCGGTTGGTAAACTCTTTCAAACAATGCTCGTGTGATACTTCCTGGTACATTCTGATGCTCATTTATGAGCTCTTCAAGTGCTGTTGCAACCTGCAAGAATTGATTATTTAATATTTTTTTTTATAATAGATTACCATTGTACGTGTTGCTATACCTTTGTTCTAAGCTCTTCTGGTGTTAAATTACCATCATATGGAATTGGGTTACCAACATAAGTCGTAAGCTTTACCGGAAAGCCACCATAGATTGGTACAAAAGGAAATCTTGTTGCGGCATATAAACGTAACCAGAACCTTCTACCCCAACTTATTGTTCTAAATGCTTCTCTGATATTTTTTGTAAATATCGGAATAATACTCTGATAGAAAAAATATAGATATACTACAAATCATGGTTGAGGATAATAATAGGTACATGATACATGAACGTTTTTGTTACGTACAACTTTAGCATCCAATGCAACTTTTGCAAATCCTAATCTCTTCTTCCACATAAGTCGATAGTAAGAATCTCCAAATTGGGCTTCATATACACCACCTGGTGATATTGCAAGCATATTTCCTTCTTTTAAAATGGCAGAACAAGTTTGAACGGTACCAGGAATAACTTTGAGAGCATCTGATATGATGGACCAACCAGGAACTTTGAAAAGAAAACGGTCTGCAACTGTATGGATTAACTTGGAATTGGATAGGAATACTTTTGATATAAAATAATATAGGTCTGTTGGAATAGCTCCATGATAATAGACAAATAAGACTGATTCGTTCTCTGGTATTTTCTCTAGGCCAACTACTTCGTACCCTGTTAAAAAGCAGAATGGTAATTATGATATGAATTCATTACGGATTAGAAATATTTTTATAACATACTTGCTATACTAATAATTTTCTATTTTCAATTGCGTACCATGCCATATCCAACCATGAGCATCCCAAACTGCAGCAACCACACTACGTGAAGCATTTCTCCAATCTAATTCATATGCATGTCTTAATCTAGCTCTGTGAATGAAATTCATTTAATTTAAAAAATTGAATGTACAATTTGCAACAGTTCGAAGTTTATAGAAACTTATTATACATACTAAAAATAAAGTATTCTATAAATAAATTGTTACAGACCTATGTAATTTGTAGACATATAATATTAAGACAGTGACATAGAGAAGCACCGCAATGATTAAGGGAAGTAAAAATGTTATAAGTAATGGCAGTAAAAGCCATGTTAGCCAAAGTGTAAAGTCCACGTCGATGTAATCAACTGCAAGAAAAATATGTATATTTTATTAATTACACCCATATCTATGAATCGATTATGTCATTGAAGAGATTAAAAATAAGAATGAAAATAAGATGAATACATGCAATGAAAGTAAGAAATGTAACTATAAGATTACATTACACACATTACGATTTCAAGAATTGTATTTCTTTTTTTTTATTACTGATCATAGTAAATAAGGTGTTTAATATTGGAACTTTCTTTTTCATGTATCAAGTAATATAACGGTAAACGTCAATTCTGACATTTGCAGAGTTAAGGTTACATTAAAATTAAAAATACGATAGTTGTAAAATATAAAAAATAATCATTTATTACCTATCGTATATTCTACGATTTGCCAAATACTTGAGAGTATGGAAAACATAATGATTTTTAAAAAATTATACAGAATAAAGACAAATATCAGAATAAAGATTACTATGCTTTATTTGGCACACACATGTTGACGGTTAAAAATTTAGGTGGTGTATCTTGATGTGTTTATGATAATAGCACTTTTAAGTTATCAATCATCTAAATTTCAAATATTATGTTTTCCTTAATAAATTGACCTTTAATAAATTATTCTGTAACCGGACGGTTTCAAAATAAATCAGTGATGTCAGTTCGTTGTATTAACATCTTTAATTGACATGCGTTAGGTAAATTTAATACAAAATAGTCTATACACAAGTGGAAATAGCTCTATGTAAATTATTATATTTTATTTTCTGCACGTTTATACGTATGTTCATAGAAGAAACACATTTTATTTTAATATTATTTCGTCATCTTTATTGACATCGTAACTTAACGTATTTAGCATCAAGATAATATTATCTGAACGAGTAGATAGGTATGTGGCTCTACTGTTAACGCAGCCAATTTCAGTGAGGGTCTTCGTTTCGCAACGAAAATTGACCCTCGAGAAACTTTAGTTTTATTAATCTGAAGGTATTCATTTTCACAGCCATGAGAATTTTTATATATCCGATAGTGTTCACCGTTGATTTCAAGTAATATTTGTGTAAATCCATCGAAGAAACAAAGAAAAATTAGTGTTCTGGGTGTACGTGCAGTACTTGCTGTTAATCAAGTCAGCAGTTTCAACTTCTGAGGCACATGACGAGCATACTGGATATTCACCTGAATTCCTACTTTTTTTGTCAACCTTTATGGACCAGATGAAGGTAATTGCTAGAATAATAAACATTTTTGAATGTCTTTCTACAAAATCAATGAGAGGTCCTTTTGTGGATGTTTGAAAACCACGTAATCGACTGGAATGCGCGCAGCCTCCATGCTTGGCTTTGTTTATTGTTGTTATCGTAATAAAAATTTTCATTATTCATTGTCATTTATTGACGGCTTTTCCTTAGCATTCGTTACTTTTTTTTATATTTCCAATGTTTATTCTTAATTCTTAGTTTCATACAGAAAAACTGTTTTACAGTACAAGCGAATACGGTAATATGGGCGGTGCTCGTTTGTTTTTATTTGACAAGACACCTAACAAAAATGTATTCCAAACAATTTGAAGTATTTTTTGTTTATTCTGACTGTTAATGTAAAGTATCATTTTATTGTGTGATAACTTGGACCTCCTAAACTTTTGAAGCAAGTCTATCAAGTCAGAAAACGAATTGGAAAATAATAATTATTCTGTGATTTTTTGACCTATGATTATTTTATGTTTATGGTGTTTTATTTTTAAATTAATAGTAATGATTTTATCTTAGATTGAAATACTGTGATACATACTGTGTGCAATCTGCCTTGCTTGATATATATTTGGTGAAATTTAAGTTTATATATATTCTCTTATTATTAAAAGCATGTTCACAATAGTACTTGCATGTATTTTTCACTAAATGTTCAACACGAATCAGCTAGCATGAAAATTGCATTTACTTTTTAAAGTATTATTTCTGTGTTGTATTTCAACAAATGAAAGAAATTATTTGTTATAATTCACTTTATTCTAATATAGAATTTTATCAATTCCACCTTAGATAATGTCAGATGATGATGCAACATTGGATTCAATGGATACAGAGGAGGATATTTTCAGCCCTCGCAGTCGCAGGCTTAGCGCGACTGTTAGGAGGGATAAGAGCCTACGTACTTTACGATCTCACTCAGTCGTCGGAGCTCATATTGATAGAAATAATTTGAGTGTTCGCCGTAGTACTCGCAACAGAATGCAAACCTATGACAACCTAAACACTAGTTGGATTTTAGGTACAGGTACAATAGTGGATTGCTAAGGAAGAACATTTCAGTATTCTGCACATTTACATTTTGTATTACAGGTACACAAACGTTAAAAGGCTATCCTATGTTTCAACAACATGGGTCTTCTTCGGATAAAGAAATTGGAGATGAAGTGACTGATAGAAAGCGTGATCTCAAAGATCGTATGCCCTTAAAGTCCCGTGAAAATCACCCTCCTAATAAGGGTCCTACTAGACATATCAGGGAGAGAGCCGAACATACTCGACAAGGAAGTCGAGAACTCAGAGACAGACCTGATCGCGATAGAGACGTTAGAGAACGACCTGACCGAGATCGGACAGAACATGATAGAAACTTCAGGGAATTGAAAGAAAGGCAGGAACAGGAAATCACTGAAAGGGAAATTAAAGAAAAAGTTGAGACGAGAAGCAAATCTGACATCAGACCGACGACAAATGAAGAGAAAGATCCTAGGTAGGACTGTAAAATGAGAAATCATAATTTTGCATTTACATCAAAATAACCATTTTTATCGGTAATAGGAGGAGAAAGTCCGATAGCCCATCTAGACTCAGAGAAGGTCCTGTAACTAGACATTCTGGGAATAACTTAGAAAAAGATGTTAAACCTAAACCTGATCAGGAGCAAACTGATGGAGATAGTTCACAAGGAAGTGAAAAACCGGACAATGATAATAATGATAACACAGATAACGAAGATGTTAGTAATTGACAAATGATTATACAAATCTTTGTAATTATGTGTCTTATATTTCACTTCAACTTTGTTTTATTATGCATAACTTGTTGTAACACATATTGAACATCTTGCATCGAATTTCCTTTTAATTATTTATACTAATCAGTGAATATTTATTTTCTATAGGGATACGAGGATATGTACACTAGAATTAAGAGAACCAGAAGGGCTGCACAGCGTCAATTACCAAGAGGTAAGTAATTTGGTATAACTCTTCATACAAGTTGTTATCAAACTTATAAATAGGCATAGCACAGAATGACATTTTTAATTACACAATCATATTTCTCTTATAAGTGGTGGGAGACAGTGACATGAGCGAATCATCAGATTCACCTGGACCACGAAAATACAGTTTACGCCAAAAGAAGCCAGCAGTAGATAGGTTCCAAGCAAATGTAGAGCCTGTTAGGCGATCAATTAGAGTGCTTAGAAGTGTTCTTAGCAATTCAATGAGAAGACGTAAACATAGGAGTAAGAGTACAAGTTCTAGCGACTCGAGTGATTCTGAGCCACAACGTTACGACAAAAAGAAAGGAAAGAAAGCACGGTGAGCTTTGAAACTCAAACGGTAGATACTGATTCTTTCTTCAGAAATTACTCATTCTATTCGTCTTGTGTACCGACAGGCAATCCGCAATACCGCAGGGAGGTCCACCGGATCGTAAGGCTGACATAAACCCAATAACATTGGACACAAATATAAGATTTAACGATGTTGGCGGTTTGGAATCGCATATTCATTGTCTAAAAGAAATGGTTGTATTTCCCATGATGTATCCAGATGTTTTTGATAGATTCCACGTAACGCCACCAAAGGGTGTACTATTTCATGGGCCACCTGGTAAGAAACTACAGCAAAGAAAAATACAATTTCAACAGTTCTTTTACTACTAAATCGTTATAGGGACCGGTAAAACATTGATTGCTAAAGCATTAGCCAATGAATGTAGTCAGGGTAGCAGAAAAGTATCTTTCTTCATGCGAAAGGGTGCAGATTGTTTATCCAAATGGGTCGGAGAATCAGAACGTCAATTGAGATTACTTTTCGAACAAGCACAACAGATGAAACCGTCCATCATATTTTTTGATGAAATCGACGGTCTTGCTCCAGTAAGAAGCACTAAACAGGATCAGATACATGCTAGCATTGTGTCTACGTTGTTAGCTCTTATGGATGGTTTGAGTGATCGTGGCGAGGTAATTGAAAGAACGTCTGTTAGAAGTGGTAATACTTTAATTTTTATCGTAAACGATCTGTGCTTTATATACGACAGGTTATTATCATCGGAGCTACCAATCGTATAGATGCTATTGATCCAGCACTGCGAAGACCTGGACGTTTTGATCGTGAATTATTTTTCCCATTACCTGCCATGAAAGAGAGACTAGAGATTTTAAAGATACACGTTAGCAAATGGAAAAACGCACCGTCAAATCAATTACTAGAAGCACTAGCTGAAAAAGCTATTGGATATTGTGGTTCGGATTTGAGGGCACTGTGCACTGAAGCTGTTTTACAAGGACTGAGAAGAACTTATCCACAAATATATATGACTAGTAATCGATTACTTTTGGATCCAGAGCGTGTAGAAGTATGTTCATTATGAAAATCGATAGATGGCCTACAAGACAAATGCAATGCGTGCACAAGATTGACTATCACTATTTATGCGTGTTGTCGCAGGTAAAGAAACGAGATTTCATGCAGGCAAGTTCTCGACTTGTACCATCGTCGCATAGAGTAACACCATGTGCGGGAAGAAAGTTACAGCCATTCTTGGAACCCCTTCTAGGACCTGCATTAGAGGAAATTATAGGTGCAGTCAAGGGAACCTTTCCTCAAGGTGTTAATCCCGCAATGGCAAAGTAACGTAGCTGCTTACGAAATAATTGGAATCGTAATAAGTACTCGGCAGATAATTAATAGCCTTGCATATTTTCAGAATCAAGATTGCAAAAGGTATTCATCGACCTCGATTACTCGTTTCTGGTGGCAATATGGCACAAGGTCAGGGTCCTCATTTAGCACCTGCATTACTCTATCGTATGGAGCATTTGCCTGTTCAAACATTAGACGTGAGTACGTTGTTTGCTGAAAGCGCAAGGTCTCCCGAAGAAACTTGTGTGCAGGTAAATTGACCAAAGTCGTTTTAATTTTTATGTGATTCATGCAATAACTGTACCATGACCTTTAATGTATTTAGGTATTTAATGAAGCTAGTAGAAATATTCCGTCCATTATTTATATTCCATCGATTGATCAATGGTGGCCACTAGTTCCGGAAACCGTAAAAGCGGTATTCCTGTGCCGCATCGCTGCTCTTGATCCAACTCTACCAATTCTCTTACTTGCAACGAGCGACACAATGTATCAGGACTTGCCCATCCAATTGAGAAATCTCTTTAGTGAATTTCGTGGGGAGGTATATTCTATGAAAAACCCAAGCGAGGAACAAAGAGCCAAATTCTTCAAGCCTATCTTCATGACCCAGAGTTTGAAACCACCACAGGTCAAGGATACCGTGGTGGAAGTTCTACCAGAGCTACCACTAGCGCCGTGTCTTATGCCAAAGAAATTAACGGTCGAGGAGAAAAAGGTCTTATACGAAAAAGAGGAAGTATCCTTGAGGGAATTACGAATCTTCTTAAGAGAAATTTGTGCGAAACTCGCCAGAAATAGACAGTAAGCATTCACATTGTCATATAACCAATCTATCGGCATTCATCTTATCAATATTCTATGGAATCATTATTATCGATACAGATTCTTCATGTTCACCAAACCCGTAGACACGGAAGAAGTGCCAGATTATAATATGATCATCAAGCAGCCCATGGATCTTGAAACGATGATGACTAAAATCGATATGCACTGCTACTTGTCAGCTCGCGAATTTTTGGATGATATTGATCTCATCTGCAGAAATGCATTGGAATACAATCCAGACAGGTCAGTACAATATGAAGATCATTGATTATTGATTACCTCCTGAACAAGAAAGTTGTATGTGGATGACATCGTTGGTCCTGTCGATCACTAAATTGACGTTGTTAATAGCTGAATACATTGATTATAACTTTTGATTTCTTTCTATGAAAAGATATTTCTTATGAATTTCACTCTGAAAAAATATATCATAAAAGCAATTAACAGCGTTAAAGCGTCACATCATCAGATCACAAGCTCATACTGACGTTCATGTTGTGTGTTTTCATGTCAGCTTGCGCGATAGGCCATCCCTTGGAATATTGAAGAGGTAGTTCAGTCTTTCCTGTTTATCCATTGCTGTTGTTGCTCCGTAGATATAGTGGTTTTCAATTTACGCCACCTAGTTAATTGCAAGGTTCGCCATCTACCGTGCAAGCGTTAAAAAAAAATTACAAAGTTAATTTCGTACGTCAGCGTTCAAACATCTATGACATAAGAATCCGTTTAATCCCAAAATTCAATAACGAATTTAAAATCGTATTGATTTATCGCATACCCGATAGCCCAGTTAGTCCTCGTAGTATTCTAACTAATGTATTGTATACTTTCAAGAACCAAACACTTGCGTTTCACGCTTATTGAAAAAATAATAAAGAAAATAAGCTGTGCAACGGCAATGTCAGTTGTAAATCAAATGTTTGACCTATTATGCCAATTCGATTGGCATTCGCATTATAAGTGGACACTACGATTCCCGCATTATTGAAGACCACTCTCATTAGTTATGTTCGCTTCGTAAATAATGTCCTTTTTTTATCGTCTTATATTGTGAATATAATATTCCTTGGTGTTACACTGACAGGGATCCAGCAGACAAACTGATAAGACATCGTGCCTGCTCTCTTCGTGATAACGCTTACGCCTTGATAAAAGCCGAATTGGATTCAGACTTCGAGGACAAGTGTAGAGAAATTTCAAAAAATCGTAAAGTTATGGAAGACGATGACGTACAACAGGGTGTAGAATTAAAGAACGGTAAAACTGTTTTATCAACTATAAATGAGAAGATGGAGAAAAAAGACACGCCCACTTCTGCCGGTACTCTTGTAGTAAATGGAAAGAAATTCTCAAATTCACGAAAGCGTAGAATACCTGCATGGGCCAGGGGTTACGTAAAGAAAGTTCATAAAAAGAAAAAAATAGCTTTCGACGATAACGTTATCGAGGTAAGAAGTAAATCGCGTCTAAATAGCGAGACATCCGGTGGTATAGACCTGGAGAAGTTTCAAGAATTCGAAACTGAAGCCAATAACGTACTCAATGGTCACGTTGCTCTCTATGAGAACAGTGATTCGGATAATGATTCGCAAAATGAAATTTTAAAGGAGACACAAGGCTCTCACAACAATACTGCCATGGAAGATAAACGTGTCTACGAGTGCGAGAAAATGGATGTAGCCAGTACAGAGGGTGATAAAGTTGACAATGATAAAAGCGGATCGAACTCCTCCTCAAGGCGAGAGAGTATGGACGAGTTGTCCTTTGCCATCGAGAGTGATTCTAGTCCAACCAAGTGCTTAGAGAGTGAGAAAGTGATAATTGATAAAAATGAGCTTGAAAGTGCTTGGCAACATACTGTCGAAGCGACGAAGAATTTTCCTGTGGAAGTTCTGTGCGATATTTATGTGCAGTTGAGCCGATGTGTTGGCAGACATGCACATAATTATGATCGAAAATCACTGCCAAAGGTAAACGCATTTGGCATACTCTTATATGAAACTATTGAAATTTATCTAAGGAAAGAGTACGCCTGTACTCGTATCTCTTTGTCATTATTTTATCATGACAATTTTGTTGAACTTTTTATACAGGATTTGCTCAAGGAACTGGAAAGGTTTGAAGAGTATAGGACCACGGCGTTTGAGGAAACTCTCCAGGATATTGAACAATCCAACGTCGGATAAGGTGTGTCGGATATCTTTAAAACATATTAATAAATTGTCTTTTCTTCCCTACGCGAAATCCAAATTTCGAATTTAAATAAGTTATTTGAATTGTAATTAACTTTCGATTACAATCTTAGAGACCTTGTTTAGTTAAATTGTTCACGATGAGAATGAAAATTGCCTTTTTAAAGAATATTAGTGAACTAGGTTTGTTCGGATACCTATATGCGTGTCCTTAAAGAAAATGTAAGGTGTGTAAGCATCGAGGTTATGCAGTCTCCTGACTTACTGGTTGCATCTTGTATTTTCTATTATCCTAATATCAGTGTCGCTTATTGGGTATCGTATAAAAAGATTTATTCGCTGTAAGTAAGTTTTTGTTTACATCATTGGCCAATTTTATTCATTATGGCACTTTTTTTTTTCTTTTTGAAGACTACGTTCATCAAAATGTGCTCGGGTGCTGCCATTTGATGATTATTATTTTAGTATATCGCGTACTTAATGATTTTTTTTTTTTTAATAACAAACCTTCAAAAGCGTGTCATTAACTCTTTCAGTTTGGGACACTGCGACCTAGGACTGCAATCAATTGAAAAAGTTCCTTAATTAATCAATATCCTTGCACCACATTGTCCTATTCGTATAACAATTATCCAAGTATTAGTCACCTTCATGTACTAACAACTCCGACTTCTAAACTTCAATTAATCTAATAAATAAATAAACAAATCCCACTCTGAAAGTGTTAAGTACAAAGTGTATGTTATCTGCAAGGTATACGTTGCAATTAATCAAAATTTGTACAATAGATGTTTAAGATGATGCAAGTATGATTAATTGCATATTACACCGGCAGCAGTCGCATCCTGATACGACAATTATATGTAGTTAAGTAAATATGTTGTAAATATAATTATATGCAATTTTGATTCAATCTAAGTAGCTGTAAAGTTTTTCACGATAAGAGCAAGAAAAATGCAACTGGCAACACGACAGGATTGGGATGAGAAGGAAAAATAGACCAGCCAGACAGATATCGCATCCATCGGGAAACTCAAATTTTGTCATTTACCGTAACCAAAGTTATACGTTATAAGTGTTGGGCCTATAATGCATAAGAAACATGACGCCTGAATGATATGACAGATTATTATGAAATACCTCGGTAACGCTCGATGAGCATTAGCGATTAACGATTAAGATAAACGTTAAACTCATTTTATATTGGTTGTAGTCATTAAAATTGTAATCATAAAGAGGTTAAGTTACCAATATGGGTTGTCTTTGTTAAAAGTTTATGATCTGATTTTCTAATGTGTTGCTAATAATATTGTTCTCCGTATTCGCGACTTTCGTTTTCTTTGAATTAAACAATTAGCAATTACTGTAAGTGAAAGTCGCATGGGATTTGTCGAAGAATCTTATTATAAGTTCAGCATTGAGGAACCTTAGTGAGGATTAATATTTGACATAATTGTCACATAGCCTTATTATATAATTAATTCTTTAAATGGACATTTCTCTATATATAAATACGTTTAGATAATTCTGTTTATTAAGCAGGGTTCTATGGCATAATATTATTTATATATAAATACATAAATAGTACTTGTAGATAATATCCAGTGGAAAAATGTTTTTCATCATTCCAAGAATGGGGGATATGTTGTATTAGCGATGAATCAAATTAATTTGTCAAAATATCATTGAATTTGGGCATTCGTTCAGAATCATATTATCGTTTGAAAATCAATAATTGAAGACTGAGTAGTTCGAACTTCTATAATTATTTATCATCTATCATATCCTTTGGTCTTCTCGGTTAATCTAATGTTTTAATAATTAAATGTCCTGGAGTGGTCTAAGCATTTTTCCATAGTAACAATATCAAATATGAAAAAAAACCTATTATTTATTTTTTCGACGTTAGCCTTTCGTAATGACATATTTTTATATACATATTATTTACAAGCGTGGCATAGAAATTACTACATGTACAAATTACAATTTCGTAAATTCGCTGCTTGCAAATTTGTTTGATCGAATTAGAAGTGTTTCTTTTAATACAGTCAAAGTTCAGACAGTCGTGTTTTCCTTGATCAGATGTATCAACTTTCTTGTAACTTAAAGCTAATTATAAAAAAAAATTATAACTATACACAATGATAACATTGTTCGGATTATAAACGCTTTATAATCATCTAGCATGTGGAAACAACCTAAGGATTGTATACAGATATCAACAAAAAAAAAACAAGGAAACTTTCACAGTGTTAATTCAAAATTAAATCTTAGTGTAATGTGAATGAAAAGTTGGATCTTTGCTATGTGCGTATGATCGATTTGAATTAAATTTTCGACGAAACTCATTTCGTTTAGGTCAACGATGATCGAGTCCCGGATATAGGAATCTTAGTTGAATAATTCGGGCATAAAATTTAACTGTTAGTAATTGTAATTGATATCGGCCATTACTGTTCTGACTGTTAGTCATTCGTACTGAGAACACGATTGCGTGACTTAGTAAGTAATGTTTAGGAAAATGGGAAGTGTGTATATCCTTAAGAAAATTGGCGCCATCATGAAAGATTTATGAAAATTAAAAATACAATAAGTTGTCTATCTGGACGTTGGATAAGAAGAAAACTCTTTGATGGGGGGTTTCTATTATAATTTAATTGAAATACACCACGAGTTAGCATCGAGTGATATCACTATTATCTGCCAAAGAGATTGACTGCGTACAGCAATTTGTGAAAATTTCTCACTTTGTGTGACCCGTCGAAAAACTAACAGCACCGAGAATATATGATTTTGCAAACATATACAATCTTTGCTACATGTAGCCTCAAAGATAAACGTCTAACCGATTTCAATATGAAAATTGTAAAATGACATTCGCTTTTGTCAGTATCTTTCCAAAGTAGTTAATAATAAACACAAATAACATTCCATTATATGAGAATCGCCATATTACTATGCTTGGAGAATGATAATTTTCGGTGCTGTTTATACAACAAAAAATATTGTTTTTGTAATACCATAATTATTGCGTATGGATCGCAGTTGTAAATGGGTTATACTGGTTAAGTCATGGGCTTCCAGTGGACACTGCCGACTTAAATTAATAACTTGATTTATTTCTTCGTTTCCATACAAACGTCAAAAATTGCGAGACTGTTAAGAATACTTGATAACTATAGTATCCAAATTGCTTATATTATTCATTGGAGTTTATATAACTATTCATTAATCTTGGAACTAGTAAAGAAATTTTTATGTATTTGATTTATTGAATAGTAGAGGGGGAGCCTTAAGCCTACTTAAGAATACACGATGGTATTTGTAAAAGTTGTAAAAGACACAGAAATCAGAAGAAGTGCAAGCAACGAGGGAGGGGGGCGGGAGAGACAGAGAATGAGAAAGACAGAAAGAAAGAAAGAGCATACACTGCCTTATTTATTTTACAAAATAAGTACACTTCATTGTCATACACCGTAGTGAAATAAACTACAATTTCATAATTTACGTGTGGATAATCTTTTTGTTGGACCTTTTTATCGTAATAGCTAGGATTATTTATAAAATTTATAAGTACGCAGTATCTTTCAGTTGAAAAGGATGTCGGCGAAAGGAAAAGTGGAATAAACGATATCTCTGACGTATAGAGGACATCTGTGCGTTCATGTGTTTTAATTTTTTTTTTTCATTCGATGAAAAAAAAGTCTCGATCAACGAAATGACAGAAACATGAAATTATATCGTAAAGACATCTAATTCATATAATATCTTGGATAAATTTTAGTGAGAATTTTATTCTTCCTTTTTTTGATCATAATGCGTGCTTAAGATATCTTTGGTATCGCACGCGTGGAACGATGGTCACACCTTCAACAGTATCGGTCCTCGTACTCTGAAAAAGGATTTAAATCTGTATTGATTTAAAAAATACATATACGGTCCATCGTAGTAAAAATGTCCACGGTAAGGGATTTCTCGTGTATCGGAGGATTAGAAAAGCACATAAGGATCGTGAAGGAGATGGTATTGTTTCCATTGATGTATGGCGACGTCTACGCAAAGTTTCACCTACAACCTCCACGTGGTTTGCTCTTCTACGGTCCTCCTGGTAAATTTGCGTATATAAATTCTTTAGAACTTTTTATTCTATAAATATTCCAGCACTGTTCGACAAAAACAAACTTGCGTACTATTGACTTTGTATATGAATTTTGTATTACTTAAACAGGAACCGGAAAGACACTGGTAGCAAGTGCATTGGCATCTGAGTGCAGTAATTCTGAGCGAAAAGTCTCATTCATATCAAGAAAAGGTTCTGACTGTCTGAGCAAGTGGGTTGGCGAGAGTGAACAAAAATTGCATAAAATTTTTCAAATGGTTCGGAATCGGAAATTTTTAAATAACCACGAGAAATTATAGGCAGGATTGTTTACAGGCACAACAAACTAAACCGTGTATTATATTCTTTGACGAAGTGGATGGCCTGGCACCGGTCAGATCGAATCGTCAGGATTTCGTACACGCCAGTGTTGTTTCTACTCTATTGGCTTTAATGGATGGATTGGATAAGAATTCTGAAGTCATTGTCATTGGTGCTACAAACAGATTGGACGCGATAGATCCAGCCCTTAGAAGACCTGGTAGATTCGATAGAGAATTGTATTTCCCTTTGCCATGTTACTCGGCAAGAAAGGATATCCTTACTGTATGTGACAATTTAAAAGATACAAATTCGTCATAACATACCTTGTGGAGTATAGAATAAGCTTAATAATTATAACCGTAGGTGCACGTGAAGAGCTGGAAACAAAAGCCAGCACAAAAGTTCTTGTCGTATTTAGCATCCAGGACTGTTGGATTTTGTGGTAGCGATCTTCAAGCTCTGTGTACCGAAGCTGTAATGTGTTGCGTGAGACGAAATTATCCTCAGATATACACATCCAAGTCGAAGCACAACATAAGCGAGAGATTTCTTAAAGTTAGTAGTTGAATTTTTGAAAAAAAAAACTGTCGCGATAAACGCACCAAAAATATGTTTAGGTTGAGAAGCAAGATTTCTTAAAGGCACAACAAAATATTGTTCCCGCGTCTCATCGTGTCGCGGTCACTCCTGTCAAATGTCTTACACCAAATATACAACCGTTGCTTCAAGGCTGCTTGACAAGTGTTTTGTCAAAGTTACAAAGTCTTTGCCCACTAGGAATGTTAACGTCTGACAACATGTAGGAACGACTGTTGTTGTAATATCTGTACTGTTGTTAATTCAGGATGCTTTCAGCGTTGGCAAAGCTACGTCGAGGTCACAAAATTGTCCGAGAATTCTGCTATGTGGGAATGATGATTGCCACACACGACACTTGGGTCCTGCCTTACTTCATTCCCTGGAACATTTGCCGTTACACATTTTGGATGTAACAACGTTGTTTGAGGAAACGGGAAAAGCTGCCGAGGAGGCTATTATACAAGTGAACATTAAAGTTTAATCATTATTATTACAGCAAGTTTTGGAAATGGGTGGCGATTGACATAACCTTACAATTTGCAGAAAGTAAAAGGTGCTAGACATACTCTGCCATCCCTGCTATATGTTCCTGATATTTTATCCTGGTGGGAACTCGTGGATGAAACTGCGCGAGTTGTCTTTACGTCATTAATGAAAGGACTTGATCGGTCTATAAATATACTAGTTATAACCACTGCTAATTGTAATTTCGTTGATCTACCGGCAGACGTAAGTTACCTTTCTAGTGAGATATAGTAAAGCTCAGTCTTGATTAATAATAACGTTGATACGCGTAAAATAGGTTAAATCACTGTACGATGAGTATCATGGTGAAGTAATCAAGATACAGTCGCCCAATTTGTTGGAACGTCAAGATTTCTTCAAACAAGTATTACTTAAAGCCAATTGCAGCGAGGAAAATGTATCCAACAAGTCTTCTTACGGTGGGTCTAAGAATGTTGCAAGTGTATTTAGAGTAAAGAAAAACTTACTTTCCGCCTACAGCCGATATTGTGATGATTCCAAGGAAACAAAAGAGCGAAGGATCCGGTAGGAAGTCAAAAATAAACAATCAGAATATTGAACCGCATAGTGTGACCGCCTTAGGTAAATAATCGGGTTATAAAATATTTTAAACAAATTTTATCTCTATATATTTAATATTATATCAATTAATGGAATATCAGACACCATGGAAATAATGTCACCCTGGACCATAAAAACGGAACGACGAGCACGTACGAAGATCAGTGCCGTCCGATCCTGTCAATTAAACACATCTTCGAAATCGAGTAAACACATATCTTAACTATATCTATTAAATTGACAGTAAAAATAACAGAAATAATCTTCAGGAGTAAATGGCAAGAGAGAACAGAGCACGTCGGGCGACGGCCCAACCTCAAAACGTCAAAAAGTGTTACCTGGTGGTAATGCCGCTAGGGGCGGTGCTAACAGTGAGAAACTCACAGAGCTTCAAATACAAGATCTACTCCAGCAATTCGTTAACCTGACGGAAGGTTGGACGATTCAACAGCTGGAGTCTCTGTTTGCAGTGCTCGAGCAGACAGTAGAAAAAAACGAAGAGAACATTTATCAGGCAATGAGAAAGAGCCTTTTGGATTTTCCGGATTCACAGAATTTTGCAACATCCATAAAACAAGAGAAGAAGTGACTTTCGTATGGCCAATGAAATCAGTGATCTCGTACGAACTAATATCTGTGCGGTTTCGGTTCAGAAATTTGAAAATTGCCTTTAGTTCGCCGAACTACTGATGCGGGACTTTAATTCAAACGGTTTTATTACGCACATCGATCGTGTTCAGTATTATGAATCTTGTCATACGTATCTAATACATTAAACTAGTTAGTTACAGTCGTAAAAACTACTTTTTTATTTCGGAGCTATGTATCCGACTGTATGTCGAGTCTCTGAAAAAGTTGTAATGGTCCTGTTTGTTTAAATGTACAATAAGGTATAACAAAAGTTTGTGTAAAATTACTTTTTCGACACTTGTTATTGCCTTGCTTTCAGAAGCCGTTACGATATGCTAAAGCCATTGGATTCATCGTAAAGACATGTGTTGGAAAAAGAATTGACACGCTTATAGCAGACAACGTACAATAGAGGTGAAACGCCTTCGACTACCAAACTTGGAATCTCGTAGGTTTTATGTGATATTTTAGAGGCGTCAAAGGAACTACAAAAATCATGAGTTAACCAGAACTTTGTGAGCACCTATTAGACATACACGATTCCAATTCGCGAGCATTGAATGACTGTGTTTTATTATTTGAATAATATGAGTCACTGTTAGCTATGGAGATCTTTAAAAAAATTTATTTTTATTAGACTTCATTCCTTTATAAGTTTTTAAAATTGACTTAGAAAACTTTGACGCGTGTCTCGTGGTTTGGTTAATTATCAAGATCGTTACGCGAAATAAAATATCTCATCGTGAATCATATTCTCTATTAGAAAAAATTCCTAAAGAACATTTTATTTATCGGTACTATCTGTCGCCAGTTATTAGGGATACCGTCGAGGAACCAATAAGTTTCTACCTTAAATGGAAATACGGTAAGAAACCAATATGAAATATGATAATTGGTGATATTCGAATATAGACATTTTTCTAGTCTTTTAAGGCTATACAAGTTTCGGCAGAGTCTTTTTCAACGAATAACACTGATATGGTAAACCCATTAAAGTTACATACCGCCTCGATTTAATATCCCTGACGGATGTTTCGTTACTAATATAGAAACGGAATAAACAGTTGTGGCTAGAAAAAAATTTGAAATTTATAAATTAATAATGACAGATCTCACCCGGGCAATTTTTAATTTTCACCCTATTTCGATAATTACACCATACTCTCTCTACAGTACAGTACGGTACCCGGTAAAACTTGCCGAATCTCAAAAGTTCATCTCACATTGGTAGGTTCTGGATCTTCGACCTCATATACTTAATACTCAAAAGCATCTCATTCATCTTCCGGTTAGCCAAACAACCAGTTACCAGTCCCGGGTTCACCGACGTGTTTGACACCGGTACTTGTTTGGTACCCAGTCACGTTCGTTAAGATTAAGAACGTCGAAAAAAAAAAATTGTTACACGCTGGTCCTTACGAATTTTTCATTCCGCCTGTTCCTCGTCGGGGATCAGCGTTCGTGCCGGGAGACGATCTCTCTCGCATGCTGGACGACGTAAAGTGAGATTGAATCTCCAGAGGTAGAGTAAGCCGCGGTTCTCGGCTCTTGAAGCTTATCAGTTCGCGCCGGGCAGCCGGGCAATGCGCTGCGTGTCTTCGGAGAACCGCGTTACAAGAATAACGAGTGTTCCGGGCAAATAAGATCGGCAACTCGGAGTAATTATTGGCCAAGATCATTTCGGCCATTTCTTCTTGTGTTGGATGATTTTCATTCAAGACCTTCGCAATCGATCTATCGTCCATTTTCGTTTGCGTGAAGAAATTGGCGCACGTGAGTAGTCTAATTTTTTAATAATTTATATATGTAGGTATATTCCTCAATTAAGAGAAACACAAACCGATGACTTACAAAACTTTTTTACATGATCCGAATACTTTTGCTTCACTGTTATTTTAATTTTTTAAGGACGTCTTACCGATAGTTTTTAATCATTCGGTCGTACACTCCTTTTTCAGGTACATGGAATGTACTCTGGGGGTAGTTAGCTACTACCTATATGAAAAGGGCAAACATTAATTTTGCCCGAAGCAGATTAGGCACATTTTTACTCGATGCTCGACGCAAATTGCATGAGAGTAGACTTGACATACGAATATGGTTTTTCAGTTTGCATTCAGTAGGCAAAAGCGGCATTGCATTTTAGTCCTCGTGATGGGACACCAAAATGCAGTATTTCATGAATATCGAGTCCCAAAGACTCAAAACGACTTGTACCTGCCAAATATAAAAAAAAAAACCCAAGTTCTTTCGCATTGCACAGTACAAGACGTTCTCATTGATTTCAGTACTAAAGACCTATTTAAACACCGTACTTACTAAATTGCCTTATTTCAATTACAATTCCACTACAAAGCAATTTAGTGTAATAAAATAAGAAAATAAAAAACTTAACTTTTCGGACCAAACAGTTACACGGATTATGCACTGGGCTTTATTGCTTTATTGTACCCGTCGACTTCTTTAAACCTCTACCCTTCAAGGTTCAGGGAGTTACTGAACGCAAATCACTCCCTTACCCTATAGGGGAGACCTTCAAACAATATAAATTGCTACCAAAATCGATCTCTAAGCACAGAACGACTTTTACAGAGAAAAATCGGAGGCGTGGGGTTTGGTGGACCCCATTGTACAATCAGAGGGTTCGATTAACTTTATTTTTTCGATTATTCTCACTTCCATATGTCGATCAAACAAAAAGAAGTTCAAATTTCACTGGAAACTATCATCGTTCAGCTAATAATATAACTGAATAAGTGGGTGTTTGATGAGCCAGATGCCTAACAGTATATTCAATATTCACATTGGAGATCACAAAGAGTAAAAGTTATCTTTGGATCAGTCTGCCATATAGTAACACTAACAGTAAATATCTTCTTCAGATACCGGGGATCTTGTATGTAGATCAGTATTATTCAAATATTATAAAATTGGCTGAGTCTCTTGTAAAATATAATAAAGTACATGAGGTGTGTTAATGGTCCATCCTGAAAGCATCATCTCTCCTTTCCAAGAAGTCCATTCGGGATGTTACTGCTGTTAAAAAGAAAAGAAAAGAAAAAAAATGTCAACTCATTGTCGTCCAAGAAATATCTCCAAGTTCACAATATCCAACCGCAATGAAATACACCGGTTTTCGTCTCTTCATCTTCTTATTCTTCTCTTAACGTTTGACTCTTGCTTCCTCTCACGAAATGGTAACTCGGTTATCTCTCTATCGCATGGCTGGACCAACAAAAGGCTCCCTCGCGGTATTACGGCTGACTACAGTGTGTACAGCTTATCCCAGACCATGAAATTTTCACAGGTAATACACAACAACCCCTCGGGTTTAGTGGCGGCATATAAGTTGGATGAAGCTACGAAGTTAATATTTGAGATTCGGTGATGAAACATTAGGTTGGTAAGAGAAATACATTGACTGACGTCTTCATTTTTTTGGTCAATTTTTGTTTTCTCTTTTGTTCTCGATGAAACTCTTTCTTGGTTATAATCGTCTGATCCATTGCCGTTTGCCTGAAGTATCGACCGAAGGAAATTTAAAACGTTTGGTTAGCGTCCTTGCTTCTGTTTACTTGTAAGATGGTCAAGATCTGAAATGTTGGGACAGAAATTGTTGCTGTTGTGTTGGATGTCTTTGTGTTTCTGGGTCGTTGTTATTGAAAACACTTCAAATTAACCATACAGATATTGCTACTGTTACAGCATGAAATTTAAATCATTCGAATCCTACGTTTTTATATATTTTAATAATTAGGAAGATAACGAATTTTGTTTGCTGGTGCATGTGTTATACAGCGAGACAATATGATTTTGTACTTGAATATATTTTGTTCTTCCTAAAAATATATCACTGGTTATTCCGTTGTTGTAGCACAAAGAAATTCGTTACAGTATCATTGATTGATATAACTTATTTTGAATAATTTCATAGTAGAACGTAAAATAAAGCGTTTTTACCAATTAGTTATAAATGAATATATACAATAATATGTACAGGGATCGTCCATAATATTACAATGAAACTTAACCTCTATAAGAATTAAGTATTACATTAATATTAATAAGTGTTTATGTACATAGTACTTGCGCAATTGATAAAAAGCTTTATCAAACTATTCGACCGTAGCTTTTTCAATACGAATTAATATTTGGCATTAATTCTAAAATATTTTGTGGCATATGCATCTCTGAGATTGAAACAACAACGATAAAGATTTGTATAACGATATAGGGAAAAGAATAAAAGAAAAAGTAATTGCCAGTAGATAAGAAAATAACTAAAATCGATAGTAATCATTAAAAGCGAGACAAAGGAAATGTATAACATGATTTAGAGTGAAGTTTTTCGTCATGACTAGTAATCATACGTACCGATGAGATTTTTAATCGTATGACCAAAGGATTTATCTAATATGATATCCTTCTTGAGTGCAGAATTGATAATTAAATTTTAATATTTAACTTGCGTCTTAACACTCTCATTTTATAAACGTACGCAGTCCTCGTATGAATCTAATGTATCGGGTATGTTGTAGCGCATCAATAGTTCTCTCTCGCGTCTTGTCGGAGACACCTCATTGATTTCCTTTTCGCCACATTTTGTAGTTGGATTAAATATACGAACCAGCTCCACCACCTCTTCATCATCGAACTGTTCTGCATCGTATAAACTTGAAGTCACATCGTTCAATAACATTCTACGTTTACTTTCGATCGTAGAATCCTTTTTCAAAAATTCGTTTTTAGCTCTCTCCATATTTTCAAAATCTTCAAGAAGAAGTACTTCGTCATCCATCATTAAAATGTCATTGTACATACAAGGCACTGTATGAGCGTCACGAATTTCTTCAAGATTTTCTTCATATCCCGTCTCGAAACGATTTTGATCACTTTCCGCGACATCGGACATTTTATGAAATTCTGAAATTAACATGCCATCGTTCGGCAATGGCAAGTCATTTTCAACTGAATAATTAAACTTGTCCTCACCGACGTCTTCGCTATCACAATGAGATCTTACATTTTCGTCGAAGGTAAAAATCGAATTATTATTATTATCTTCATATTTCACTAATATGTTTTTATTACTTGAGAATGCGAAATCACTTTTTTCTTCTTTTATACATGAATTATCACATGCCCCCGCATGGGCGTTGTACGTACTTTCACAATACGTCGTTTGATCGTCAAGCTCGGACTTCGCGTTACCACATGTGCCGCCATTACTACCGGCTTCTTTCTGAGACACGTAATAATCTCGAAAATATGAATTTAGTGCTTCATCTTCAGCTATTTTGACATCCCGGCTTGTTTCCGATTTCCAATGCAACGGCAACATTCCACTGTTAATATTATGAGTCTTCAAGTGTTTCTTCCTGACGCAAACTTTTGACATAACCTCGTCGCCAATCTTTATTATCACCGTAGCCTTAGATTTCTTCTTAAAGAGGTGCTTTGCCTTCGTATGGCGTTTCACGTCCGTAATGCATTTGAAACTTCTGCCACAGACTTTGCATTTCGTACCGAATATGAGGACCCTGCACTGCCTCATGTACGTCATGTTGCACTTTTTCATTTTCCAGTGATCAATCAGGTCAGTTCTGCATTTGAAGTATAATTCACAAATTATGCATTTCACGGTTTCAATAACAACACTACACTCCATAAGATTATTTTTACATTGGTCGCTATGGGTTTTATGAAGAGAAGAAGAAGGAATCGCGTTAGCATTGAGCCCCAAAGATAGAAGAAAGTCAGTTTTGTTTTTCACACACGATGCGTTGATCTTCTGTTTTGACGATGCCGAATTAGCCTTCGCGCTATGTCTCAAACTATACTTGTGAGTATTGTTGCTTCTGCCAGTCTCTGCATCGCGTGTTAGGGACATTTTACTGCGAACGATGCGTCCTTGAGCGTTATCTAGAAAAAGAAAAACAAAAAAATCTATGTCCGGCGTGGTATAATCCTCTGTTTACTAAACCCAGTATCACACTGAGTCACCTAAAAACAACTAGGGATGACCAAAGTTAAATTTTTCTTATTCAACAGATCTTAGGAGAAATCTATTGGGACCTAATATACTTATACGTATGTCTATTTTGTGGTTGGATCATTCTCATTTTTATAAAAATGTGTTTAAAAAAAATGCAATCTTTAGCAAGTCATACGTGTTTTTATATAAAATCACGAAAATGTAAGTAAAAGCAGAAACGTAAAATATATTCCAGTTTAAAACTATGCACAAGAATACTTATCAATAAAAATTATATGTAAAGTCACTTGTGGCTTGCTAGAGATAAACACGTTGAACTCTTGGACCGACCATAAAAAGTAGTGAACTGTCGCATTTGTGTATAACAGAACTGTACTATCGTTATACATATACTGTCTAATTATTACTTAACTAGTTTCGTCGAAAATATCAATTTCAGATTTATTATTAAAAAATTCCCATAAATTTTCTCTTTGTTATAATAAATAATAAGAGCTACGCCAAAAAATAAGACAGGTGCCGGCAATTCATGCGCCGAGACTGTTAATCGATGGTGGCGCGCACTGGTGGAGAATGCACGAAGTACTACACACATAAGATAAACATTGCAGGCTACAAATATCATTATTCTTGCCTGTTTTACAGTTACTTCGACTTGAATCATTATTAAATCGACTAGGGATCAAAGCTCACGCACAATCGAAATCAAATTGTCCAAGAACCAATTTTTTAAACTCAACCATACCACTGAAATATACGTTCTTCTCCGTATATCCAAAGAGACTACAGTCTTGATATTATGATTCAAGATGGCCACTGCTAACGGACTAACCTTCAGCATTGAGTCATATTGAAAATACAATAATCTGTAATATTCTATTTATATTTGTATCTGCGTAATGAGATTTATATACATATATCTTAATGTATAATTCGTTGATCATTTATACATAGTACACCCGGCTCAAACGATTCTGACGCATAAAAAACGTGGCTTGAGGAGAAGGCCTCCCCTATTCAGCATGCTCTTCAGTCCTACGTTATACATATACCGCGTGTCGTAGATGGGCATAGAATCAGCTTAGAATAACTTAAGACTGAAGAGTGTGTTGAGTAGGGGAAGCCTTCTCCTCAAGCCACATTTTTTATGCCTCAGAATCGTTTGAGCCGAGTGTACAGTAAGACTCGACTATAAACAAATATATTTGGAACTCACCACTCTGCCCAATATATTATTAAACAAAAATCCACACACAAAAACTATTGGATACCGATATTTCGCTATTATTTCACTTAACTGGACGCTTAGAGGTTAACTAGATAATGGGCCTAACATTACGACGACATGCGCAGTGATCAGCAAGTGCAACGCAACTGCCAGATTTTACAAGTCTACGACAAAGAATATACTTATCGTCAATTTTACCCACAGAGACAGGACAGCAATATTTGCTGTACTACGATGTCAGCAAATTCCACAAAAGTATTGTCGCGTTTGGGAAGAACAGGTCCGAACAGGCCTACACTTTTGCATACAGCACATCTGCGCACAACGTGTCTCGCATCTGAGTTCGTAGGAAACACTATAACGGAAATGTGAAGTGGCAGTTAACCAGCTATAGGTTAGGTCACGTGCACCAATAGTACGCGCAGAACTGAATGAAACAACCAATAGGATTCAAACTTTGTTGCTGGTTCGTAGCTCACGACTAATAGCCTACTGTTTTACACGGGCTGTAGATAGAATGTTCTAGAAGCTCATGACGCATCTTACAACCGGATTGGCTACAGATAAGATAGCAGAAGTGTTCACGGTTTAATATCACATGTCACTGGCGATTCTAAATGCTGGCAAACCAAGCGACAAAGTATATACATATTACGATTTACATATTTCTCACATATTAAAAGTTGTGTATCGCTCGAAACATGACTGAATACACTGTATAGCTGTAGAATCGATATTTGCTACTTATAAAAGAAGTCAAATAAGATGAAAAATAAAATTGTACACATATCAACGCCAATATTAATTTCACCCTAATCAAACCCTTATAGCTAAAAGATGTAATTACACTCTTGTATCAAATAAATAGAAAATATCAAATTTGTCGCACTAATAGAAATTAATATATTGCATAAACTCTGTCGTACGCTCTATAAGGCAATGGATGTCAACAACATAAGTGTAGGTAGTATCATGGCGCCAGACTCTGCGCCTACAATATTCATGCGTGACGTTCTTAATAATTGGAAAACAATAGATACGACACGAGAAGTTCTCACGGCTAAAGGTTATACCTAACCTCATAATATCGTTAGCCCAACGAGATTTTCATTAAGATAATTGGAAATGATTGGATAATGAGACATACTGAAATACTAGAATACCTAAAATATAACTTGTAAAACTTTTTAATAAAATGTAATTTTTTCATTCAAAAATATAGAATTTTTATTATTCATTTAATACTACTCAAAAGCGTAACGGGCTCGTCCAAAGTCTAAACTACATAGTTGTATGCCTTGATCATAAAACTCGTTTTCATAAATCACCACTGGGGAAACCCCAACCTAATACAGTTCTCGGCAACTTTTTTCGAATTTTCAAATGTAATGAGATCCTTACTCGCGAAGTAACATGCATAATGTGATAACATACATAAGTAATTATATTACACGATTACATAAGTAAAAATATTACACGAGATCAGTTACCTTAACCATTTAAATAATAAAATCATAAATTCATTGTTACAGGATCTGAAAGCGGGAGATCTTGGAAATGAGGTCTTCTGAGAATATCATTTGATTGCTTCGAGTAGACGGTACATACAATGTCGTCTTACGGCAGGAGGTGAGTTAATTGATAAAGAACACATGGACCGTTCATTTTGAAAGTGTTGTAAGTCCATTTTCTCTTGTTCCGAGAAAATTAAATGTTAACATATCTGTTAATTAAAAAATGTAGGCAAATTATATGAAGTCTGGCAATGTTTCTACTGTTTTATCAATATGTAATTTTTGTTATATAAATTTGTTTTAGGCATATTTTACTAAACTGATGTATACTTACGGGCTTCAAATGGACTTACACCACTTTCAACATTAGACAATTGTAAAATTCGTTTAATTTCAATTTTGAAAAATCAAATATCACTTAAAATATACTTGATATTAATCCAATTTTGTTTACAAATGACACGATATAAAATAGAAGTAGTATTTTTAATTTTAGACGCTAATTACATTGTTAAAATTACAAGATATTGATAGTATTTACTTATGCTCTGCATGTGGCAGTGTTTCGAAATATGCATTATGCACCGGAGATATATAAGGTAATAACTGCTTGATGTCTTTATATTTTTCATAATAGGCCTGGCATCTTGGTACAAAGGCGCCAGGGCGATTTTTTCAAATTTTAACGGTCTTCTAGGACGTATAGGTAATAAATTTATAGTTTTAAATTCTTTGTCCTTCATCGATGTTTTATATAAAATAGTGTATGGTGCATTTTTGAGAAACCTCATCCAACATATTTGCAACCAATTTATCTGTTCTCCATTAGTGTTTTTTCTTATCTGTTTTTTTATCGCAATATGACACGTAATATAAAACAAATGTAAAATAACAGGCTACTGATCGGCAAACATCTGCTAAGCCACCTACCTCTGTCAATTGGACTTACCCCACTTTCATAATCGATGATTATGCAATTTCATTTACCGAACAATTTTAAATTGTACAAAACATGGGAATTTTTTAAGAAATTGAACACGGACTAGTTATACATAAAAAATTTACATTAAATTAAGCAGGAATTACGTGATATCTTATTTTTTTTCAAAAATGGACTTACACCACTTTCAAAATAAACGGTCCATATATATAGTACATATTTTTTTCCAGGAGATATTTACTGATTTATCACTATGTAATAACGCAATTTAATCGACGCCAGGTGTGATTAAAGAATTCCGTCTCCGCATGATCGGTCGCCGTGGCTTTATTTTTTTGCGGTACTCATACGTGCCATGCCAATTTTTAATTAATTACATGCGTGTGACGCATTCGAGCGTCGACTAGGTGAAACTTTCACTGATCGCAATATATAAATTATATGGTTTGATACGTAGGGTGACTACGATGCATAATAAAAAGGATCGATCGAGTCTCTTAATTATTTTAATTCTTCGCGAGGACATTCGACGGCCGTTGAGAGGAATGATCGGAACGACTAAACAATGGAGGGTCGAATAATCTTATCGATCTTTTTATGACGAGTGGCTCGTACCAACTTAAAGTGTTTTGACATCTCCCTAGGCAGAGAGTGACTAGAAAAATTCTTTGCTGTCAAGAAGTTCCGAATCGTCCAGCCTGTCTGTTCATTAATGACAGTACAAGATGGGACCCTGGTCGATGATGTCCATTATTGCAGTATTTTCCTTTCACATTACATGGCGCGTACGTAACGCGCGACGATATTGTAGTCATACGGGACTTTACGATGTAAATTATTTTCTGCTGAAGAATAAGAGGTTAGATGATAAATTAATATATCAGTCCGAATGAATTAACTGATAATAGAATGTCATTATTTATTACGTATATAAAGTTGAAGGAATTATGTTCGTATCTGTTGAATGTCTTTCGTAATGGCATAAATACTGGACCACTGATATTGGCTATGATGATTGGCGATGGGAATGTCAAGTATTACCGAGTGGCACTCCTAGAAGTTCAAGCTTCTTGTAAAACCTCGTTAATGACGTAGCAAAAAAAAAGGGAACTATACTAAGTGGGCATATTGCCTGAAAAGACATTGCATGCTTCTGCACTAGGATAAGGATAAAAACACATGATGAGTTCAGTCAGCTTGTACGAATAAGGCGTATCATTTCGACGTATTGATGTTGATATAAACATATTAAGTAACTCTGTGAATTATAATTATGTGTTTTGAAACATTAATATAAATAATAAATATGAATATAATAGTATATATAAGCCATTGAAGACAGTACCATATGGATAAGTGTTTCCATAAGTGGAACATCAGACATACAAACGATTACAATAAAACATTGATCGGCACTTTTTATGTTATTATCACGTACGTTATTAATAATTTAAAAAAGGACTTAATAACGTTGAATACTTTTTAAAGGGCAAGGTTCGTCAATAGGTGGTCCTGTGGCGCAACGGATAACGCGTCTGACTACGGATCAGAAGATTCCAGGTTCGAATCCTGGCAGGATCGGAAATTTTTTTTTATTTATCAATTCCTTATGAATATGCCACTAACGTTATGTCTCTGATTTTTCTGTATGAATAAAGATAATTATGTTTTATCATTAATATAAGATAACGAAATTTAACGAGTTCGTAAGTATTTATTCTAATACATTATAACACCGGACAAGGTTACTTAAAGCATTTATCACCTGTCAACTAACATAATTAAGGCTGGTCGTTGCACCGAGTTCAATAACACGAACAAATAGTAACGTACAGAGAAAAGGAATGCTAAGTGCATACGAAAGCACGTACTACACGTGTGGCGGATATTAAGATCAAGCCGTGGCTTATGTTATCCAAAATATGTATTCTATCACGATACACGGGAAGCTGTTAACATTTCAAATTCTTCGAGTGGGTGTAACGTACGATCGGATCGATTTCACAGTATTTCTGTACATTCCATAAATTCGTCGATACAGATATACGACCATTGAAAGAATCTAATCAGAGTGGTGCACGCATAATATATAAATGTATGACGTAAAACGTCACGTTTAAAACAGGTATACATACAGTTACAGAATACAAAGTAACTTCGCACAATACACAATATATCATATGAGTAAGCCTGGCACTGGGCTTGTCTTCTTGGTTATTCGAAACCAGACTAGATATCATAAGGATGAGATAAGACGTATCGGATTATGAAGGTTTCTAAACGTCTATAGTATCGTCGACATAGAGGTGCGAGGTAAAAGGTCACGAATAAAAAAAAATACATATTCACACTTGTACTTTTAGAAGTTACTCGACGGACGAATCATTATTTTTTTAAAGATTTTTAAGTACCTGTTGGAATAGTAATGGGAGAAATGTCGCTATGGCTGTTCGCTGAGGGCAGCTCTTGTAATCTGTTTTGAGGTTAAATAAATATCAATCAATTACACGTCCTCTTATTTCAGACTTACTCACCGGTCGTGTAGGAGTTTTCAGGATCGTCGAGTCAACTCGTTAATCTTAGTACGAGGTATTGAATCATGTTCGTAACAGACTGTTAACGGTGTTCTTTGTTTCCTTTATAATTGAATATACTCAAAACGTGGTCCTCGAGGTAGTTTATGGACATCAAACCGGAGTGAATTGACTACCATTATTTTTCTGCGAAGTAATGAAAATATTTTTAATACAATTACTATAATTGGGAGCTATGTTAATTGGTTTTCAATAGCCTTTTTTCTTCACCTTTTTTTCGTAAATTTCATACAGAAGAAGAAAAATAAAATTTACGAAATGTCAAATAGTGTTGCTGCTAAATATATTTTTTTTTGGCTTAATCGACGCAATTTCGTTCTATTCATAAAATGACGTCAAAAAAATATGGGGTTAAAGGACGTTATCTTAAAGGAGAAATTCTGAAATTACAAACCGTTAAAGATAACCTGATGTTTCGCGCCTATTTTGGGCGTCCTCCATTAGTCACGCTGGCGTCCCGTCCCTGATTAAATTGATGAAACGGTACGACGACAAGTTAGCCAACATGTAGCGACGCCCAAAGGGAGATGGAATTATTAAAATCTTCTAAGCAATTCTGAAATTTTCAAGTATACGACTAACGCTTACATTCCTAGCGATCTTTCACGAGTCTCGTCAATCTCCACGATTGCACCAATTGACACTGCGCGTGAAGAATGGAAATATGTAGTATAAAATCGCCATATACATAAATAGTTGTCAATAATAGAACTCTGATGAAAAAAATTGTAGGAAAATTGTAAAAAATTTATTTGAACTCAATAAAAATGTTCTTTATTACAAGCAAAGCTACTATCAGTGATTCAATAATAGGTCATATCTCAATTATCATATATCATACGTTTCTCTTGTTGACACAAGGCATTTTCAATTAGTTTAATGAAAATTAATGTCTCGCCTTTTGAGGGAGGACAAAAAGCCTGCAAAATACAATAAACAAATATAACCGGTCTGTTGTATTTTATTCCCGTAGGTTCTCAGAGAAAGTAGTTAATGTTTCGACATTATATACATGCGTATATGTACCGGGACGTTTTCCTTAAGCCATATATGGAACAATATTAGGCACGCTCTCCGGCAACGATCTACTCGGCCCTAAGAGTTCCATTTAACTTTCGAACATTTCTTTTGGTCCTGAGTCACACGAGGGAAGGATTCCGTTTTCGACATATATAATATACTACATACACAGTTTCTAAGTAATAATCTGGTAAACGAATGACCTGAACGTACAGTCATTCACAATGCCTATCTCGGGTTTCTATGCTAATTTGGTATGCTAAGTTATGCGATTGCGTAATTCTATAAAGTAAATTATGTCGGGATGTCAGAGTAACGCGAAAGAGCGTTAACCCTCGCACGTATGCCAGTTGGAAGTAGTTAAAACTGTGTACAATATACGTTATTATAGGTTAGGTATATACCTTTTTGATATTTATGCGTCGTTACGTTGCAACCATATTGTTTCCTTATTAAATTATTTTTCCAGAAGCAACCTGAGGTGGCGAGTATACTTCTCTTCCTGGATCATCGCACTCCTACAGCTGACGCATTCTCGTAAGTTTCGATTGTCCCATGTTGAAAGCGTTAAATGAACGACCCTCGAACAATCCATTAGCGAACTAATTTTTCAATCTGTGAGACGTAAAATAGAAGTTTGCTGTCATTACGAAAGCCCGCTTTATTCCTACATTCTCAGAAAGCCCTTTACTCACAGCATGACATCTATTATGGCCGTTGAGCAATTTTATGGTTACCATCGCACGAACAATAAAGACGCCAAGGCTGTGTCAAATTAACCGCCATATTGACCACACAATGGCGCCGATGGTAACAACAGTTTCTCGAAAATTTTTAGCAGACGAATTACTCGCTCGATCGTCAGACGCGCGCGTAAACACGTACGAACTTGCGTAGTTATACTTTGAGTGGGATTTTTTATTGCTAATCGATAGCACCGGAACTCTTGACCTTTCCCAAAGCACTAACGCAAGTCGTAATCACTACTGATTGTTGTGACGGGTAACGAGTATGGTGTGTTTTGTTCGATTTCCTATAACCTATCGTAACACACCTGCCTAGTAGCGCTCGGGTTAAGTGAAACATAACCTCGAATCTTTTTGGCCTCGAGCTCTCCTCTTAACAACGTAAGGGCCAACTTCTAACGCCCGGCTAATATACTCAACGAACACTCAATCAAATTTCTTGTGGAGCCATCCCGACCTAGAGACTGTCGGATTATGAAATATGGCACAGAGACGCCATCCGGAGAAAGCAATACTGCTCGAGTAATGGTGAGCGATGAGAATTTATTGGTTTAATTATGTACACCCCAATGTCCATGAACATCTTGAGGAAACGATTCTAGGTATTGACGTTTGCGGCTATGTCCGACTGACACAGATTCTTTCTACATGCACATACCATACATATGTATACTAACTGGATAACGTCGTCTACGACGTCTTAACGTTATTGGATAAAAAATAATATGCTGCTCGTTCTCGAATCCTGGTCGATGCATTAACGCTCGGTAGAGATTCTCGCTCGGATTATTTTACTCAATGTCATTTTATTTATTATTAAAAGACAACGAAGAGGAATGCCGAACTTTTCATGAGAAAATGATTATTTTAAAAATATACAATACGCTCAACAATGATTCTAGCACTGTGCATTTAGTCAACTTAAAAGGAAATGCAACTTCGATTACGTTCCATCACGAGTCATCCTTACTATTTGTATCTCTCGACGTGAACGCTGTTACGAGGAAGCATTTGCACAGGCATTTCATTAAAGTTCGATGCACTCTTATAGACTACCTCGATTTACTAATCGATGAATACAGGTATGATCGATCAAATCGTAGTGACCAATCATCTTCTCCTTATGCGTACTAATTTATAATACGCCTGAAGGACTGGCTCCAATTAAAGTTCGGTAGTCAACAAGTATCGATATCGTGTCATGTTACATGAGTTTAGTTAAAGGCACGAGTCTAAATCCCAGTGGAATTTTGTATAGTTGCTCTACCTATAAGAGATATCCCGATATGATCACTAGGGTCAATATTTTCTTTTTATAATACGATCGAACAGCAATCGATCGGAGAATAAAAATCGGTATCATGCAGTGCTACTGAGAGGCCACCCAGTCATTCTTTTCCTTTTGTTATTATTGAATTCTTCGAGCTATACAACTACGTGTGCGCTTTATTCGTATTCGAACGTCACTTTCGTGTCAGAGTTCCATTGAATCGTTACCCATGACCCATATATCTTTTTGATCTCCATGAATCCCGATAACGATCTCAGTATAGGTAGTCGAATCTCTGACGATTTACATAGAGCATATTTTACGCACTATTGTGCCACGGAACATAATACGGATTTCAAAATGGTCCCGATCCCTTTTTCTCTACCTTCTAGAATGTTTCTTTATTTTCAAGATGGTACACTGTGAATTCCGTTGGCCATATGCAATTCGTCCTTTATTTATACTAGGTTAACAATCTCGACTAGATCCTTTAATTATTTTCGTTCAAAATTGAACAGCTTCACTTAGGCTTTAGCAGTTGGCTAACAATGGAGCATTTCTTTCTAACGACGTCATGACATCAATGTCACGTGAGAGGCATGCGACTCTCCTAGAGAGGTTATGTCGCGCTTAGAACTATCTTAATCGTTTGAATTTATCTCTCGATTTCATTTCGATCCATCATCAAACTTGCGATTCGACTGTATAATTTTTATGTTAGGTTATAGCAGTCGATTGGTTCCGTAACTTGACGCGATGTTATTGTTATTATGCGCTATTTAAGGTACAAGTCGTAACTGAGATATTACTATCAATTTCATACGATGAATTTGTACATCTGCTTATAATTACCATAACACATTAGTGTGTGGGTATTAGAAGCATTAGCTTATTGTCAATAAGCATCGCAGGTCAAGAACGTCATATTTGACTGTCATATGATTTTTAAGAGGTTGGATAGTGATTGTCAATTTTGCATATAAGATATGAATGATTTTTATGGTCATATATAATACTTCATTTTAAAATATATTACAGAAGAGGAACCTGGATTAGAAGTACCACCAACACCGTGCGCCGGTTACAAGCCTGGGGAAGATGATCTTCAAGCATTTGACTTTATCAGAAAATACAAACTGGATCTTCTTGAGACGCAGTATCCAGGTGTCACCCGGGTGCGTGGAAGCAATCGTATGCAAACTGCTTATCGACTGGACAGGGATGCTGATTTGACACTTCCTACGAGGTAACTGAAAATTATTTTCTTATTATTTAGTGCATTTTCTTTTGCATGATCAATAACCAGACATACTGAGGAACCCATAACCGGAAACGTTCTTACTATGGATTCGCAGCTAATCTTTTGGAAAAAAACTGCGTTTTGATAAGGATTATGAAAAATCTTCATACCTTATATTAATGGTTAAATCAAAGAAGGAATATATCTATTACTTCATCTTATTTCCATTGTGTTGACTTTTTTGTATTATATATGACGATCATGAATATAGTCAGGCAATTGTTGATTACCCATCTGAAACTGGAATTATGTATTATTATGGAATTAAGTATTGTGTTATACAACGTGACAAATGATTTATTAGTATGCCTCTTGATAACAGAATAATAGATAATCTGAAATATTACAACGCTGTAAAATTATTAATTATGCCCTCCGGCTCTCGATTAGGTATATTCTGCACGTTGAGTTTTTTGAAAGTACAAATCGTTCGTTACTCGCAAATTGTCTGGTGAAGAATTCCTCACTGTTTTTTGTTGTTGCTATACTCATTCTTTAGCCACGTGTCCCAACAATTCTGAGATGTGGTCTCTATTTCATTAACCGGATCTAAGAAAGTCGTATACCTTCCGCAACGTGTATTAATAATTTCTTTTAAAATCCGTTGTAGTCGCTATACGTGCCCCAGTACTATTATAAAAGCTATAATTATCAGTCATAAACGTTAGAGCGTCAGGATCGTTCACTCTGACATCACAAGGTTTCCTATTAATTCTGCTTTACGTCATTCCTCAAAAATCCTTTGTAATTAAATCAGTAACTAAACATTTTTATCCGACGAAGATACTACGATATATATAGTTAAGATGAGAGTGTTTCCGAAGGGGCCAAATAGTTACGGGCTATAGTATAAAAGAGTCACTTGAATTTTACAGTGATGTCATGGCACCACTATTTACCTATAGCCATTTAAGAACATTCTTCCATACCCACACAACACTCACGTATGAATATATGTGAAGGCTCCTTTAATTTTACATACGTGTCAACTATTACATAAAATTAAGATTTATGTCATTTCTCAAAATCGATTATTCAACGCTTTAAAACCCAATTCTAAAAATAGCTCATGCTGGAGATTGTTAACGCGTAACTTAAATGCGTCCACACGTACAAGTAGGCATTCAAAAGATAATCTAAACACTAATCTGAGAAGCATGAATAAATCCTTATACATAGAATGATTCGACAATGATGCGCAGTTTTATTAATTAATAACGTCGAAAACTAATGGTGACGTAAGGTAATATAATTTTAAGATAAATATAAGTATACCTGATAAGTATATCAGATCAATGTATGATTTATAATAGATTTATTTTCTTCTTTCCAGGGAAATATTCCCAGCTGGATTGCCCGACGAATTCAGCCTAATCTGCACCTTCAAGACGAGGAAGCTTCCAAAAGCCCCTTGGAACATCATACGAATAGCTAGCGAGGACATGAAGCCCCAGTTCACGATAACACTGAACCCCAGGAGACAGGCACTGGAGTTATCGATAGCAAACTACGAAGGGAAACTGCAAACCATCTCCTTTAAGACAGCACACGTGAGTGAGCAGTTCGGCCGTAAATAAGATGGCGGCGGAGCGCTTTGTGATGTATACGAAAAAGATCAGAGATCAATTACAAAATGGATTACACATGCCTCAGAGACTCATTCTCATCTGAGGAATCCACGTGGATAAGAATTGTTGACCTTAAACGAATTAGATATATTCACTGATATATCTATATACATAGTAGAACGGCAAATACTTGAAAATAAATCAGACGCTGATCTTTATGACGCTGGGGACAAGAATCCGGAAGTCAGCGCTCTCTCGAGTGTCGTGACGTCACGTACCCCTCAGCTTCAATCCCTCTCGACGGGATCATCGATAACAACGTATGAATTATCGGTATCTAGAAATTTTAGAGGATGAGTACATGGAAATTCCGTATACTCCTTTTTTTTCTCCCTCGATACAACTCTCTTCGCGTTTTACTTCCTTGTTACCTAGACTGTACATACATATATATCATCCCGAGTTTATCTGTCAAAAATTTGCTCTTCGTAGATCCTTCATTTTTTTCCGTGGATTTGTCATTAATAGAAAATGAAAAAAAAGGGGACTATTTTCATCAGTATCGAAAATCAATGAAGAGGCAATTTCGAAATCAACAAGTGAGCCGTTACTGTCGCCGACATAGAGACGCTCAAAGTACATTAGATTCAAATGTAACACGTGTCATCTCTCTGCGTGGTTCTTCTTCTTTTTTGACATGTACATATATAGATGTATGTTTGTCATACGCATAGAGAGAGAGGGGAGCTAATCGTTTTACGATGACTATAATATCCATCGACTCCATATGTTTTGCAACGTGTTACGTAATAGGGTAGCGACATGTAACGTTATTCTGTAGCATCGAGGAAGACATAAATCACGACTCCGTGAACATATGCATATCGAGTTACGCATTCTTGCGCAAATGTCGCGGACGTAAGTGCGCTTCGAGGGCGTTTGTGGGTGCGGATAGGGGTGAGACCGAGCAAGGGAACGACTATGAGAGAGAGAGAGAGAGAGAGAGAGAAATAGAGTAATGAGAAAACCATAACATTCCTATGTATGTTACGCATTGGTCGGGAATGCGTCATTCCTCATTCCGTTCGATGAATTTTTCATAAGGCAGGAAATGTCATTTATAAGATTTTTTATTATGTCAGACACCCTTGTACGTGTCGAGGATGAATTTAAGTATGGCGGATATTGTATGGATTTATTTAGTGTATTGAGATTTGTTTCTTTTTTTTTTTTTTTTGACAGGTGTTCGATAAGAATTGGCATAAAATACATTTTGGGGTCTTCAGGCAAAATGTGATATTGTACGTTGACTGTGAGAGAACAGGCATGGAAACTCTGGAACCTCGTGGACCAATCGATGTTGCTGGACAGATTTCCATATCCAAGATGGCGAATTCAAAAATGACTGTACCCGTAAGTCGTGTTTTAATTGATATTTTATATAATAATTTTTTAGCTGTTTCCATCTAGGCACTCTGGTCATGTTTATTTAGTTCATACCGCTTTGATCTGATGTACAGAACGTTTTACAGTGATGCTGGGGATCTGCAGATGTTTCCCTGTGATAACTTGATGTGCCGCATACCGCAATTGACGAGTACTTAATTAACAAACACTTTAGGACTTGTGGCAATGCATCATTCGGTCGGGCTAAATTTAGTCGACCGTGCGAATCTAACTGCACTTACATCTTATACGATTTAATAAGTAATATCGACAGAATTATAGTAAACAGGAATGATTGGAGTTATATATATAGATGAGAATTTACTAATAACTGGTATGACTAATATTTATTTTTAATTGAACTTTTATGTTTCATTGGGCTTGACACTCAGGCGACAATGGGGGTGAGTAATAATACTAATTAACTAATTTATCATTAATCTTCGTTATTCACATTATTTTTGTTGAATTTTGCACGCTTTATTTTACTGAGAGTTGTTTACTTTAATGCATATCCTAGTGCATGCACATGACGCTGTAAATATGTTTGATAATAATTGATAACAATAACTAAAAGTGCACTTTGTTTTTCATTTCTTTCCGTAAGGGAGATTTATAAGTAAAAATTCTGTCTTTTTGTAATTCTAGATCGATCTGCAGTGGATGGTGTTCAATTGTGATCCCACTAGACCGGAAAGGGAGACTTGCAACGAACTTCCGGTGAGCGATGTGATTTGAATAGAATTTCATTGATATTGTAGTGGATACTTATTAATCATTTTAATTTAAAAAAACAAACAGAAAATTGTCAAAGGCGATTTCCAACTTACAAGGAGGCCCCCGTGCGAAGTTACGTGTCCTCAGGGACCGCCAGGCTTTAACGGCACTGCTGTGAGTTACATATTATTTTATATCTATCTGTATGATGTTTCATTAGTGACACGAACAAATCTTTTACACGCATTTCTTACACTTGTTTTAAGTTTAAGTAGACACAGGTGTATGGATGGTCTAAATTTGCTGACGTAGGTAAATGATGCATTCAAAATGTTTTTGTATTTCTGTTGTCAAAGCGTGTTGAGAAGCAACTATTACTCAAAATTAATATCAGTGCGAATATAGGGAGCACCTGGTCCACCTGGACTCCAAGGACTAAAGGGTGAACCAGGTCCCGTAGGTCCTCCAGGAAGTAATGGAATTTTGGAAACGGAAGTAGGTTCTTTACCATTTTCAGGGTAACTGCATCTGGCTCGGAAACGAAGATAATTAATTGGTGCAATTGTTCTTAACAAAGCACTTCTTGAATGTGTCGAGTGGCAGTGTAGGAACATGAAATATATGCACGCATGATTTAAATTGTACAGCGACTGTGCCGCACTCTATGTGTGATAAATCTAATGACACAGTCATTGCAATTTCTCTTGTATGAATTACTATGACCTGTAGGTACTGTATAACTGTTTCTGGTAATGAAGATTTTCTAACGTCTCTTTGATTGGGTATGGTGATTGGTTTAGGGACCACCAGGCCCACGGGGACCAGTCGGCCCGATTGGAGAACCAGGAATTCCTGGATTTCCGGGACAACGTGGTCCTCCAGGATTTTCCGAAAGACCCGTATGTTACCTTAACTGAATAATACGTGGTGACTTGTGTCACTTTTACTAAATTTTCATTAGTTCCATAGTAACTGGAAAATAGAAAAATATTTGGACACATACACAAAATTATTATATTGATCTAATAATATGCAGTAGTGAGATTAACGAATAGTAGATGATAGATCATTAATTATATTAAACGAAAATTATTAATACAAAATCTTTGGAAATTATATAAATAAAAATTTTAAATAGATGCTTTCTTCTTAGAATCATAACTAATTGTTTCATTTATTTCTATAAATAATTAGGGCCCGCAAGGTCTTCCGGGATTGACAGGTCCTCAAGGTCCTGTAGGACCAGAAGGTCCACGTGGACCTAAAGGAGATACTGGGGAAAAGGTATACACCATTATTAAAGATTTTTTAATCAAAGCAAGATTAAAATATTTTACATATTTCAAAAAAGGGAGATATGGGATTCCCTGGACTCAAAGGGGATCGAGGAGAATTCGGACCACGAGGTTTTCCTGGTCCACCAGGTTTGCCAGGACCTCCGGGCAACGGAAGTGCTCCCAATCCAATATTAGCAGGACCTCGAGGGTATCCTGGTGAGCCAGGAGTGTCAGGAACTCCTGGAGGAGATGGCACTCCTGGAGAAAGAGGTCCAAAGGGGGAACGTGGCGACACCGGTTTAACTGGTTTTCAAGGATTACCAGGACCTCCTGTAACTATATCTCAACTTTATCACATTTATAAAACTAGATTCCTTTTTTTCATCCATTTATTCACACCACCGTTATACAATTCAGGGTCCTGCAGGACCACCAGGATTACCAGGAGCTCCAGGTCTATTCAGTCCTGGAAACATTTTAGGGCTTCCAGGAGAGAAAGGTTCCAAGGGAGAGCAAGGAGACCGTGGCGAAATTGGACACCGCGGAGATAAAGGTAAATTAATTATATTGCAATAAGTCGAGTGACGGTCATCTAGCTACAAAGTTGCATAACCCATCTAGCACCGCCAAGGTCGCCCCTAATAAAACTAGTCATTTTCAGTCTATGCTTTCGTGTAATAACGCCTTAATTTCTGCTGTCAAACTCTCAAATTGATTTATAGCGAAACGAAGACGAATCGTTGTAACAGCATCAATGCCGCGCGTCATTCCAAGAAGAATTTTAACATCATTTCTCCACGCTTGTTTAGAACCGATTGGGCCAATAGGATGAACATTCGTTGCCATTAATTAAGCCCTTACGAACGATTGCGAAGCTCAATCACGAAAGTCTCGGAGTAGATGAGAGCAAGGCGCTGCCTAATTCTATTAACCCAAGATGGTCCTTCGGAAAGATCTCTTCGATAGACCCACGAGTAAAAACAAGAAGAAAATATAAATGATCTACGTCCGTCGAGCGAATTGGTCTCTGTGAGGCACTATTTGCGCCGTGTATATGCAATAGTGAGGATTGTGAAACTAGCTTAATCGTTGCACTGATTTACCGTGTTTAAAACCTATCTATCATTTTGATTCATAATTTCTGTGCTCAGCTGAGGATTCAGTCAAATTTATATTTCACCTCCTTTTTCACTTACTTTTTTTTATTTCCATGTTAGTCTGCATACGTTTTTCACTGTAAATGAAGTTTTGTATTAATCTCTAAATGGCAGGATTCACCAACTGCAATTGTCTCATTTGTGACTCCTGGGTGAAACAATGAAAACTGGTTTTATTCGTGTTGCAGGCAACTTCTATTTGAATTATAATTGCCCTAGGACAAAGTGTTGAATTGATAATTGTCCAAGAAATAAATACAATGTTACATACGTGAATAGCTATGTCCTAGAAAATAAATTATATAATTGGTATGCGTTAACTGATAACTAATTGAAAACTTGAACCATTGAATATACATAGAGACTTATCAGTTCTCATGTAACTATATACTGGATGCTTATGCACACTGTGAATTGCGAATTGTCATAACGTTAAGTCTAATAGGCATATAGACAGAAGCATCTCTCGAAAGATCCACGCTGGCCTAGATGCGTCTATTCGAAGTCGTTGTAAATCAATTTGTCATAATTCGTATCAATGCCTTACGGCCCGTTGCCATTTGCCATTATCAATCACGGAAGATAACAGAAGTTCGTTAACGCAATCAATTTTTATAAATTCTTGACTAATATCGATATTTTCTTTCCTTCAATTCTGCGATTTGATCTGCGAATAATTTATCGATTATGTGCAGGCCTTACTGGCAGACATGATTCGGTGCACTTGGTACGTGAACATACGTCAGGTTCAATTAGTGGAATGAAATTGCAGACCCTTGAGTGATTTAATAAAGTTTAAGCTATGCGTGTGGTGGTACAGAAAGTAAAGGGACTTTATACTGATTTTTTTAAAAAAGAATTCAGATATTTAATCATCTTATACATTACCTGCCAAATGCGTATGAAATTAATCCAGACTTTGCCCAATATAGGCGCACTTCGTTTACTACCAGGCGTTTCTGCATACTGCAATTTCTTAGGGTGGATTTATGGTCGATTCGTGATTGCTCCTGTTACCAAGTTTAACAAGCTGCTAAATATAACAGTCGAGGATCCATTACAATTTTGATAATAAAATTTCCCTGCTCCGTTCGTGGTTAAAATTAAACTGGGGCGACCCGTCGTCATGCCCTTGTTTTAGGCGAACGTGGTGATAGAGGCTTCCCAGGTGTCGACGGTGCTCCAGGATATCCTGGGAAGGATGGTCCTCAAGGGGTTGAAGGACCTAAGGGTGATTTGGGCTTTCCGGGACCGCCGGGACCGCCGGGACCACAAGGATTGCAGGGACCGCCGGGACCACAAGGATTGCAGGGACCTTCTGGAAATCATGGAGAACCAGGAACACCAGGTGCTGCAGGACCAAAAGGTGAACCTGGAGAACCAGGAAGAGACGGTAAGTAACCAGTGTCAAAATTTTCCATTGAAATGTGGGAGTCTGTATGAATATTTTTATCAGGCCTTCCTGGATCGGGTAGTGGTGCTGGAAATCCAGGACCACCAGGACCTCAGGGTCCATCTGGAATACCTGGTGAAGATGGAATACCTGGAATGAAAGGCGAACCAGGATCGATTGGACCTCAAGGTCTAGCAGGATTGTCAGGTCCTCCTGGGAAGGACGGTCTTCCTGGCCTGGACGGACTACAAGTAATTCTAAATATTCCATATGTATTAGAACTTATTACATGTAACAGTTCTCGGTGACCTGATTTCCTCAGGGACCGCAAGGACCTCCTGGAGAAGTTGGTCAAACAGGACCCAGAGGACCTGAAGGTTTAAATGGTACACCAGGTCTTCCAGGACTCATCGGAAAACCAGGAAATAAGGGAGATATAGGGCAACCAGGAGAATCTGGTCCTGTTGGTCCTCGAGGCTTACCTGGAAACATGGTAAAGTTATAATTAATCAAATATTTCTATTGTTTCTAATCGTATTATGATCTGTATAGGGGGTTGCCGGATTACCTGGTCAACCTGGATCTCCAGGTCTACCAGGATTCGACGGAAGACCTGGACCACCTGGGCCACCTGGTCCCCCAGGATCTCCTGCTGACATGCTTAGTACAAATAGTGTTTTCTATGATGGTGGTGGCAGTCCAGGAGTCAGTGGTCCCAGAGGACAGCCAGGCGCCCCAGGCATTGTGAGTTAATAATAAGTGACTGAAGAGTCATTAATTACCGTACTCTGTATGTCCAAATCGTCGGCACGCCACTTAGTTTTTTTCATGATGCAACACTGTCTTCACCTACCTCTGTGCATATATTTTAAACTATTTACGCAACATGTTGATGGGCTCGATAAACATGCAAGTAATTTTTATTCCATTGTCCGTTCTAATATTAGCCTGGTGAACGTGGAGCGAACGGCGATAGAGGACCGGAGGGTCAAATGGGACCGCCTGGAATGCCTGGAAAGGAAGGTCCGCCGGGTTTGCCAGGCGCACCAGGTCACAGAGGCCAATCGGGTATGCCAGGACTCCAAGGACCTCCCGGGAGGAGTTACAGTGATGCGGAAATTCGGGATATCTGTGCCAGCGTACTAAGGGGTAAGTGTAACATTGTCTCTATGTATGCACATAATAAACTATTTTATTTTTCTAGCATTATTACAGTCATAATTACGTAGGACAACAATAACGGTTTTAGCTTTTTTTAATTTTCAGAAAATTCATGGTGCACATGGTCTACTCGACAAGTCTTTCTTAAACACTGTCTTAGTTATTACATACAAAGAAATACTGATCCTTCAATGGGTGCAGCAGAAGCAAAAAAAGATTTTAACTTTTCAGAAGTAAAATATATTAATAAATCATTTTATTATATATTACTGCGTATACAGAACAGATGACGGAGATGACAGCACTAATGCAGGGTCCTCCTGGACCTCCCGGTCGAGGCCGGCCAGGTCGCTCCGGGTCACCAGGTCCCCAAGGTCGTCCAGGTATACCCCCGAACGGGTAGCCAATTCACATGCACTTTCACGCCTGCATCCGGTCCCAAAATTAATCTACCTTTTAGTTATAAGTTATGGTGGTGGTGGTTCTGCGTGCTGTTGTGGGTTTTCGGGGCGAATCTTTAAAAACTATCAAGGTCAACTGTATTGATGAATCTTCCATAGAACGTTTATGTAACAATAATGTTGAGTCAATGATGCTTTCCCCGGAATCCACAGTAGTAAATTATACCACCATAAGTAAATCCACGGAATGGTCACAGCATTTCTGATTATTACCGTAATTATGATTAGCCATTATCGCACATCATCATTACTTGCCTGCGGTTCCGTCATATTTATTTTTTTCTCTCTCACTCTACTTCTTTTTCTTCTCGACACTCGTGTTCGAACAGAGGAACAGATTAAACTCCTGCCCACGTAGCTGCGATTACGATTAACAATCACTCGCTCGGATATTAACACCACGAGTGTCGTGTTCCGATAAAGATGATGGAAACCTGCATGTGTCACAGAGAGGCTGAACGAATTAACAGAGGGTCTACGAGGGCCACCCGGGTTGCCGGGTCTGACCCGACAGGGCCGTCCCGGTCGAGCCGGAACCCAAGGCATCCCAGGTATTACCCAAAATCTACGTCACTTCCTCAGTTTCCTATCTATGTATTTTCTGTAACAAGCATCTCGCGTCATAGCCCGTGGAGATTCCCATTTTTCACAATATAAGCTTCCATGGCAGGCGATACGATTTAATGTAATTTCTATAAAACATTCTTGTACGCTATTAGTGACTAACTAGATCTTTTGGACTTCCGTCTCATTTCTTTTTGGCAAGGACATTTTGTTAAGAAGATGACTGCGTGGATTTGGCTATAATTTTCCTGAATGTATTAGTTGCAATTTATAGGGGATATCGAAAATTCGTATTGGCTTGGGAATGACGCATGAATTCTTAAATTTGCATGACAACAAACTTTTAAATTATATATCTAACGATACGATTTAATATTTTTAATGGGGCTTTTGGTATTCCTTTCTATATGTAGTATTTTTCCATTACATATACTATTACTGTAGTATTTCACACAATTTTTAGTAGAATTAAAAGTTCAATTTGTATATTCTTAAATAACTTTTTTAAATATCTATATAGTATAGACAACATTTTTAGTTAGTTTTCATATACGTATAGTGCATTTATTAACTTTGCAAATATTCTAGTTATTTTCAAACTTTACTGGGAAAAGGCTTTTCTTTGCTTTTTAATCAACAGCAAGTTTGCGTGAAACCACTGTGATTCTGAATGTATTCTTTTACGTGGTGCAGGTGATCCAGGTGTACCTGGTCTGCCAGGTGAACGAGGCTTTGTAGGACTTCCTGGACCTGTGGGCCCTGTAGGTCCTCAAGGTCCACCAGGGGAACGGGGCGATAAAGGTGACAGAGGTTCTGAGGGAGTTGGCATCGAAGGTCCTGCTGGCCCCAGAGGATTACCAGGTAAAATTAAAAAAATATATATTTCGATAATACACATAAACTTCTACAGAATCAATAATAAGAATATTTTGTCTTTAAACTAAAGTAAAATCATATAAAATTTATTTTCAGGTCCTCCAGGTATTGACGGTGTCGGTCTACCTGGACGACAAGGAGACAGAGGAGAACCCGGTCGACCAGGTAATAAGAAGTAACAAGTCGTGAAGCTCTTTATATAAATTCCTAACGGTGTACTTGATTCATTATTTAGGTATTCCCGGCATGAGGGGCGCACCAGGAGCTCAGGGACCACCGGGATTCTGCGAGTTCTGCAATTATCCAAGCGCTAACTACGTGCAGTATACACGCGGTAACGAAAAAGGACCCTAAGCTTCAATTGGCTAATAATAACAGCGGTTAGATTCATTGACTACTTAAAAATAGAAAGAAATAACTACCGTTACAATTTTCTAAATTAATTTCTTGGAAATGTCAAATAAAATATCCATGCACTCTCCATTTTGGTATGAAAAGAATTTTCTTCGTGAAAAAGGTACAAGAATTTCACAAAATTCCTTAATTTTACTGATTAGAAGAAGCACGAGTTAGAATCTAAACGCGTTTGTGTGCATACTACAGGTAAAAGATGGCAAACTGTACGTTTTTTCTGAGTATGTTAAACTTCACTTTACCAAAGTCAACATGATAGGAAAATTTTGAGAAGTTATATATACGTCAGTACATTTCTAATTCATAGATAAAATATCTATTATGATCCTACTATTTTTAGAAATCTTATATTATTGTAATATTTTCTATTTCTAATCTATGAAAAAGGAATCCTAAGTTTCCATCAGTCGGTAAATATTTTTACCTTGACCGTACTTTTTTAATAAACAGTTTCAACTATACCGCACACAGATTATTTAAAGTTTTGACTGTACGTGCCTTGTAACGTGTCCGACGTTTAACAATTCGGGCAAATCACTGCCATATTAGATTAGAGGCTTTTAATTGTACAAATGTCACAGCAATACTTATTTCGTGTATGCCAGAATAACACAGCGAGTAATATATTGAATGGCGTACATCTATAAACTCGATGAACGCCATCTTTCTTCGTTCCCCTATACAGATATATACGATATGACAGTTAAACATATGTTAATCTTTAAAATTTAATCAGCTGCAAATAAATAAGCATTATCATTTTAATAATTATAATATTATAACGATCCGGACATTGTATATTCTCGCTAATATTATATATATATTGTCAAATTGATATCTATAATGTTAATATTATACGAAGTTGAAAAGGATGTTCATTAAAAAAAATCTACACGATCCTAATATACATTCGTTTGGATTTCATAAATAAATTACATCATTTTCCCACATTCAAAATGACACACCATTTTGATTCCCTAAAACCATCAGTCCGTCATACATATTCATCATACATTGTATCAAATACTCACAAGATATTCTCCCTGTTTCTTGCTACTTGTGTGAACAATACTAAACGAATGCATCACTCTTATCTGAACCTATACCCATCACAATTCTGTGATACTGTGTGTATTACGCATTATATACATATGTATTATCCAACCATTCGTCTTAACATTGGGAATACCCAGAATTCGAAAAGAAGCGCATGCTCCGTTTTGATTCCACGTTCTCCCGTTCAGGAACAGCGGCGCCACTGTCAGAAGATCAGTGGAAATCAGTGATGGCCGCGGGCCCCAAGATGTATGTAACGTTAATATCGTGCGGGGTGGTTGTTTATCGTGAAGTATCTGTGTAAAAGGGTGCAGTGACATTAAGAAAATCAAGGTAGGAAGAACATTTTAAAGTGTCATACTATACAAATATAAAAATTCATACACGACCGGACGAAAGACTTCGTCTTTCACAGAGGCTTGACAGTTCTTCGAGGCAGGTAGTTGGAAAATATTGTTGTGCTGCGACTTATCTCGTACGAGTGGCGCTTACGATAACTCACATTACGGAAGAGATCATCGCTGTGTCTTGTGATAAGATTGTGTGACGCTCCTGGTTAGTTTCTTATCGCGAAGGACATTTTTAATCAAGCGGCACGCGCATTAAAAGTGATTCAGGTGCGTACCGGCAGGGCAGGTTAGGTGAACGTGTTGGCCGTGATGTCACAAGGTTCAACCAATGGGATACGAATCCTTCACAGGTTCAGGCACTTTGTAAGTGCATTTTTAAAAAGCATTTCTTATCTCGCATCCTTGAGCACGTTGTTTACTGTGCGGCGCGAACGTCAAAAAGCACAACTGGGGATGGTATAGCTAGAGTCGATTTGATTGATTTTATCGTGCGGGTTTTTGAGACTGCAGCCACTGAATATATCTCAGTATGTATTGGAAGTATATATAAATATTATATTTTTTATTTATATTTTTCTACGTTACCTGGATTAAACGAAAGCGTGATGGGCATGAATAAGTGTATACTTTATATAATTCTAACGAGTGGTAATTGATCATTGCTGTTTGTACTATGAGAATAATATTATTATGATACAAAAAAAATCTTTTTTTTAAGCAAATCAGATTGACAGTCATGCAAAAATTGATATTAACAGGATGCCCTCTTGTACGTGAAACTATATACCTAGTACACGCGGTTGTTAGAAATAACTGTTGTTCTATAAATATGAACTAGCAGTAGAAGTTCGAATTCAGTAGCAAGTTAAGTTAAGGTATCCATTATCTGGTGTAGCTACTTTTAGAAATCACTCGCAGAGAATGGTCTTTAAATAATGAAACAAAGAAACTGGTTCAGTTGTGTCATCGATGTCAGTTCTTTATTTTTTATTTCAATCAACTGGAGCGATACCTTCCACCTCACGAAATTCCAATATCGTATAACAATCGTGCGCTTCAGCGGCAAATAAACAGCCGCTTAAATTCCATTGACTCATGTACGACATAACATCCAACAACTGAATCACTATATGAAGTAGCTTGTCAAATTGTTTTAATCAGTAAACACATTCTGAACGAATAAATCTACACGGCAGCAGTGTGCACGCACCTGAATCATTATTAAATTTTCATAAGAAAACTTACGGTACAAAGGCTTATATGGAATGAACTTTGGCGCGAGGTTGTAGCAAGTCTCAAAAAATTTCTCCGCTACAATTATCTATTCGGTGATTGACCAATCTGATACATTCCCGTTAATAGCTTGGTACTAAGCTACGATTCGATTACCATATTTGGAGGCCTATGTAACCTCACCTGATATTAATCTCGATTATCCGTGAACCAAAGTTGGCCGCGCCTTTCGGCGGTCCAGTTTGCGCGTTCCTTCGTCCGCATTGGAGCTGTTCCTTCTCCCACTATTCCCCATTTTCCATGGTTTCCCCGACGCTCTCACCGCCCCCACCTGGCCCACTTATTGTATTGATTCAACCCAGCCATCCGTGCGTTCCCCGTGCCTTCGTAACTTCCTGTTTTAGCGGTTGGTTCCTTCCTTACTTCCTGTCCATTTCCCAAACTTCATTTTATCTCTCAGATCCTTCTCGTCAGCTGAATTGCTTAAGGCAAATTTAAATATTAATAAATACAATTGGCCGTCGTCTTAGCGTGATAAAAGTTTCTTGTCTGTTATCTTTTGTTGCCCTGCACGCGATTTGTATCGATGCCTTAGAATCCGATACCACGCTTCACTGAGTGTCAGATTGAAAACTTCCGGCTGGAAATGGACGCGCACATAACATTTCTTTTTTTCAATGCTTGAAGAATCACGGACAATTTTATTACAAGATTTTTATAAGTAAACTCATATTACAATTTTTGTTTGTTATGAAACAAGACTGTTATTACCACCATTGTTATTTAGGTATAGTATGATTCCTATTTTGGGAAATTCCTATAATTTTTCATAAAACAAATTGTATAATTAATTTTTATGAGAATTACGTACTCTGAAATTCCAGTGCAAAATGATTGAGTGTTTGAACAAAACCCGGATTGTAATTCCATCTCTTGTGGATGTATTACTACACAATGAGAGAAGGTTTAATTAAAAGCTCACCCCATAGGAATAATTAAAAACGCCCGTGGACAGATAGTATTAAAATAATCTACCGCTAGGAAGTGCCTTTCCAGCAAAACTCCAGTATCTTTTTAACCTTTTTACCAAGAAAAGCCGTTTATGACGACTTTCAAAGTATTTCAGAACGAAATGCAATATACACAACCTGACCTTATTTTTCGACAAAACTCTGAACCAACTTCCATACAGCCATATTGACATTTTCCACACAGAACTCTTTCACGAATCAATATCATTGCTCCCCGAACTCCGAGCCTTACAACCGGTACGAACGACCGATCGTCAGATGTCTAATCGCACCAAATAATCGTAACCAACAAAGTCAAATTTTTCCCGTGTATAAATTTTCCTACATTCTTAATTCCCAAAGCAAAATACCATCAACTCACGCAAAGAGCTCGACGCTTAATGATCGACCACGTTCTCGGTATCCGGCGTCGTCTCGTTCACAGGTACATTAGCCAGCCCTGATTAATCATATTATCCATGGCCTAGAGGGCATTGCATTTTTAATAGCCATCTAACGTGAGCGCGTTGTGGGTTAAAGGTTAAAGATCAATGACTCGTCAGCTCAAAGGACACACACAGGACAGCATAGGAGGTCGTCTAAAAGCGTAGAATACATAATTTTTACTCTAGGCTTTTCATCCAAACGAAATGGACTTTCGTCTGTCATCTATTTACATAGATAGTGCCACGTGCAGTCAAAACCAAAGCAGTATACCTGGAAGTGCACACAGCCGGAAAGCCTCCATAATGGTTACTACGCTATAGCTACCGACGGTATACTAGCCGACTGGCATCTTGACTTACTCGAGTGGCTCTTGGGGTTTTAATTTTAAGGTGAGCAGACCTCTTGTGTTCCTCAGGTTTCGCTTCGCTTCCCATCTTACCAGAAGAACTAAGTTTCGCTCGCTAGCACCGTCGTAAGAGCTAGGAACGACTTCGTTGTATTATTAATTCGCCGTGGGTCTCACCGTACGTAAAATTAACGTCAGCCAATTGTGTGCCTTCCGCGACTTTAATTACTCGACGATTAAAGAGCCACGGTGAATAACGCGTTAAACGTAAGACACGTGACTCGCCCTTCTCGTGTGCTGAGTAATTTAACCGCAGGTGCAATTTCCAGATAATTTAGCGTTAATGCCCGCGCAAAATTCCCCGACGGCTCCAGCCGTTCATGGCCATTACCAGGGTATACCCGGAGGAGGTCTTTGGAGAGGTCGTTCAGGCTAGTACCAAAAGGGAATGACAAAATCATCGGAACCTACAGAATAGACCGTTAATTGTATACACCATTAAATTAACAGCAGACAGCCTTGTTCTTGGGATAAAAAATCACGATGTATTTTAACGGCCAATCTATTCGACAATTTTTATCTCGACGTCTTATCACGATGGAGGATCTTGACTTTCCCGAAGCTCTCGAATACCTTAACCCACGTCTAGTACACATTGCGCAAGGATTTCCAGAGGTTAAATTCTACCTCAACTTGTAACAGCATTGTTTCTCACTTAGGGCCACTGGCGCTATCGCTGTAACATTTTATCCTACTGTATATAGGTATATACCCTGTCGCCGGGTAGTCGTTCGCTTTTCTAACCAACGATGGCTCCGAGCAACGACATAAACACGAGCAAAGTAACAATCTCGTGGATATCGAGCGTAAGAATCGCCTAAATGGCTTATTCGTAGATAGGATAACGAACCCTGGCGGATGATGCGTGAAATACAGTGACCGCTTGATCCAGCTCGTCATAATCGGATATGTGCCCGACGTGAAAGCAGAACTGAAACTGGATGAGTCAAACGCTGAAATCCTTTCCTAGGCGAAGGTAGCAAAGCTTCATCTCGGCAAGTTCAACCTGGCTTCTCTTGTTTCTCTTGTTTCTCTTGTTACGTTTGCTTCTCTCTGTCTCTTTCTGTCCAATATGTATACGCGCTACTCTCTGTCTGTTTCTATTCTCTTTCGTACGGCTGGGAAACTACGGACTCAAAATCCGACGCTTTGACGCTTAACGTCGTCGCCTATGATTTAGACTTTTTTTTTTGTTATTTTTATCTCTTTCTCTCCCTTTTTGTCACGTTTCCATACCGTACCCTTGAGTTTTTCATGAGTTTTTCTCGCAGTTCATCCATCTCTCGCCCTAAACGCACCTTTCTTTCGCACGACCCTGGCCCAGACGCCTGGCTACCCAGAGCACTGGCGGATATCGATTTCCCGTTTTCTTGCGGGACGAACGTATTTTCCGGGGTAACGTGCTGGAAATTCTCAGTGTTATGAATATTCATGACAGATTCAGCCCCTATATAAACTGTACGTAGAAAAATGTATATCCCGTTTTCTTTTCTTTGGATCTTTATAGCGAGTCTCTCTTTTTTTTTGGCATCCTTTTTCTTTGCTTTCTTCGTTCCTTCTCTCTTATCTTCTCTCGTTTTTTTTCGTCTTACAAAGTCTGCCCGAGAACTCCGAGAAGCCTTCCGGAAACACGAAGAACCTTTTATCACTGCCATCGGAGACGACGCAGGGCAAAGTTTCGTATCCGTGAACGGTAATGGTAGACTGCGGCGCGATTCACTCGTAATCCAGAAGCTTCTTAAAATAGACCAAATTCTTTGTTCCTATAAATTCCTAGACTTTATTACTATAACTATCGACTCTCATTCTTGTTGTCCGCTCGTGCGTTCCGCTCCGCGCGCTTCTCTCGTCTGCGACAATCGTCACGAGCTAGAACGATCACAGTAAACTACCGAAGTGCAACTGATTTTCTGTAATCGGATCCAGACGTGTTTAGGCGGCGAGGAGAGTAGGGAAAAAAAGGGACTGCATTGTTTACAGGACTGAGCTCGTTAATTAAATTGACCTCTCTCTCTCTCTCTCTCTCTCTCTGACTGAAAATTCAATCGTGCCTCGACTGCCTATTAATCTCATAGGCTGCGTTATTCTCATAATAGGCTCGCAGTTAAATCACCGTGAGGAAGAAACGGTGGTGGATGAATGAAGGAGGGGCTGACTGAAAATTCAATCGTGCCTCGAGACTGCATTGTTTACAGGACTGAGCTCGTTAATTAAATTGACCTCTCTCTCTCTCTCTCTCTCTCTCTGACTGAAAATTCAATCGTGCCTCGACTGCCTATTAATCTCATAGGCTGCGTTATTCTCATAATAGGCTCGCAGTTAAATCACCGTGAGGAAGAAACGGTGGTGGATGAATGAAGGAGGGGGTTAGTGGAAGAAGGAAGGGGAGGTGAAGGAGCAGTTCCAAGCCCAGTTAACGAGCATCGAGCGCTTTGACATTTTAGTCCTACGAAAGGTTATGCGAGAAATTAAAGTAATCTCATAACTCAGCAGTTTCTTAACAGTGCTTCTATACCGATAGCGCGTCCATGGTGATACTCGCGGACTTTTGTAATGTTTATTGGGAAGCAAAATACGAATGATGGATGATCCACGGTAGTTATTATTGTACTGGGAGACATTGGAGAATTTTTCTTGTGGCTGACCTATACCGTTCTACGTAATTATAGAGAAACAGTTGGGGGGAAAAACTGACGAAGCATTGCCATGCGACTTGTTTGCAAAACTGGAAATATTTGCGTGTCGTTAATGCTTTCAACAGTAACGACGGACCAGCACGTGATACAAACTTGGCTCTAGACAGTCGTACCAGTTGACTTCGTTGGAATATACGATATATTCATGCTTGGATTCCACTTGCATAAGTTACAATGACATCTAGCGCGAGCGTCTTCAAGCTATTTCTACAATAGTCTGTAAGTCTGTCAAAGTCTGGGCTAACGACAGTTGAAAACATGGCGACGATCCAAACTCGATCGAATTCTCGACAACGATGTTTTACGCGGTCATGAAAATCGGAGGACGGAATATTAGAATGTGACAGATAGTAAAAAAATCGGATGAATTAATCTCTATAGGAATGAGGAGCGATCTTTTTAATTATACGTGTAAGATCAAGATTAATATAAGGATCATTGACGCAATACTGGTGTCTTATCAAAACTTTTTATGCCGAACATGTTATTTAGCACTGATTAATCGTCGATTGGCCTTCCTATGTTACCGCGTGGCGTAATACGGAAAGATACGCAACGTCGTCAGAGTATCGAGTACGATCTGCGATGCTAATTTTCAAAGACCTTCGAACGCACCATGCATTATCTTGTTCATTAGCTGTCAGTGATGAGTTGTTTATACTTGTGAACGCACGAGTGCTGCGTTGCGGATTTCTTTTGCGGCTATTGTTTTCTGGATTGTTTTATTTATAATTGTTCAACTTTGTACAGTAAATATGGCGGAGGACGGGACCGGCGGCCCTGGCAGTAGCAGCGGCAGTGGAGAAGCAAGTAGACTGCAGTTGCTGCAAGAAATGAGGCAACAAAATTTTGACAGCATTCGATTCGCGTCTTATCGAACAGCCTGCAAGTTGAGATTCATTCAGAAAAAAGTTCATTGTAAGTATTTTTAGTGGATTTTACTTTTTTTTTTTTTTTTTTTCTTTGAAGATCTTTGATTGATCTTGTTGAAATTTTTTTTTAGTACACAATGTCGACATTTGGAACGTGATCGAAGCGTTTAGGGAGAATGGATTAAATATGCTGGAACCGTCAAGTACTTTAGGTGTCTCTAGACTGGAGACCCTGTTGTCTTCCTTGTTCCATGCACTGAACAAGAGAGTTCCAGTCTCGCAACAAGCTAAAGTTGACGCCACTACTGCACTTCTTATGAACTGGCTCTTGGCGGCTTATACCAGTGGGTAGGTTATGAAGTTTCTTGTATGATCTTGGGTTATTGAAATACTTATATAATTGTTGTAAGAGTGAGGATCAAGTTGGGACGTTGTGACGTGCTTGTTTTTTTTTTGCTTCTTTTTTTTACAGGGAGAACAATAAAATTACTGTCTTTTCCGTGAAGGTGGCGCTTGCCACTTTGTGCGCTGGTAAACTTATGGACAAATTTCGATGTGAGTTTGGAATTATGTGATTTATGATGTTGTGGGTCAAGGGTTATTTGATAATAATTTATTTTTACAGATATATATTCGCAAATTTCGGACAGTAACGGGCATATGATTCATTGGAGGTTTGCAGAATATTTGAAGGAAGTACTCGCACTAACTGCTGCCGTTTACGAAACCCCATCGTTTGGGTACTCCGAAGGCCTTGCTAATTCGATATTTTCACCGGTGGGTTTTTAAAGAAATTAAATCATGCCGTATTAAGGATGTTATTTTCATTCGAATTTGTTTTATTCAATTGCCGTGTGACTTTTAGAATTCAAAAGTCACGGTAAACGACTTTTTGGATACTCTCATGTCAGATCCTGGACCTCATTGCTTAATTTGGCTTCCGTTGTACCACAGAATGTCTGCTGTCGAGTCAGGTAAATTAATTCGCCAACTGTAATAAATGTAAAAATATTTTAAGCGTTTCGCTTTAACAAAAATTTCCTATGATTTTCTTAGTGGTACATCCAATCATGTGTGACGCCTGTCACAAAGAGAACTTTACCGGTTTTCGTTATCGCTGTCAAAAATGCCACTCGTATCAACTTTGTCAAGACTGCTTTTGGCGTGGAAAAGTATCCGGCACGCATAACAACGATCACGAAACAAGGGAATACAGTAGTTTTGTGAGTGGGATTCTATTAGTCATTAACATACCACAGTCTACGTCAACACGTCTATTCTATGTATGCGTAATATCCTATGCCAAATTATTCCATTAACAGAAGTCACCGAGTAAGCAGATCGGACATTCGTTGCGTAAAAGCTTCAGGTGTGTCCCGGAGAAAGGGAAGAACAATCTACCAAGGTTTCCGGAACAGCCGGAAAAAACGTTAGATCTATCGCATATCGTGTAAGTATACAGAACTGTGTCTCCCTGATATACAATCTGACAAACGCAATGATTCTGCAAAACAACGCAAAGTATAATGTTTAAATTGTTCTCCTCTAGTCCACCATCCCCTTTGCCATCTCATAATGGTTTTCCGGATCCAGGGTTCATGGCTCCTTTCGATTCTGGATCGATGGACAGTCGTTCTACATTGAGAAGGTATACACATTGCTGTATTTTTCGTTTGTTTATTTTTAAATTAATCAGAGTGCTTGTTACGTGATGACTGAGCACATTGTTTATTTGGCAGTATGGATAGTTCGAGACTAGACGACGAGCACAAGCTAATCGCCAGATATGCTCAAAGACTGGCTCAGGAAGCAAGAACAATGGTGGGTTATTAATAAATATTTTGTTTTTTAATTACATACAAATTATTCACGTGGTGGTACATAAAGTTGGATTGCACGACTGGTATTGACATACCCCATTATTTCTGACCATGAATAATATGCCATGTCGCAATCTAGTATTATAAGCGCTATGTGTCACATCAGCGAATTAATTCAATGAAGGTAAATAAACCATTCTGCTAATTTTCAACGCGACGAAATTAACGTTATTTTCGCAATTCTTTCGACAGCCTCGCGCTTCATCCAGAATGTCCCAGGCTGACCAAGCGGTGAGTCTTCTTTTTTTTACTGGCTCGTCAGAAAGATATTTAGCATAAAAATTCGTAGTTTTTTATCCTTAAGTTTATAGTATGTACATTAATCGATTTTACGAAACAGGGAAGAGCACCGTCGGACGCAAATTTGGCATCGCTGGACGCATCGAGGGCTCAACGGGAATTAATATCGCAGCTTGAGGCAAAGAATAAAGAGATAATGCGCGAGATTGCAAGGTTAAGGTATACCTGTGTCGTTTAACTTCCTTTATATCAAGCCTAAACCTCGTTATCATCCTGTCGAACCATCCTAGAATCACGCATGTTCAAATTGTTTTGTTTCGCTTTGTGTCTCTTTCTTTGCGTAGCGTGAACAACTAGAGTAGAGACTTCAGCCACAGCCTAAAGTTCAAATTTTTCACAATTATTACGTCAGTTCATATCAGTAAAAGAATATTTAAATTTAATCTTCATAAAGTCTTTAAAGATTCCTCGTTAACTTGTTAGGCTGTGCTGCTTGAAATATTGAATTAATAAATATTTGTACTTAACACTAACTACATACATGTTATACTATCATTATAACGGGATTGATTTGTTAAAGTTAATTTTAAAGTTATTGTCTCTGCAAAATATTCGTCATCCGTGGTCTTTGTCGGCTGATAAATTCTTCTTTTAATTGTACAATATGAGATTACTGCGAAGCAGCTTGCTCATTAGATTCATTTATATACACATCACACGTACATTATTGCTTTTAAACTTAGCCGGATACACGTGAAGAGTACCTCAATATTTTTATGCTTACTGTTTTTTTTTCTCGTTGATATCACATGACAAATATCCTATCGAGGAAAGCTTGGATGTACGTTACGTCGAATGTTTAACGTTACATTGAATTCTTTTTCTATTAGACGGCAGCAAGAAATCGAGGCAGCCGGTTTAGAGAATCCCGCACTTATGTCAGAATTACGAGCATTGAGACAAAGAAAGGACGAGCTCGAGACACACCTTGCGACTTTGCAAGACTCGCGAAGGCAGCTAATGGTGCAACTGGAAGGTCTTATGAAGATGTTAAAGGTAAGATGGATGACTAATGTTTTTCCTTTACACCAAAAGTATGTATTTTTTTTCCTATGTATCTTCGTTATTACAGAACCATCAGGCGTCGCCACGTTCCACGCCAAACAGTTCACCGCGGAGTACAAAGTCACCACCTTTGCCACCAGGAGCTGTTCCCAGCAGTAGATCAGCACCGCCGACGCCTGGTGGACCATTGACGACAACACCACAACAGCAACAACAAAATCAGCAGCAAATGTCGCAGAGCTATCAGAGTCCTGTGCCACCCACATCAGTGGCCAATATGTCCAGCAACGCGATGCTTGGAACGATACAAAATCCAATTCCTGACAGTCTCTCGTGCGTCGGCGGTGACGTAAGGTAGGATAGCATGCGTGAACTTTGTCACGGATCCGAAATGTTGCGTGAAAGATTAATTAAAAAAAAATATATGCGAGAAAGTACACGCGTAGAATATATTCTGTAGAAACGAAATTTAAAAAAAAAAAAGTATAATCTTGTAACGTAATATATTTGGCGGGAATTGACGATCGGATTAAAATCCATAGAAAACATTCTGTAATTAGTCATTCCAATTTTGAATTAATACTGCTTTGTCTTTTTATATAAAATATTTCAACCGGGACAGCTGTAGTTCCCCAGTTTTACTATCGAATGAATAAGGGAATAATTACTTACTCGTTTATTATTTAATTGCCACACAGTACAATTTGACAGGAGCTTTATTGTGGAATGATTATGAAACCGAATAATTTTATTGTAACACGTTCGATGCAAAAGCACAGTCGTTAGGAATGAAATAACGAGATTCGACAATAATATTAAAAATGGCATGTAATGGAATTATTGAATGTTTTTATCAATTCGCTAGTAACGCATGTAATTTGGTACTAGCGTAAAAGGCATAAATGTTACATATAATAAATAATGCTTATGGAACACTAGCGTGTTACCTTATGCGATGCGCGTCTTTAATTAGAATAGCAATTATTGTAAAAATCATGAGAAACTTTGGCATTTGATCGCTTTCTAATTTTACCTTGCTTCTAGATGATATCGAATGTTCCGTGTAGCTTTGACATATCAATTGCCCTAATTACTTGTGCTTAAGTTTTATTTTTATTAGTCTGCACAATTTTTAGTGAAAAATTACGTAAGCTTACTTTGAACGTAGAATTACCTAGTGTCTCGTATTTCTATTATTTGTTTATCAGTCATGAGTGCTTTTCGTAGAATTTGTCAAAATTTTTTTTTAAATATATGACCTATAATAGCACGAAAATATTCAACTTCAATATAGCACGACGATGATGCAATTTCTATGAATAATTACTTAAACGATTCCTTGAGCAGTCATTAATATATTTATACAAGCCATACAAACACAGTGATAGCAATTTTCGCATAATCAAATATCACAGGACTTCAATAGTTTGTAGTTATTAAATAAAATTCCCGAGAAAGCAGTGTAAGACAGTCTTGTGCTTATCTGAGTACACAAGAACATCGCAAGAATATATTATAATTAATATTTACAATTGTCAAATCACCTTTTGTTGTTAATTAAATCACGTAAGCTCGCACTTGATTTATTTTATAATAGAAAACACCAGTTTAGCTAATTATCTTTGGCATAATAAATTCGTTAATTAATTGCACTATGCACTTGTAACACTTTAAAGTTTCAGTTACTCGACAATTCGCAATTGCAATTAAATAATTGACATACAAATCAATGTTATAAATGCGAAACCACAGCGGCGATATCTGATATTTTCATTTGGATCGTAGCTTATTACTTAGTCGTCTGGTAATTGCAATTATAACTTTAAATCAATATGATTGAATGAATGGCCCGTTAATTTTGTTTAGCATACACGTGGTAAATGTCCATTATAATTATTTCCATGCCCTGTAGGCTTTCCCGTATACATATATATAAAAAGTTCGAGTGTCGTCTACGTCAAACAAAAAATGGATCAATCGAAAAATTGTATACGTAATTCTAAACTCTGTCAGGGCTAATCAATACTCCGGGCATTTTAGTATAAGCTCGTAAATTTGTTATTTCAAAAGTTATCGACTGAGTTTGTTACAAAACTTTTTTATACCCGAGTCAAACATTTGTTTTTCCGAGTAATCGGTCGTTGCATCATTTAATTTCACATTGCGGCACCGCATCGCGAATACAGTCGTCGAAGAACAAAGAATGAACGACACTCGAACGAAGAGGGCGCCACACGAGAAGGCCTAAAATATTGCATGCTCGCGTGACGTAAAATGAATGTCAGTTTACGTAAACTTTACTGTATCGATACCATATAGCGGCTTGTATACGCTTGATTATTTACTAAGAACACAATAGCAAGTTTTAATTGTATGTGTAGAGAGTATTACTATGGATTAATCTGTCTTCCATACGCGGAAGAGAGAGGCTTGTGCAATAAACGATAAGAGCATGCGATACATTTGACTACATTTGGACTTTTCGTTTTTGTGAACGTCGCTTTTCGCGCAAAGAAAATAGAGATTTTCGATGTCAGGTCTGCGTTCAGGACAAACAGCTTGCCAGGAAGCGGTTCCAGCAGTGCCAACAATAGCTTGGGACGTTCCTTGAGAAACGACCTTTTGGTAGCTGCGGACAGTGTTACGAATGCCATGTCAACGCTCGTCAGGGAATTAAATTCAGGTACGTTAACTGCAGACTAAAGCAGTTAGCTGATGAGACAAAGTGAATGCCGATTATTTTTGTAGTTCCGACAAGATATCTCAGTTCGGGTATCCCTTCTAGTCAGAAATACAAAAAGAATGTTGTTCTTACGATTCGAATATATATTTGGTCGCGCTACCGATTGACAGCGCTACTGACGGTTGGAAGAGTTTAAATTTTTAATATTTTATTTTTCATTAATGCCCGGTCGTCTCTTATTCTGTAATTTTTTTGTCATCGGTAGCGCGCAGCCAGATTTATTTATTTTATATTACTATCGATCCTCATGGAATGTTGTCACTTTCAAGACTATGATTTGCGCGCTGACTAGTGCGCACGAGACAAGGTGAGATTTACACTTAGATGTTTCACTTCATTATACATTATGTAATCGTTATACATACTACGTTCAAGAAAACTAAGTATTTTTTTAAAATTCGAGACTCGCATCTTACTTACATACCAGAATGTTACTTCTTTGTAAATCTAATCAATTCAGTGTACGAGCTAGAGACTTTTGCAGGAGGTAAAATCAGTATGTTCAATTGCTTGGTGTCGATGAGGAAACATGACACGTGGCATATACTTTGCCATTGTTTGTCTGTACTAATGCCATTATTCACTTTAATTATATTTTCGATATATAAATCAATGTTTGCTGGCATGGCACAATATATTCTTATATTACATCCATATTCCATCATTTCACTGTTTTTGTACGTAGCATGCAGGGACACAGAGATCATTTAAAATTATTGAAGGATAATAATTTCATTTAATATATCATTGGTGGATGACTTTTTTTTTAATATTCTAAAATCTTAATAATAACGACATTTTTTTCCGTGCTGTGTCTCTGAGGCATTTTACTTTGTACAGATGTGTATATTATATATTATTATATATACATATATATTTATTTAGCTGCATACTCTCTTTCACATATTAATCTGTTATGTCAACTTTACTCTGTACTTTCCACTGATTTAGTATAGACTTTAGGACATACGTTAGTTCTAGCTCTAGCACAGACTACACGGGAACGATGGACTATAAATGGTCTTTGGTGCTCGAAACTAACAATCAAATTGGTATTTTATAATGTTACTAACAAAACAATTGGCATTCCAGATCAGACGGTACCTCGTTACAACAGACTTTTTGTTTGACACTGATTGCAACATTTGTTAGGGTTATTTGAAAGAGACTTTAAAAATGTCGGTTTACGGTGTTCGTTAGGAAATATTTTTAAAAAATTTTGAAATTACAAGAAACTGGTAGATACGAATTTACGGGATATCAAATACACAAGACGGACTGACAATACGTGAAAAGTCCTATGAAATCTAGAGAATCCAAAATTTCGAGTATTCTCAAAATTTTACAGTGTAATGAAAAAAAAAAAATTTGAAATACAAATGACACTTTAGACGTGTTGTGGAATGTGTGTGATGCACCCTCTGTGAATGTGTCCTGGTGACTTGCAGACTCAGACCAGGAGGATCAATCTCACGCCTCGAGCCGCCATAACATCAGAAAACCTTTAGGTAAGTGTTTGTCGAAGTTATTCAAAACGGCCATTATTATAAGCCGAAATAAGTTCTAGAAGTAAAGGAGCATTCGTATGCATTGAATGCACAGTGGTAGAATGGTGGAGACATTAAAAAAAATCTCGTACGAATAAATATTAATATATATTTTTTATAAGAAACCACCATCCATTACCCTCGACAATCAAAGAAGAGGAATGCTATCAATCGTTTTCACACCTAAATTTTCTCATGATCCTTGCACCGTTGCTCAACACCTGAATACCACTATTACTATACTTTCAATTTAAGAAAAGTCCATAATATTTGTAATACTTCTTGTAGTACTACTCGATTTTATGTAGAATTGTTATAGTGGTAGCTGTAGCAATTATTTCTACGAATATATAAAAATAGGATATTAGCAATTTCGATAATGATTATTACAGACACCATTTAACTTTGTAAAATACTCTGGGCTATAAATTATCAAATATAATATGATTCTGATGGAAGTGTCAATTGAATCAAAGACAATTATTTTAATGTAGAATATCAGTCTGTACGATTTATGGACTTGTTCTCAGACTTCGAGGCCGGTGAGGATGGCGATGACAGTAGCGGCGGTGGAAACTCCTGGCGAGAAGAACTTCAGCGTCGTTATCAGCAAGAAAATGATTTCCTGGCAGAATTACGCGCACGAAACGCGAGCGCTTCGCAAACGCCATCTGCAACGCCGTCGAGCGAGCAGGAACAAGAACGTGGAGAGAGAGAAGAAGCAGAAGGAGAGAAAGAGGATGAAAGCGAAGCGAATTGGGCAGAAGCAGTAAAGAGATGGGTGAATCGATAGACTCTTCTGTTTGCCCATTGTATATTCGATAACGACTCTCTTAATGCATTGAGAAGACTGTTATGCTGAGATCGTGGATATATGAAAATTCGTGCGAATCTATGTATTTGGTTAAAGAACTTTGGATTAGGTATAATGTATGACGTTCGTTACTACGTACTTACAGAGACTATTGTAATGCAACATAAGGAGGTCAGAAATTAATCTTGGCTAAGTCTGTACGTAGTATTCTTGTATAGAGTTCAGTATGAAATTGGCGTGAAAAGTAAGTTGGGATTGCTACTTAACTTTCAGCAGATTATCAATCTATGATATGTTATACTTATTAGGAACTACCGAATTGAAGGAAAGAGTTTACAGGTTTCTATGAGAATTTTGACCAAATTTATCATATTGTGGTAATTTAAGTCTAACAGGAAGTCTTTTTTAACTTCATAATACATTGCAAATCTAAAGATAAATTAGTATTTCGGAGCTCTTCTTTTTGTATAACTGCACACTTTTGAGCATAGAATAATAATTTGATACTGATGATTCATGTAAGATTATTTATTATTTATATGAGATTTTATGGTTTAGTACATTAATACTGCCTTAGTGCAATTAGAATATTGTCTGCAACAATCGATGCAATTTATCTGTAATATTTATTAATTCATCACTTTTTTTTAGAGATATCTATCTATCTTAGAGCCAACAGTTATAAGTCCACATAGAGTATACCAATTTGTTCTCTTCGCCTCTTAGCATTTTTAAAATTTCAGTTGATAAATTATAAGTTCCTTAGATCCGAATAATTTTAACTGCTTAGTTCGATATGTAGATAAAAATATCAGACCATGCATAAACTGCAATTCGTTCTAATCAAGCTGACATTAACTTTTGCATTTCTGTACATCGAATAAGGCATTGGATGTACGACCGTATGGCTTTAAGATATTCTAGGAAAATAGTAAAACAATATATTGTATATAAATCTTATGTGATGGACTGCTATATCTTTAAGGATGAAATCATTACAGCATTAGATGACGCACAAACGAATCACGTTTAGGTACTGAACAACCTGATTTTTTCAAATCATTTAAACCAGATTTATCACTTATAGTATTTATTAATGGCATTAGCGAAAGTCGCACAGAACTCCCAAGTCAGGTCGTTCAGGGTCTAAAGTTTGCATAACTCAAGAATTATTATAGCATCTTCAAAGTAATATAACATAAAGAAATTTGCATTTGGTTTGCTTGCGTGTGTGATATAAAATGTCTAATTTTAGTTCCTACAATAAACTTACATTCCAACTCGCGTAACACAGGAAAGAAGTACTTATAATCAGTACGAGGTAATGCATTTTGTAAAATTAAACGATAGAATTTCTTAAAATGTTACATGTATATATACAATATATACATATAGTATGATTTTGCCACTTATCATTTTGTCCATATACATGTTACGTATGAGATTCTGTAGTCAGTAAATAAGACAAGTATTTAAAAAAATAAATATTATATACATAGTGCTATGTGGACTTTGCTTTATCGTTATACCTTGCATGCTCCTCTGTCTATTTATTTAAGAAATAAGTCACCGCAAATTTTTAATAAATTATTCTTTTTTATTTTTCATAAAAGAATCATTAATTCATGTTAAAATTTTCGTTTCTGTTCATTCAATTTTGAATTATGTATTGGTGTGGTTGTAACATATGCGCTACTAGTGGCGTAAGCTGATACTACTATTGACCATATTAAGCTAGCCGAAAGTAGACAATCTTTCACCAATTAGACATAACCTCACGTTTCACGCGGTAAGCTGTTCCACGTGAGGATATATTGTGTTGTGTATGTACATTGTGAAAAAGAGTGATTTCTAATAATAAAGGTAATAATAAAAATTATATTATTTCCTATATGATATTTGAACATGCTACTGAGTATATAGCTTTGATCATTATGTGTATTAAATGATTTTCGACGATAACTGTGTCTAAGGATAAACGTTAACCTTATATATAATTATATATTAATGTGGGTTATTTCTTTTTAAATATGATTTAACAATACTTGATTTTTTTAGATGACATTGCAAAACTTCCCTCGTGGTGGGAAGAAGCAAAAAATTAAACAACCTACTGATCTGGTAAGTATATTTTGCTAGTATTTTTAAAAATTTGCTAGTTATACTTTATTTGTACATACTTTTTCTACAGCTTTTTGGTAAGAAAGATAAGGCTGTGCACAAGAGAAAAAAGCTTAATAGTAAAAAGATTAATTCCAAGGCATCAGTAGAGCCAAGTAATATTGTTGCAACAACGGCAGAATGTTTGACGTTCAATGCTTTGACTCAAGGAATGATAGTTCTTGGACGTATTCAAGAGAGTACTCAATATGGTGCAACCATTGCTCTTCCTGGTCGTATATGTGGTAAATTGGAAGTAACAAATGTGAGCCAGGCATATACAAAATTGTTGGAGAATGTAGTTAACTCAGAAGATGTTGAAAACCTTGATTTCAAAGCATTACCTGAAATCTATAAACCAGGGGATTATGTGGTATGCTCTATTAAAGAAGTAAATCTCAATGAAAAATGGATGGTCTCTTTATCCTTCGAACCAGAAATGGTAAATCAGAATTTAGACCCAGCACATTTGGTCAAAGGGTCAAAACTTGCCTGCTCAATCAGTAGTATAGAAGAACATGGTTATGCCGTGGATACTGGTATAAATAATCTACGAGGTTTTCTATCATTAAAAGACATCGAAGAGGGAAAAGAATATTGTAAGTATAATTATCGTAGTTGTAAGAATAGTGATATTAAATAAGATATAATATTACTACATTTTAATACAGATGTGGGCCAACAAATTTTATGTGCTGTTAAGGAAGCAAAGACATCAGATTCAACAACAGTCGTAAAACTTTCAACCATATCCAAACATGTTACAAGCTTGGTAGCTCTTCAACAGCAACCCCTGGATACTTTAATTCCTGGTACGAAAATGACTCTGGAAGTCAAAAGAGTATTATCTAATGGATTGCAAGTAGTTTTTAATGGTGGCAGTATTGGCTACATAAACCAAACTTATTTGAATGGTCCTTTATCTTCATATAGTGAGGATATGAAAGTGCACGGTACACTATTATATATCATGCCAACTGTTAAGTATGCATATTTCAGTTTATTATCAAACGACCCTGAGGTGGATAAATTAAATATTGGAGATATAGTAGAGAAAGCTCGAGTAGTAAATAGAGAATCGAATGGAATTCTACTGAATCTACCTAATAACTTACGCGGATTTGTATCGCTTAAAAAAACTGAAGTCAATTTTGACAAAATACGTAAAGTGTTTGCACCCAAAACTATACACAAATGTAAACTTCTGGCATATAATTCACTTGATAGAATCTACATATGCACCATGCAACGACATCTACTGCAGCAAAAATATGTCAGTATTTCTAACACAAAGCCTGGAGATTTATTGAATGTGAAAATTAATAAGGTCGACATCCAATCCGGTTTCGTGACAGTATCAGTTGATAAAATTTCTGGATTCGTACCCCCAGAACACATTTCGGATTTAGGACCAAAAGAAATTTCCAAATTAAAAGTGGGTGATACCATTAAAGCAAAAGTCTTCAAATTAGATAAAGAAACAAACAAAATAACATTCACACTGAAACAATCATTAGTGCAAAGTAATCTGCCGGTTTTACATAATTTCGAAGAAGCAGAGGTTGGTAAGAAACATCATGGAGTCGTTGTACAAATAACAACGCAGGGTTTGCTCATTCGACTTATTGGGGATCTGAAAGGATGGGTTCCAGCACAATCATTGGACAGTGAAACTGCTTGTAAAAATTGGAATTTTTCTTTCGGTCAAGTGGTTCCCATAAAGATTGTACAGATAAACCAAGATGAAAAGAAACTTTTATTTGAAGTAGTTACTAAAGGCAAGGCATCAGTATTGAATCTTTCCATAGGCGAAATGGTTGAGGGTACTGTGATAGATTCATCCCCTGAGGGAGTTCAAGTAAGAATCATAAAAAAAAATCAAGAGAGCTCGGAGGCAGCATTTTTACCAGCAGGACACATGGCACCCAGTTCTGAAATAGGTAGTTTACTAGCAGCTAGATATGTACCTGGTGATACTATATCTGGTATGGTATTCTCCACAAAACCAAATTTGATTTTAACAAGAACCCTTGTACCACAAGAGAAATTAACAAATTTTGAAAAATTGAAAATCGGACACTGCTTACCGTGTTCCATTGCTGAAATTTCGGATGTTGCTGTGAAAGTCATATTACCCATTAAAGATATGTCAAACTTTGGTACGATACCCTGTAACGAAGTTTCAGGAATAGATTCGCTATCTATCCATCAAATAATTTTTGGAAAAATCACTTTTATAAATAAGGAAGAAAAATTAATTACTCTCACTGCAGCCTTGCATAATGTATGGAGTGATAACGTTAGACAAAATATAGACATGACCACAGCCGTAGATGTCCTGAGTTTGTATTTAAACAAAGTAGTAGAACTGTCCAAACAAACTTATTACGAATCTTCAGCAATATCCAAAGTTGTCCTAGGTCAGAGAGTAAGTGGTACCGTAGAAAAAGTCACGGATTACGGTCTTGTTTTGAAACTTGATAATAATTTGAATGGTACAGTCCGCAAGGAAAATTATTCGAAAAAAGTGAATGTTGGTGATAAAGTAACCGGATCTGTTATATGGGTAAATTACATTCATGAAATTGTGGAAATTGTTTTGCTACCGCATATAATAAATGCTATAAGTACAAAACAGAAAAAGTTGTCAACGATTCCTACAGATACTCAGTTACGTGGTGAAATTGTATTAGTTACGAAATGGTTCGTATTGGCTGTACTAAAGGGTCATGGAAAAGGTACACTGGTTGCTCTACCATCGCGCAGACATTTAAATGATGTAGATCCCGCTCTGTCGACGTACGTTGTCGGTGGGAAGATAAAATGTTTCATTGTATTGAATGTTAACGAGTCTGACATATTACCAATTTGTATATTAAAATCTGCATTAGAACCACGAAAAGAGATCTTATCACCAGAAGTAAATTCGAAGAAGAAAAATAGTTTGAAACGACAGATATCAGTTAGCGAACAGCCGGCGGCAAGTAAGAAATTAAAAACTGAGGAATCTAAGAAAGTCAATGAAGAACAATCAAATAAGAAGACTAAGAAAGTGAAGGAAAGCAATGTGTCTGAAGAAATTAATAAATCGCGAAAAACTAAGAAAGAAAAGAAACAAGAGCAATTATTAAATCAAGTAGATATTGAAAATACGACACGGAAGAAAAAAAAGCTGAAAAGAAATAATTCAATTGAATGTGAGACAGGCGTGGACAATGAAATTGTCGAAGAAGTATCGACAAGGACAATAAGGTTTACAAATCCGCAAAAAAATGACATCGTTATTCCAGAATGTGGTTTCATTTGGGATACTACTCCAGATCCTACCCTAGCACTAGGAGAGGATTCTAGCAGTAGCGAAGAGGAAGCTGTGGCAGAGCCAAAAACAAAAAAGAAAAAGCTAAGTGCCACAGAACGTCGCGAACTTGAACGACAGAAGGAACGTGAAATTCGTCAAAGAGAAGAAGCATTGGCCAGTAGTCAAACGCCAAATTCAGTTGATCAATTTGACAGATTGGTTTTAAGTAGTCCAGACAGTTCACTCATATGGTTACAATATATGGCATACCATTTACAAGCAACAGAAATTGAAAAGGCACGAGCAGTCGCCAGGCGTGCCATTAAAACAATAAACTTCCGAGAGGAGAACGAGAAACTAAATGTTTGGCAAGCATGGTTGAACTTGGAATCAAGATTTGGTTCGCCCGAATCTCTTAACGATGTTTTTCAAGAAGCGGTTCGGACAAATGACGCATTTAAAATATATATGCATATGTTGACAGTCCATGCTGATGCAGGTCGACAAGTGGAACTTGAAAAAATAGTGACTACTGCTATTGGCAAATTTAAACAAAATCCACAAGTATGGATCGAATGTGGAGCTGCTTTACTCAAAATAGGACTTAAAGAAAAATCTAGGCAAACAATGCAAAGAGCTCTTCAGTCTTTGCCAGCAAATCAGCGTGAGTATTTTGTTATAATAAATATATAAAATATTTTTTTTACCTTATTACTAAACAGCAATACAAATAATACAATTATTTGTACACAATAGATGTGGATCTAATGGTGAAGTTTGCGCAACTTGAAAATAAGTTTGGGGATAAAGAACGATCACAAACTTTGTTTGAACAAGTTTTAAGTTCGTATCCTAAAAGAGTTGATGTATGGTCCTCATACGTGGATTCACTAATTAAATCTGGAGACATAGATATTGCAAGGTATAAATTATATGCTCCGTAAACACCTGGATGGTATTTATAAATGTTATATTTATTGATCAAAAATATTTGACTTTAGGAAAATACTAGAGCGAGCAGTTGTGCAAACATTACCAGCAAGGAAAATGAAGAGTCTGTTCAAAAAATTTGTCAGTTTCGAAGAGCAGCATGGTACTCCGGAACGAGTATCCCATGTTCAGCAACTTGCTGTTAACTATGTGGAAAATCAATGTCGTATAAAAATATCAATATAAATATATATAACAAACTTCGAAGAAAAATATGAGGAGATTGTATATAAAACATAAGATAATCATTTTAAGGCTGTAAACTCAGTATACTATTATTGGATAATTTTCTATTCTCGAATCACACTGTTATTAATATTGAACGTCTCCATACTGCACTAATATTATTATCTAAACATGAATCTTTCCACGTACTCAATTTACGATTTCAACTAACTTGCCTTCTCAGATCAACAAGGTATGTCGCTAATATTTTTATAAACCGTATGTACGCGGAGTCCAGCAATTCAAATTTGAAATATTTACCGGACAGAATACAGAGATTGCGCAGAACTTAACGGAAGCCATGGTAATGTGGTAATGGCGATTGTGACGTAAGCACATTCGGTCAAGGCGGTTCGTATTTTTTCTGCGCTAGCGCGGAATGCAGCACGGTGGTCGCGGAAAGAATGATTATCAACACGGAAATCGGCAGTTTGTAACCGCCATATTGTTTGTACGCACGTTGCTGGCGACTCGGTGGTGAATCTCGCGGTTTGCAAAGTTAGTAAAGGCGTCGAACGGTTTCGAGAAAGGTAAATATGATAGTGAAAAAGTGTCACGAAAGAACCATTTCCGTGTCGTGATAACGTGATTTGGTAAAAGCAGTGATCACAGGTCTGAAAACATCACCGTGTGAAATTGGTGTAAACCAGCAGCGAATCGATCGAATCGACTACGAAGCGACTCTCTCCTCGGCTCAGACTCCTCGAAAATCTAAATATTTGCCTGGATGACGTCACTCTCAGTTCTGAAATGGCCCGTCCGCGAGCATCCACTCTACGCGAGCCAGCCCGGCTCGCATTTTAGTCGAAACCACGAAATTCTGTGCGCCAAATGACCTCGAAAGTCCAGCATATTCGGGCGTGCGAGGACCGCGAGCTCCTCTTTCGTTAAAAATCACATTAGAGCTACGACACCCTGCTTCTCTTCGTGAGGAGTAAAAATCCACGAGCTATATCGGAACTTTCTCATCCCGTTGTCGTCGGCGCCTCGTGAGTATTTTCATCGGCGCATCATATGCGGCCTTTCTCAGGTGTGGGCGTATAGGTTATACGGCCACTAGGCCCCACTAGGAACATTCAGATAGCGTTTTGTGAAATGCCTTCAGTAGGCCATCGGGCTTAATCCAGTGCGCGACCCCTTTTGAATTGCCGTGTGTTTGACACTACTAGTACAAAAAATTGTCACGCTTGGATCCTGACTGGAAACCAGTTTGTGTCCTCGACTCAACGTCGACGGGACTCTCGCTACATGTCGTCCTTGTGTAAATTTATCATATTTTTTGTCTTCTCCCCCTACTCACGCACAAACTATCGCCATCATCATAAGCAGTATCCCCGAGTATTCAGTATATCGACTTTCTGTCGTTACCTTTTATCATTCCACGTGTGCTCCGTTTAATATATTTATAGATACTTGTGTTTCGTATTTAACTACTTATTACTGGCACAGTTGCGCAACCGTGTAATAAATACGTGAATGGTGTGATGTTTCTTTACTTTGAATAGTCGGTGATATTGACTTATTAAAGATATATTGATTTAACTACAAAATATATCAATTCTCTTCACATTAGTTTTAAATATAACCTAGAACGTCATTCGCGCTTTATAACGCAAGTATAAAATTACTGTGTCATCGTCTATCTCTGTGATCTAGTTTCTGCTTATTTACATAGTTGACAAACTCAAAGTAAAATATCAAAATGATCCACATGATACAGCAATCTTCAGCAATTGATAACAAAGTTAAACATACCGTTTAAATAAGAAAGTTGAAGGAATAAGTTCAACCAGATATGTAGGTGCTACCGTGACATGACGAGTGTAAAGCGTTTAATAAACGTAAATTCATTAAGGCTATCCAATGAAAAATCTATCCGTGATAACCTCTCTAATATAATCGTTTAGCGTGATCATGATACCGCGCTCAACCGGAAATCTAATTTTGACATCAATTTCCAGCACGTATCGCTTACAGGCTCGAATATTGAAGAAGATTGTAACTATTTTTTCTATACTCAATATTGTTCTCGATTCAAATGCAGAGTAACGACTCCTACGGCAAAATACATTCTAGTAATATTTATCTAACGTGAAGAACAGGCGACAACTTTCTCACTTATTATCCTATTCGTATTAACTCCACGGTTTCACGTCCCGCTGGAAATCGATATACCAACACGCTGCCGCTAGAAAGTCTCTATGCAATTTTATTTTTGTCCTAGTTATTTTTCATCCTCAAAAGCGATAATGACGTTATAATATCCGCTCAGTGAGCATTCATAATGCACACAGCTATCACACCAGCATTTGGCACGGAAATAACAAATTCTCCAATTCCACCTTATCCCTGGCATACCCGACCATTCTACCCGCCTATATGTTGCTTTCTATTCTTCACCTTTCTTACTTCTGGTACATGGCAACGGTCTGTTATACGTCGTGATACGATTGCCAGCGAATTCTTTCATACTTGTAACAATTTTATTACAAATAATACAGTCAGTTTAATTAGCAAATTTTACGGCCATACGAATATATACCCATCGTATTTCCTCCTGTCGTTACACTCGAGATCAATTTCTTTGGCGTAATTTGTTTAAACGAAAGTAGCGGCTGTCGCGCGTGCCAAGTTTTGCGAAACGTACAGTCACGAGTTACAGTAAAAACAATCTGGTACTTAGCTCAAACGTAGTATACCTTCTACTATGTAACGTACAGTGTAACGAATGTTTCTCGCTATTGTCGTTTAACAAAACTCACTGGGAAGCGCGTATCTTCCGTTACGTAAACGTACAGTCCCAATAGGTGGTATATGTCTCTGTTAACGAGGTTGATCCCTGATGATGTAACACGCCACGATCTTTCCATCCGTAGTTGAATAACGTCTTTGGTATTTAATCGCAAGTCGTGTGTAATGGCGAATGCCGTATATCTTTACTGTATGACTGAAAATAAATACTGCTCGATGACTCACCAAACGCGTGGGAGGTAGAAGGAAGAGAAAGATAGGAGAAAATCGGTGGCGCATAGGGAACGACCGTTTTGTCAATAATACTTAGATATAGCTTTCCACTGTAAATATACATACCGGTTCTCTATTACACAATGGATGATAACGCCGTTTATTACGTGATCACGTAATTCACTTATCACTGAAAAGTGTATATCTGTCTAGTCGCGTTTAAAATTCGAATACGGGTATAAGCGATCCTTTCCGTGCTATTATGCGAGCGCTGTGTTACGTGTAATCGGATGTCTAGAGTGACCTTCCGGATAATAGGACCACGCCCAAAATATTTTAATTTTTAGCGTATACTGTTCGAACAATACTATTAGTATATCCAGACAGAAGCCGAGGAATCTGTATGCTCATGATTTTCAGGTATCGATGGTAAAGGGGTGTTAGAATATTTTTAAAGGCTGTAAATAGTCTTTTGTATTTGTGACCGATGGTAACTATCATCTGTGCTGTATAAATAATATATATAATATATATATATATCATATATAAATAATATATATTATATATACAGTAGATACGTGTAACGGCCGGAGGGAGTCGAGGAAATTTTTTAAGATAAAAATATAAGATATTCACGCTCTCAGCGTCCACGATGTTTACTCTAAGAAGGATCTCCTTAGCGTTCCAATAAGTTTTTGTGAAGATATTTCAGTGTGGTTGACATGAGTCTCATAATGTGAAGTTCTTCTGTGTGTGAGTTGAACGTAAAATTATGTAACTGAGAAATATCTTCCAAGGTTATAAAGGATGAAACTAGCCTGTCTATGAACCAATTGGTCGATGCGATACGTATGGGACTAGACTGTATTGTACTCTGTAACGGAAATAGCCTAGAGGAATTTGGGATTAGGCGTTCAATTCGTGGAACGTGAGTTTTGCAATTTTGCAAAGATTTAGGCGAGTTTCTAAGTCTACTCCGATGAAATATGAGTGTGCGCTTGATGGATGTTGAATTTAATTTAAGATTGCTCGTTAGGGCTTCTAAAAGATCGTGTGGCTAAGCTGCAGAATACTACTGCTTAAAGTTAGCTGTGGATTGTTTAGTTTTTCTTTACATGTAGTCCTTCAAGGAGTTCTATGCTGCAGTTTTACCGATCATATCACTGTCGCGAGATAAAAGTCTGCCCGAGAAAAAGTTTTCTGCTGAACTTTCTTCTCGGACGATCGTTATTGCACTTGGGCAGATAGTAGATTTAAAAAGTGTAAAATCTATAGAAATTAGTGAAAAAATTGCACAATACTATTTTACCCGTTGTTTGCCATCGCTTCACTATTGGACAGGCGGTCGATTATGGTCAGACGGAAATTATGATTCTGTGCCGAGAAATTCCTTGAGATTTCATTGAGAGTTTAATGATTTTTTTTTATGGTAATTAATTATGTATCATCTTGGTATATGGGTATTGTGCTTAGTTTGCATTTAATCGTGGTCGTTATTAATATAGGCTGACTCAGTACTGGACGAAATTACAGTCGAGGAGGGAAACCCAAATTTTGACCAGATTGCTTATATCTAGAATGATTAATGAGCATTTCTTATAAATTCTAATGTCATCGCTTAATGAATATTTTATACGTATGGCTACTTTAAGACATTCTAATTAATATGTGTGATACTTGTCAATTATTTTAATCGACTTTTTGATCGTGCTTTGACTTCTTATTGGCAAATATTAATTTCAATGATTTTTTTTTATGTGAAGATTTAAAAGTTAATAGGGTCCTTTATGACTTCAGCTGATTCAGGTTTTTTTTTTACTATTCGAATAGCCGACATAGAGGTGGTTGATTGAATTACTGTTTTTGGAGATGTAACATATGCTTGAAGCATGGAATTATGGTGACGTCCAATGGGTATTTTGGTTTTGAAAAATTATCCCATGAATCTTTTTCGCGTAGTGTCATTGTACTTGAAAAATTATGGTAGATATGAGAAATTGTCATGTCGATCGGGATAAGGAATGGATTAAAGGTTGTTAATGAGATTTTTGTCTATTTCTGCTGATTTAATATTAATAGCAGGTGGTGGGATCGATAATTCAAAATATATAATTGGAAAGCCGTGTTTTGATAAGATAATAAAACTTTACAAAATTATTAAATTCTACGTTATAGTCGGGATCGATTAATCGAATTAGAGAACGAGGATGTTCCTTTTTACGCTAGCTACGGTGATTTATGACAGTGAACCAGACCTTACAAACGCGTGAACTTGAGGTAACGTCATATATACGTTCACTGAAATTTCACGGAGGTCGGTAAATGACCTCGTGCCAGACAGCCATATCGGGAGTGTCGATAATCTAGAAATAGAAATAACTTCGGTAGCCCGATGTCTAGAAACTGTCACTTCCATCCATAATGTATAACGCTGCTATGTTTATTATTATTTGAGTTGCGACGTGAAAGATATTTTTGTCTTTTGTGATGTCGTCGTTACTGTACGTAGTATCGATATTGGCAGATATTAATAATAGAAAAAAAAAGTCGTTCTCGAGCCAAGTTTCACGAAGGAAAGATCGAAGGAAAAAAATTAGAAAGTAATTGCTTAGAATATTCTTCCGGTGTCAACAATAGTACTCATTTACTTTTCATTGCATTATCCATGTAACGACGTAGTATTTGGCTTTCAATTATCCAGCAGTATTAAATCATATTCTGTATCTTTCTAATCCAGAATCGGAGTAAAAGGACAGCAGAGGAAATCATCGTTTTCACGGAAGTACAATGTCGTTTCATCGAGGAGGTCACGCGGGTGCCGTTGCTGTGTCATATAGTTCGAGTCCAATGGCGCCACTGTCGCCCAGCAGAAGGTACTCCAGTGGCAGCACGAGTACAACCACATCGGGAATTGGGAGTTCAACATCAAAATTTAGTACCTACAGATCGTCGGGTACCTCGATTCTCGATCGGCCAAGTAGTTACTACTCAACGTCAACAGCTGGCTCTACTTACCGATCGAATTACCTGTCGGAGTACAGACGATCGTTCTGCTCGCCAGGAAGGTGAGATTGTTTGGCGTAACGAATGAGTCCTCGAGGAGAATGGAAGCTTTTGAAAATAAAAAAGAAACAGTAGCAAGTAATACATTAATAGATATAGGTCTTATTTTGGAGACAGGATATATACATTTTCAAATTTTTTTTTCCAAGCGAATGCACGCTATGACTAAGTCTTGTATTTCCGACGAGAATACGCAGTCGAGAAGATTGTACGGTTTCACGTTTCTCAGTCAGTTCGTAGGTGGATAAAGTGAATGTGCATCGCGTTGCCAGGTTATGTCAGTGTAGATATCCATACACCTTGTGCACACTCGTGTGGCACTCGGCCGATATAAATAATCATGGATTAGAAAAATTTTACTTGCGCCACTGGGTATATTTGGGTAGTCAAGGAAACAAACGTAAAAGTTTCTTATATTACCAGAGATAACGTACCGATAAGGCATACTAAGTTATAGGAGAGATTAGGTCGAATTTACCTTCCCTGAAGAACGAAGCTCTGGATAGTTGAGGTAAAGTTTCTCTAGTTAACTCTCGATATTGCAATCGGAAGAGACTCGTTCTTGAGCGATACTACCACTGAATCACGACTCTAGGAATTTATCTAAGGCTAAAAACAATCGGAACCTTCGCTCGGGCGAAGCATCCTGCAAAAGTTTTCCCAGCCGATAGAAACTCAAGTTTCACTAGGAAGTCACGGGAGAGATTCAAGTTTCTTATAAGTGGTTCAAAGTAGGGAGATATTACGTACGGAACTACCCTACGAATCGATGAAGTAACTTTGCGAGTAGACGGGAACGTAACTGGGGATACCGAAGTAGTAAATACAATGGAGATGCGTTAATGACAATAGACGTAATAACATACGCTTAAGGGGACTCTGGACCTATTATTTACGATGCGAGTCAAATGTCAAATGAAAACGAAACAACAAATTTTATACAGAGATTTTTTCTCAAAACGAAGTTCAGCACAGATTCATCAAGATCAAAAGTAATGTTGACATCTAAAGTTATTCGCATTTTTAAAATTCCTATACAAATTTTTTGATCGGATTAATCTGTCAGTTTTGAGCTAATTATTACGAAAATAATTTCAAAACTATCAATCGTCTTGCATAATGTACGCTGAACTCTGTTTTTGGGAAAGAATCTCTGTGAAAAACCTTTTACTAAAAATTTTTGTTTGCATTTTACTCGCATGGTAATGAGGGGTCCGGAGTCCCGAGTATCCTGAACCCTGTACCAGACCCAGGCAAATCTGACAGATACAAAAAAAAACATTTGCTTATATCTGTCAGATCAGTCGCAACCTGCGCAGAGTTAAGAGACATAATATTTTATAAGGAAATATGAACATCAACATGGAGACATATATTTATTTGATTAGTAGGTAAAAATGTAAATGCTATTTGTGGAACTCATTATTCCAATTTTAATATTCTGACGTTAACGAATCGATTATTCAATTAACAAAGTGGCCTCTTGCGTGGACGGCCTAGGAAATCGTTTAACATATTTTATTCCTGGTGGTAAATCGATGGTAGGATCTTCTTGGATAATAATTATAATCCCGAGACTATTACTTCTGAGCTTTACATTATGGAAGGACCTTCACTCCCTGGAAGCGTTCGTAGCCTATATATTTGCTTTCGGAAGCCTCTCACAAGGCATTAGGCCTTTTGTCGTGATATAATAATCCACTTACAAGGGTCTGACGTTCAGACACCTATTTTCATTGGTTAGGTGATCTCCACGTTCAATTTCTATTTAGTTCAAAAGGTTAAGGTCAACTATGATCGCGCAGCAGGTAGATCAGTGTATCATGCCAGGACAGGTAGCCACAAAAAGACGTTTTTTCAAATTTATGTAACTTTTACATAGATGCTATATAACATTATAATTTTTATGCAATTGAGACACAAGTGTTATGAGAGGTGTTGGGTAGTTGAGCCCTGCTGGTTATACGTATATACGTTTTGGCATTGTCGACTCTTTATTAGCCTTCCTGTTGGCCTTGTAAATTAGTAGTATTTAACAGTTGAGAAACAACAGCGTAGTACCAGGTATTACCCAAGTGAAACAGTTTTTATCGATCTGTCCAATTTAATGTTTTTTTTTTAAACCATTTGCAATGCGGTTCAAGCGCGATGAAAAACTCAATATTCTATTCAGACACGGTTTGCCCGAGTTTCCTGAATTTAGATATCTGATATTTCTTTCGAGCTTTTTCTACATAAACATGTTTTCTCAAAACCACGAATTTCAGTAACACTGGGTACACCTGCACTTTGTGACTTATTAATACCAGCGTTTACCACGGCAAGAAAGTGGGTCGAAGAATTTTAACGTGTAATAAGACGATTTAATACATGAGCGGACGTTACCGGATAAAGTAAAAAGTATTGATCGACTTCGATTAGGTTGTAAAATCCATACGAAATCACTGCTTGCAATTCGTATTACATGTGCTATAAATTAATTTACCAATGAGATGTTTATATAGTATGACACGATATAAATCTCTATATGCTTACGTGTACGTATATTGGGAACGATCGACTATATACCGGGTGTTCAAAATGTCGGCCACACTTTGCGGGGGTTTGACTTGGTGCGGCATAGACGAAAAACAATGTAGGACAATGATGATTCAAGCTTTCGACTTGGCGACCTGGTGGGCCAACGGGCTCGTGCTTCTTTTCACTGGAGGGGCAGGTATAAATACACAGGTTGTAGGATCGCTATCAGTAACAACGTAATCTGAAATAGCAGGGAACGAATATCAAATGCGAAAGAGCCTCTAGCGTTTTGATAGATAGGGGAGAGCCAGTAGTAGAGCACTAGGTAACGCCAGTTGTATTGCGTAAGACGAAGGAGAGCCCTTGGCCGCAAGCCCAGCCCAATGTTCGCATTTTCTCTTTGCACTTTGCAGGTCAGTCTCGTCGTCCGCGTACTCCGACACGGGTTCCGGTGGCTCGGTGAGCAGCGTCAGGTTCCCGACAACGTCCTCGGGCGGCAGCAGCTCATCCTCGAGGGACCGTAGCGAGACCCGCGAGAGTCTAAGCAGCTTGACGACCTCGGCTGCCGACATCATCGCCAAGTACTCGCCCGCCAACTACGTGCCGAACATCCATCCGAGTTCACATTCGAGCAGCAGCTTCTCCAGCTCGATATTCGGTGGAAACGCGGCCGACGCCAAGAGCGGCACCAGGGATCGCGATAGGGACACTCTGAATCTTGATCAGAGATCTACGAACTCGTCGGCTGGGACGTTGGGACAATCCTCCAGGGTGACGAGAAGACCACCCCTAGGCACGCTGATCACCAGCCATGCACAGAACGACAGCGCCCTGGCGCCATCAGAGGTAACGGACAGCGACCAGCGCAACAACAACGGGCACGAGCTCAGCGTCAGCAATACCGTGAACAACAACAAAATCAATGTCATCGGGACCATCAAACACTTTGAGAATTTGCCTGATAAGACTCCAGACATCCCGGAACAGGTTCCTGCTAATGCTACTGTGAACCCTAACCCCAAATGCACTAGCCCTTTGTTCAGCACTAACAACCCCCGCAACAAGCTGACTAACAACAATGCTCGGGACACTGAAAATAAGATGGTTCAACTCGCACTCAACGGACCAGGACGCCGAGAGGAGGATATCTCCAGGAGTCAAGGAGAAACGACGATAGCTGAGGATTCCGAGGCTCGTGAGGATGCTCCGTCGCCGTCGCCGTCGCCGCCGCCAGTACCCTCGCCTACGTTCACCTCCCTTGAGCTTGCCTCGGAACATTCTACGGGATTTAACACGGGTATACCGGTTGTTCAGAATGGCAGTTCTGGAAGACCCTCCGGGACTCAGGGTAGCGATCCTCCCTCCTCCGTACCTTCGACCTCGCGGAGAAACGAATTCTTTCCTGGAAACTCGGACGATAGCTCATCCTCGTCCTCGGCAACTCCTCATCAGAGTGTCTACCGTGGTATCTCCGAACAGATCGTGAGTGACTTTAACCTCTACTTCGAACCGGATGGAAGATCAGATATCGAACGTTTCGTACGGAGAGTCAATCGCGTTTTAATTCATTACTTGAAATTGTGGTTAATGCCATCTTTAGTAAGGGTGGCTTTCTATTCCATTTGTATACCCCACTACAGTTTTCCTTCAGATAGTACCCTCTCTGATTTCGTCATGTTCGCTTCGTAGATCCTTTATCCGGGTTCGAATGTTTACCCATGCTTTTGCTCCCTCATTCTACCCGACTACGTACTACTCGAAGGCGAAGCAATCCAGTCGGCGAACTTTCCGTGAGTATTGCGTCTCGTCAGGATCTTCCCTTGTTTAGACAATTCTCCGCTCTTCGCTTTTATCCCGCCTTCTTTCTTGGTAAAGTCAATGCCGCCTGATTGGCCTTGGAGTCACAGTACGAGCGTAAGATATGTGCCTGAGAAAAGAATCGCGAACGCGATAAAAATAAGAGCTAACTTTTTCTTTGGAATTTCCCTTGAGACTTTCAAGGAAAAATTCATAAAAAAGGAATAATACAAGAAAAAAACGTGAAATTTTCAAAAGCACACGAACCTCTTTCGACCAACGAGGTTAACCTTGTACGTTACAAAAATGGTCAGTCGCTTTCTTGACGTCGATGACAATAATACTAGAAAACTTTTTTTCTTCGGCAAATACGTCAGTCGCTACGTTCCGGCATACATTACGAAATATCCGTGTCGTCGGCGTCGATGTCGCGTCGTCGTTCATGCTCTCGAAAGTCTCTACAGCGTTGCGAGCTTCGAGCTCTACAGCTTTATTAATAGAATTCAGCACTGGCTCTCTAGCTCTGGGAGAAACGTACAGCGATCGTGTATAACGGTAACTAGAAATGTGCCATCTCGTATCAACGCGATTATCTATGTACTAGAATATTATTCTCGTGTCGACAGACTCGGAGAACCGACTTTTTGTCCAATTGAAAAAAAAAAGTCGACAAACCCCTCTTCCTCGCGCAACTCTCGACTCTCACGACCCTCCGTTATATCCTTTCTGATAATGTAAATCGGTGAACGGTCAAATCTCAAAAGTAATCCCAATCGCCAGTTTGAGCCTAGTTCCGTGAAGGGAAGCTAGAGTATCTACAGTAAATAAATTGTGTACACAGCCGACGAGTATTTCCGTAAAAAGTAAAACTTATCATTCTTCACTTTTATCGTGCACAATATTTATACTCAGTCTCACCGATCGTACGTACTTCAAGTCTTCGGTTGCGCACGTGCGCCGAATTAAAAATACCAGAGCTCTAGATCTATATTGTATTTTGGTTTGACGCGGATGAGTTGGGGCCTATACATTGACGGTAAAGCAGCACGTAGGAAAATCACAGGAAACTGGCTTACCCGGCGATAGGCTGGATTCTCTGGTGCGTTTGGGCAATAGTCGCCGTTGCTTTCGCGTACGCATTCTTTCTTGGCGTGGCGGCGCCTCTTATCGGTACCGAACGCATCGGCACTACCGCTGTTTGTTATGCCAGGTACACTTACCCTCCGCCAGCCAGTGCACGTGCCGTTGACCGGCGGCCTTCGCTCATTCTCCTCAAGGTGAGTACTTTCCGAAATATCAGCAACCTTAAACACATATAAATCCTCCTGACACGTGTCTCACGTATATTCCGAAATTTCCAAGTAATTCCATGCGTCCTATCATTTCTCTTACTTGTTCTCGTTGAAACATTTTTTTAATGGATCGTTTACAGTTTACACTATTATCATACGCGTAAATGGTGTATTAGCATGTTAAAAACATGTCTACTGTAATTCTATGGCATCGTCTTTCACGTACGTATATTGCGTTTGAATGTAAACACGTGCTTGCTACTGATAGAACTATCAATTACACGACTAATCAAACGTACGATTCCTTTAAGGCTGTTTAGGGTCGTTCACGGAGTCTCAGGCACATCCTCGTACGGAAAAATTTATTCATACACTAGTTTATTCCTATTGGGATTGATTCTTTATTTTTTCATTTATCGGTTCGCCGTTGGGAATCACCCGTGCTTAGGAGAGCTTATGTTTTATGGATGAAAGACCGTGTGAATTATTTTACAGGAGGGAAGCCCAACCGGCAGGCCGCCGCGCAATCGACTGCAGGGAAATCGTGACGAACGTTGCGGTTTAAACGGATTGCGAAACATTGGAAACACAGTGAGTGAAGTCGTTATTACATGGATGCTCTGTTGTACTTAGAATTCTTTGGTTAAGAATTTGTTTTTGAGTTGAAATGATTTTTTTTTTTCATTTTTTTTTTCTGGTAGAATTTGAAACTGTACCACGTGTCTTCATGCCCCGTGTATTTGGACTTTTGAAGATTTCGCACGATTCTCTTGGAATACCTGCCGAATAATTATCGACAAGACACGCGATGCATAATTCGAGTTTGGAACCTACAATTTTGTAGAAGGCTTTACCCGCCGTGGATAGGAGTGACTGTTTACTCGGGATCAGTCACGCGACCTCAAAATCTTTTTAGCTTGACGAATGAAGTCCGTTCGAAATTGTAAAGAGTACAGGACGGAGGAATTGTGATAGCAGGGGAACACGATTTCTGAACTGGATCATATTTCATTGCTTGTTCTGTTTCAGTGTTTCATGAACAGCGTCGTTCAATGTCTCAGCAACACGAGACCACTGCTCGAGTACCTGCTGAACGATCAGTACCTGACTGACATAAACACTACGACCTCAAGCATGAAAGGTGCCCTTATTAAGGCCTTTAGTCGGGTAATACAGGAACTCTGGGAAGGTGGTAGCGATCACGTAGTCAATACCACGGCACTAAAAAGTCAAATTCAAAGATTTGCACCACGTTTCATGGGATACAGTCAACAGGACGCCCAGGAGTTTCTTAGATACTTGCTGGAGGGTCTGCACGAGGACGTGAACAGAGTGACTGTCAAGCCGCAACCCATTCACACCGATATACCTGATCATTACACGTAAGAGATCATTATTTTCTTGATGTTTAATTAAAGGATAGGACGCAAGTAGAATGGTGGGTTTATTGACTGGAATTTCATTGTTGGTTCACAGGGACAGCCAGAAAGCGGCAGAGAGCTGGAAACGCTATCTGCGTAGCGAGGACAGCACGATAGTCGACGTATTCGTCGGACAGTTACGTTCCTCTTTACACTGTACATCGTGTGGCCATGAATCCGTTACCCTGGATCCATTCTGGGACCTTAGCTTGCCAATTCCCAGCAGGAGTGGAACAGTCAAGCTTAATCAGTGCCTGGAGCACTTCACCAGGGAAGAGGTGCTGGATGGAGATGAGAAGCCAACATGCTCCAAGTGCCAGATGAGAAGAAAGTGTACCAAGAGCTTCAGTATTCAAAAGTTTCCAAAGATCTTGGTCATTCGTATCCTTTTTTTTCAATATCTTATATAAATTCGATTAATTGTCGTTGAACTTAGGGTTCGTATTAGTTGGTTTTTTACGAAGAGTTAGCAACAATGTATTGTATCTCCTTAACGTCATATTGTCAGATCTGAAGCGCTTCTCGCCGATGGAACGATTCCGCGGTAAGCTCAACGTGCTGGTGGACTTTCCGCTAACCGGTTTGGACCTCAGTGCCTTTGCTGCCCCAAGAGTTCAGGGTTGTACCTACAATTTATACGGGGTAGCGAATCACTCCGGCACCACCTACTCTGGCCATTATACCGCCTACTGCAAGCATCCGTATTCGGGAGAGTGGCACGAGTATAACGACAACAGGGTTTCGCCGGTACCAGCGCGATCAGTCGTCTCCAGCGAAGCCTACGTTCTATTCTACGAACAGCAACCTCATAGTTCTCACTTGTAACCTTACGCTACGCCTAGGAAAGAACCATCTTGCCTCGCGGTATCGGAACCCAATTTAACACCACCTTCCGTTGTGCGATTTTGAAAAGCGACTAAAGGCCGAAAAATAATGTTTTTTTTTAAAGAAAAAAAAAGAAGAAGGGGTTCCTCGTTGTTCGGCAACCACATGCAACCTTAACCTAATCTAACCTTACGACGTGGCGATAATCGCGTGTCCGCCTTACAGGATCTTGTACCTGAACCGCATACTCTTTTTTTTTGGCGATGTGGTGTCCTGGTGCATGCGACCTTGGTTCTTTCTTTCTCACAGTAGCCCTTCGATAGTTTATCGTGCCATGAACGCCTCGAGGAATGCGGGTAACGTTTTCGTAGGTGATTCATGTACATTTTCAGAATATATCGCGACGCTGGGATATATATTATCAATTTTCTAGAACTTTTTCATTTGTCTTTTTTTCTCTGGGCGCTACGGGAAGGGAAGACATTGTCCCGATTGGCAGGGCTGAAAGAATAATGTTCTTTTATATTTTTTTAAAATCATTTTCAAGCATTTGCCATTTAAGAATTTGATTCGTTTCAAGTGTCGCCAAGGTAAGCACAGATTTAGATGGTTCTTAGACCTTCAGGTGTCTAGTTGCTTTTGGGAACGGACGATATGGTTAACATCTGTCACACTCCTCACCGAACACCAGGCTATCTACGGCTATTTACTTTTGTAAAATATTTTGTTTAATTATTACAGTCAAGAGTTATTTATTTAATTTATGGAAAGAGAAGAAAATGAAGAAATAAAATATTAATATATACATTATTCATGAACGATATGAAAATAAAGCGAAAGGTTGATGGATAATTCAACGATATACCCTTATCGTGATATCTTTTGAGCAAAAATATAGTCCTGACTTTCGTGAAGTTGTCTAGTACTAAAGAAAATTGAATAAGACCTAGGGTTGTAACCATTCATATTTTTAGAGAACGCGTGATCTATACTTAAACTGACAAATGATTTACTGCAACCAATTACAAGTGACGAATGCATCTCGAAAATTAGTTAAGTGCAGGTTGCAGTCGGGTAGCAACATGCACATAACCATGCATTAGTAATATTATTCCTCAGTTAGCAGAAATTAACGCTTCGCATATAGCGGTGTAGAATGACTGTTAGCATTCGTTAAACACTTTATCTTCGCTCATAATACCCTTACACCTATCACAAACAAATATTGGGGGACTATAATACAAAATATAAGCAATAGGTAAGTAACGAGGTCGTAATCTGCGCATCGTATCGTGGATAAAAAACTAATCTATATAAATAAAAATTAAATGCTGTTCGCTGGAGAGAACGGCTGGATCAATTTGGCTAATGGTTTTTTTTTTTAATGTTCGTAATAGTCCGAACAAGGTTTTTAGGGAAAGAAAAATTCGGGATAAACAAAGTGCTTTTTTCTACGGGATTTTTGTATGAACTCAAGACCGTAACTAAGGATTCGAACGATGGATATACGTAATTCTTTTTTTTGTTTTGTTCGTCATGGACAGGACAACGTATGTCGGGTCCGCTATTGGGTTAATAAATTTCTAAATATTATATTTTATTAAGAAAGAAAAAGAATTTCTGAAACAATAATAAAAGCGGTCCTTTTTCTATACATAAATAAAAGTCAATTTGAAGCAACGAGATCGTTCGAGAAAATCAAAGAGATGCGATTAAAAAAAAGAATGGCGGAAACGTCGACTCTATAGAGATTCATCGGTCAACTGTTATCAAGGATTATGAATCTGTTGTTTGAAGAATGGAAAATAAATGAAACTATAATTCTACGTAGGATCTACGGTTCTATGAAATTTGTATGATCACAGGTACCATCCGTAGTGTCTTGAGAATTATAATAAAGCATAAGTAAAGTGATTTAGGATAGGATTAATATCATTGATCGATATATTATAACGAATTTATGACACGTATTTTTGACTAGTTACATTCGCTAAGAATACGTCCCTGGAAAACGTTCGATGTCGTTCGCCAATACCAGGAGCAAGGTAGACTCGTGAATTCCTTAGGGACGTTCTCTGATTGGTTGGAGGTAGTTTCGCGCCTATCTGAATACGGCCTAAGAGCCACAGTCGTCGGTCAATTCGCGAACGGAGCGTTCGCGAAGTTTGTCTGCACCGCCGCAGTGTAGATGGCAGCGTTGTATCTCTTCTAGCACACGTCGCACGAGGCTCTAGTACCGTGCTGTCTGCACGCGTGATACGAGAGGAAATAAAGTTGAATACAGACCTAAATAAGAGATAGCTATACCGGCAGAAACGTGTACGAGCTCTCGAGTAGGATCTACCCGTAGAGTTAGGTTAATACGCGAAATAAGAGATAGAGAGCCAACAAGATATAGATAGTTGAGAAGCGCGTGCGTTCGCCGCGCGTTCCTCGATGAGGAGGTGAAGGAGAAAGAGGTGTCGTAGTAGCAGAAGGAGGAGGAGAAGATGAGGAGTCCCAAGGAAGAGAAGGCTGTGACGATGAGGAGAACAGAGAGGAGTCGACGAGTAGGGAAGTCTGGAATCTCGAAGGTGGCTTGTGTGTGTCAGTGCTAGGAGGTCGAACAGGAGGAAAACGAGGTGCTTGCCGCTGCTGCTGCTGCTGCTGCTGCTGCTGCTCGTGGTGGAGGTGGTGCTGGTGGAGATGGCGGTCGAGTAGTAGGAGTTAGGTTGCCTGGAGGAGGAGCAGGAGGAACAGTGTGCGATATTTGCGAGTGTGCGCTCGTCTCGCCGGCCGCCGCCAGCGGAGGGTCGATCACCCGCGAAAAGCTCCTCTTTTCGGTGTTATTTGCGCCTAAGGACGTCGTCCTTGATAAGCAGGGGTCAGCGAATTCGATTTTCGAGGCTGGTCGGCCGGTGCGTTTCCGAGGCCGGCTGAGGTTCGGTTGTGGCTGTGAGAGGGAAGTTTGGCCGTATATCGTCGCGGCGAGGGCCCCTCTATGTGCCGTGCCGTTCTCGGGCCTATCGCGTGCTCGCGCGCTCTGCTCTCCCGTGGGCTCTGTTGCCGAGTGCTTTGCACGCCGGAAATAACGAGTACCGTTCACTGTTGAGAGCCGACGGGACCGCGGTTCACTATACGGGGCCCGTGGCATGTTGACGGGATCCGGGAAGGACGTGAACAAACCCGGCACGAGGGGGACGCACTCGAAAACGCCGCGAGATTCGCCGTCCGGGAGACGAGCTACGAGAAGCCACCGGCTATGCGTGAGGGCAGTGATCTCTCAGGGAGCGGCGACCTGACACGAACGCCCGATAGCTATAGGATATATATCCTCCTCGGCGCACAGACTCGCGAATCTGGCTGGCTCCAGTCTGCGACATCGGGATTCCGTACCTTCATTCTAACGAGGTAACACAAGACTCTCTTACCGCTCTTGCGATTAAACCCCTGGCGTGATAGTCTAAACTCTGTCCATCTGTCCGGTTATTATATATTGCTATGTCTCCCCACCTTATTCTCTCCGAGAGACTCTCCTCGACTCGGCTCTCTCGTTCTCTCTTCTCGTAAGCGTAACGACAAAATATGTGGACGCGACGGTACACGTTCGTCGATTCCTTTGAGATACGTTACGTTCCAGCAGTACTTCTCACTACGCTTCACCAGCCCGTTGTCTCTACTGCCGTACCACGTATTGTACGCGTGACCAGTGCTTTAAGCTTGTGAACTTCACATTCTCACGTATCATTTATCGTAAGGTAAAACGCTAATTGGATTCGTTCGGATGTCTACAGGAAAGGCTCGATCTCGTCACGAGCGTAGGTGTGTCGCTAAGGAGGCTAGGTATTCGATCGGGAATAACGTGTGGAATCCTTAGTGAAACGAGTCTCGAGACAAAATACTCTTTGGTATCGTACCCATTGGCTAATTGTGTGCTCAATATTACCGGGAGCGTGGCTCATCTCGAGACGTGTGCTCGCAAGCTCCGCGACAAGGAAATTACGCAACTTTCTTCCCTGGCGTTATCGTGCCTTTTCGACCGTCGTTCAAAAAAATGTTACGCTCGATTTGCACACATGCCCTGGACGCGGCACGCGTATTACGTCACGTGGGGGACAATCGGGGTAATATAATCGTGGTGCACACTCGTTTATCGTAATTTTTTAAATTTTACACTCAGTGCCTACCGGGAAAAATTATTTCTACGTGTCACGCGCGCGCGAATCTCCAATCGCGTGACGTACTTATAAAATGGCAGGTTTAATAACCAAACTGCGCTACGGTTTTATGTAAACCTATCAATGACATAGCACACTGGGTTTTTTCTGCGCTCGTTCGATGCCTTCTGCTACAGTTCTTTTTTGTTCTTAACGTAAGGACAGTTTACGTTCAGCACGTGATATAGATAGATAATACTTTTCACGGACACTGCACGCCTAAAAATTTAGTGATTATACCACACAGAGGAGAGCATCGAAAAGTTGGATTAGAAATGTATGCTTATTACGAGTATCGTTTACAAGAGTGTAAAAAAGAGTATTTAATACTAGTGACAGATAAATGAAAAAATTGTCAATACACACCGTGACGACGATTAAACTTTTGTTTGAGTAACAGTTCCGTTAAATATTTTTAATCGTACGACGTGGTTTTATACACAGATCAAACTATCAGTATTACACTTAATTCGGTTAGTGATTGCGATAATTAATTAAATCGCACTGACTATGGATAAGATCATTTGCGCGATATTGCAAACTTTATGCGATAGTTAAAGGCTAGTTAGTTTCAATGACTTGGTTAACCAATAATATCCTTCGAGGGATACTTAATTAGTGGTGCCTGTCAGTAGTCGATATAGAACTGTACACGATAAAACAACTAGTCTATTTCGATCGTGAATCTCATAATATTGAAATTAAACGTATATCGATCTATCTTTAGATAGTTGAATTTTTATAACAAAACACATCGATCTTCACTCTCTTGATATTCCTATATCCAGCTGTAAGCTCATGAAATTACCTAATCAGTATAACAGAAAATCCGCAACCAGATTCAGTCAAACTCAGCTGAAGTATCATCGATTGTTAACAGAGTACCCATACTAGAAGCAATAGCGCATTTAGCCTAAAGCACAATGCCTATACCTGCATTGTGGCAATTACATACAGTACCAATTGTACGATCAATAAGTTCATCTGGTGTTTAATAAAAAGTCACGTATCTGGTGTATCGTTTAACCAGAATTACGTATACATTAATTGACAATTTCGTACGTGCACACGAACATAACCTAAAATAGTGACAGGTATTATATTCTTGTTTCTCCACTTTTTCCTCGTGTTCATTCAATTTCTCAGCCCTCGATTCTCTACCAATGTTATTATACGACCTATTTTCTTTCTATTCGTCGCATTTGACGTGTCAAACTGTATTAGAATATTATCAGTGCGGTCAATCATATTGGGTTAGAGAAACGACAAATGGCAGGAACATAGGTTAGGTTAACAAGATCGCAAGCCAAATAAGGTCAAAGCTGTACTACCGATTTCAGTTGAGTTCTTGCGTATTAATATATTACTCATATCGTTATACTTATATATTTATATATATATATATAGCTGAGTGTATATATGTGAATTAATATTATACGATATACACAGTAGTATAAATTGTTAAAGCTATGGATCTTCGGTGAGTGTCGATAAAGCAGATTTGGACGATCCTAATTAAATATGACGTCATCGTGGTTAATTAAAAAATTTACGGAAATTTTTGGCGCAACGTTAACCACTTGCTGTTAGATGAAACTGCATTTCTCTAAATTTTTTCTCGAATTTAATTTTTTTCAATCCTTGCTATCGTACGTTGTGTATCTTGGTTTATGTTGATTAGCCAATTTTTCTACAGAATTTCGGAATGGTCAAAGACCTTTATTATGATTTTTGCTCAAGAGTTACGATGAATCAGTGTAATGAATTATGATGTTTGAAACTTATCTTGGCAGGATGTCAAAAGATTGTCAGCGTCACTTCCTATTGAGTAATAAATTCTGGTGAAAATTCTTCTTAGGGGATTTTTTAAAATATTTTAAGAATAATCGTTCTTTGGTTGGTTTCGTAATTTGTTTACTTGAATCCTTGATTCCCGGTTGGTAACACGTTAATTTATAATCATACAATTTTTTTAATTGGTATTTGATATATTATTGCTCTAATTTTTTTTCTCCATACTATAATCCATTTTCGGTGTCATTTCTCACGTAATACATTAGACTACGGACATAGGAATTTTTCACCCCATACGATTCTTCTTGATGACTTTCAATCGCGCTAAAGGGGGAACCATTTTCCGCTTCGATAATGGGCGCTCGGAATTTCTTTTTCCCAAAGATGTACACCAATCGTGAAGTAGATGTAGGAAAGGGCGTCACGTCGACAAAATGGCCGACGGTACGTTTCACAGCAAGAAAAGTATTTTCAAACGATCCCATCCGGCAGATATACAACCGTACTTCAGTGGTCCCATATACCTGGAAATATTTTCACAATGGTTACTCACACCCAAATTATTCAAACGAGGTCACAGGCACTTTTTTTATCTATCAAGAGTATCAAACCTTCCAAATAGATAGACATAACAAAACCCTACCCTACCAATTCTCTTCACAGTGCCATACTTGTCTATATAAATACAAATTATATAAATATTCTCTGTACGAAGTTTTCACTATTTTCATCATAGCCAGACACTCCCCTTAGAGGCTGTGAAACAAATAGCTACTATTCCCTAATCCTCGTGCAGCCAACTCATAAGTCCATAATAAGTGTCTAGTCCAGACTTCCATTAAAAAAGTCCCTGAAAGTTTATTACCCACAACTCTCTATTTACTCGACATTTAATCGCATCCTATAATATACCAAAGTTAAAAAAACCATTGCGATATCCCCCACGTACACATCATACACGACGTATAAATTTTCATTACCAACAGTCGATTCTTTTGCTCGCAAGTATTTTTGAGGTTAACTCGCTGTCTTTAACTAGTACCAGTGCATTGACAATTTTATTAATGAATCACGACAGTGTTTCACCTTCGCATCACAAGTCTAATCGATTATGTAGATAGAGACGAAAGGAGAAGTAGCCACCCAAGAGGTCTTACCTTATTCCAGGGACAATGCCGCGTAACCTAGACTCTTTGTAACCTTACTGCACGCCCAGCCGTCTTCGGCTGGCAATAAGATCGTAGAGACGTAGCCGATAGTCTGTCAGCCGACGCTCGATTCCCGGATGACTGGATCGTGTCCAGGATTACTACCATGGCTGATCTTGGATTTTCTCGGGGCTGGAGTGACGCGAAACAAGGTGTAGGTAAGCAGAGAGGTTGAGGTTGAGGTTGCAGGAGGCCGCTTTCCGTCTCTGCTCCGTCTAGTCTACCGGAGTAGCTCGGCGCCGCTACATATCTATATAGTTATACAGTAATAGCTATATTCCAGTCCGTGCATGTCTCTACTTGTATATACATATATATATATATATCTGCGTACACTTTCCGAGCCCGGGCGTTATACCTGGGGAGCTACGTCGATACATGCGTAGTGGTATTCTCCGAGCGCACTCCATATGACCTGACAGCTTCAACCCTGTCTACTACAGTCTATGTACCTTTCAGTGTGCTCAACTATCGTACCTGGAGCCAGTGTATCCCTGGGTAGAGATACTGTCGGGATTGGTAACAGTATAGAATCGCTTGACGGTTGACAGTTCGCTAGGGATGGGTTAATTTAGGTATGACGTAATTATCGAGATTTGAATTATTATTTTTTTTATCATTATTATAGTCGTACGATAACGTATAATTGTCTTTCAAAGATCGTGCACGGAAAATTTACGTGGCTCCGTGAGGCATTGAACCAAGTGCAAATAATTATTTCTTGTGTCATCGTAGGGAATAATTGAGGGGGTATCTGAGGGAAATTTTTTTTTTTCAAAGGAAGTTTCACCTCTACACGGTGCGTATGACCAATCGTACATAATATACCAAAGTTGGGCCTTTAATTGCGGAGAGACTCCCTTGCATCGTAGCGCTCCGGTGTCAACAGGTTTTATTTTTACTTCGCGAAAAGGCCAAGGTCCTCTCTTGCCCCTACCATGGATTCCCGATCCCCATTCCTCCGCCTCCGACAAGTCAAAGGGTGGGGAGACTGTCGAGGGATGCCACGACGAAGCTTCTGGATTAATGCTTCGACTCCTGAGAATATTCGTCTTGGTACTTTTTGAGAATCCACCATCGTGGCTACTACGTCCCAGCATGCATCTTTTCACGGTACTCGAGTATGTTGGAGATATCAGAAATTTTTGTTATGAATAAGACTGTGGCCGGACTCGTATTTTTTTTTTGCATATATATTCGAAACCTCGAATTTCTCTTGTTTCGTATTAATAGATTTGCGGTCTCCTATGATTCCAGATATCTCATTATCATTGCGATGATCGCATAAAGTCAATTAAATAGATTGAATCTCGAATGTCCCTCGTATCGAGTGTTGCTGGGAAATTGAAAACTGCATTTCCGGAAGATTGCTTTTCGAGTGCCGAGGATCAATTAACCTAATTGGACGAAACGGACTGCTATTTTTTTTTCAATATTTTTTTTTGCTAGTCACTAGTTTCCTCCTGTACACATCATAGTCTCTTGTAGTAGGTATAAGCCTGGTTCGTCGTATTTTCTATGATTCCATAAAAGCGATTATCCACAATCGAATTCTTTGGCAAAAAACTGTAAGACGAGTTTTGCATTCGATAGGCTTACAGAAGGAGATAAATTTCTATTGTCAATATCAAACGCTTCTCGTTTGTCCTTTCAGCGTGATCGATTGCCTTATCTATATCGGCGTTCGAGTCTCTTTCCACGTTAGGTTAGGTTAGATGACTTGGATATCGAAGGCTGACGCGAAATTGAATTTTCCGTGGTTTTGAATACCCGTTTTTAAATTCTAATTAGTATTTTAGCCATATAGTCAGATATCAAAATTGATTAGGGAGACGGTCGACTGTCTTTGGAAACTTTATCAAGACCAACCTGGACAGATCAAACGAATACTAAAGTAAAGGCAGCTTTAACACCTGATAGTCTATGCGCGTGCCTTTTGACCGAAGGTCCATTTACCTACGAATGTTTGCCGCTCGACAATTTTTTAATTAACGTCCTCGAGAAGACAAGAACGTCGCGCCAGACGACACTCGGTCGGTAAAAGGGAGGGTGAACGGTTCGTTTAACGAGTTTAAGGCGAAAGTCGAGAACTTTTGGGATATAAAGGTAAAATGAAAATTGCCTCGAATTCGCTCTGTAGATACGGAAACGATTATGAAATTGGCAGCGCACCGGTAAACGCGAATTGCCCCTACCCTGGGCTTGCACGTTATACCGTGTGAGAGAGGTGGGCGATTTCCAAAACGTGGTGGAAAAGGCTTCGAGGAAGTAGGATGACGTCGATGCGGAAAGAGCTCGACGTATAAATGGGATAAGGCAAAGTAACGATAGAACGGAAGTATACAGATACCCTAGGACAATGTCGACAGTGTGTAAGGATATAGATAGAATAAGCTAGGTTAGAGCATAGACATAACTATATATGAGTAAAGCGCAGTGCGTTAGGCACATAACGTAGAGGGATAGCGAAAAGGAAGCGGAGAAACGGCAATGGCAATGGCAACGAGAAAGGCAACGGCAGCCTCCCGCGGCAGCAGCAGCAGCCAGGACTGAGTGCAGCGGCCTGGCCTTCCGCTATACTCTGGACTATTATATTTCGCGCGGCTAGAGTCCGCATAATATATTCTCGAATATCGTGCACTCTCGTGATCAATATAAGCCCCGACGTGCGCCGGAGATGCACGAAGACTCTTCACAGTGGCGGAACTGGTTGTTTCAGAGTGGAGTGCAACACCGACTCGACTCCTATTCCGCCATTCAGGGCTACCCAAGTTTTCGACACCCCTGGATCGCGTACGCCCGAGAGGACTTGCATGCAATTTTTCAATTAGTCTATGTCCACCGGGCTTCCTTTTCTTCCTAGGTACACCCGTGCCCTCTGCCTGCTTGCTTCTTTTCCCTCTTCTACTATGGTACTCCTTCTAGAGCTTAGTCGGAGCGTAGGCAGTCGCTAAGATAGCCACGAACCAAGTACATTGCCCTTTGGGGTGGCACTCTCTCGACAGTCCAAAGCCCTCTCTTGCTTCCTCTTCTTTTTCATCTTCGTCCTCGTCCTTCTTTCAGGAGCCGAGGAGGAGGAGGAGAAGGAGGCTTACCCTCCCTTGATCTCCTTCTCTCTCTACCCCCTCCGTCCCTCCTTTATCTTAATTCTATCCCTTCTGGCCAACCAGCCGATTTTGTCTGACCTCCGGTCTGTCTGCCTGTCCACGTCGACCAGCTTCTCTACAGCTTCCTCCATCTTTGGGTCCTGCGAATAATTTTCATTTTATTTCTGCCACAGGCGCGATTCATATATTCCTGTCGCAGGATGACATATCTCATTCAGTTTTGGTGACACTTTCATCGTCCCCATTAAACGTGCTTGATCTCGGGCGATTGGACGAGGAAGTGGGGGACGGTCACGGCGTATTGGTGCAAAGGATCAATTAGGATGAATACTTAATACCGCTTCCGTGGAAATTTTCTGGCCTCGTTGACATGCAAAAAGTACATGCGTTCCTCGTTATCTGCTACTACTTGCTTTTTGCGAAATGGACTTCTAAGTAGCGCCAGATCCTTATTCTCGATTTATGGCTGATCGTTATATGTGAGAAGGATGCTGAAAAATTATTTGTAATCTCTCGTGATGATAAAACAGTTTTAGTTATGGACGTGAAACAAGGAGATCATTATCGTTCGGAATCAAAGGAAGACGAGACGTTCGTAAATATAATAAAAGTCTAACGACGTGCCCTTTAACGCGAGATAATGGAATGATAAGTGCGATAAATATTGAAAAGTCTCAAGCCTTCGATACGTTTCTCTCGTATTTCTCCGTATGCTCGACCACGCGATTGATTCTTAGCGTATAAGATTATATAAAAGTATGTAATTGTACTTTTTGTAAAACTATATTAAGATTCTCCTGGACTCGTGTGTTTAGGGCCACTTTGTTCGTTCGATAGGTTCGATTATTTATTTAAACTCGATTAACTGTAGAAAAACTGCTATCGCTTAAAGTAACCCAAAGAGCCTGTCCACTCTCCTTCGTTCTACCCTCGTTCTCTGGTGCCTACTTTGGTCTCCCAGTACGAAGGCCCATTTACCTCGCTCTTCCGACCAAACGAAACGAACAATACAGTCTCGTACAGCTCCCTTTGGTCGTCTAAAAAAAGGAGCATTATAAAAAACGCATAAAAAATGCATGCCGCCTGAGATCGCAGTACATCCTAGAGAGAAGGAGGAAGAGAAACGAAAAGAGGCGCAGGGAGAGCCAAGAGAGAGAGAGAGAGAGAGAGAGAGAGAGAGAGAGAGAGAGAGAGAGAGAGAGAGAAAGCAAGAGAAGAGACAGAATAAAAGTGGCCGCCATTCCTCCGATGCACGGGATATCGTCCGTTGCACTTTTCGAACGGGTTGCCACTGCCAGTATATCCGTAGCAGTCGAACGTGGCTACGCACAGGCACAAAGGTGGCTGCCGGGTTGTCGTAGGGTTCCATCTAGAAAATTCAGTGTCATTGAACGAAGAATCCCAGGCTGATATCAGGAGGTCATACCGACAGCAGAAGGAAGCCCCGAGTACGAGACGGCCTTTAACCTCTGTGAGAAATTGTGCGGGCGGGATTTTCAGGCATCGAGCGGGATTTTCGAACGTCTTTAGGCGGGATTTCTCCCACTCCGCGAAGCGGTGAGCGCCATTAGTAAACGGAGCGGCTGGCTGGCTGCGTTCGTTCGCCGCTCGTCGTTCGTTGCTTCGGGTGGGGTGCAGTCCCGGTGCAACGCGCCCCCAGCGCCCGCGCCGACTACGGCACTGCCCCTATGAATTTGCACTGGAAGGCAAACTCGAACGCCAGCCAGGCCATGTGCGCACGTCGGCCCTGACTGCACCTACGTTCACGTTCGTCGACGCTCGGATCGCATTCTCGTTCCTTCCTTCGTACTCCGTACGTTCGGTTCCTCTGTTCGACTCCATGTTTCTACGTGCTTATACGCTTCTTCTCGCTTATCCTTCAGTTCTTGTTTCACGTTTCATGTACGTACGTACTTCGCTCGTCGATTTTCTCTGAAGCTTTGAAGTTAACGCCGCGCAAGTTCCTGCCGTCGCTGTCGTGGTGGCCCTCGCAGCCGCCGACACCACCACCCCCCTCCAACCGTGGAAAACTAAATCCTCCCCGTGTCACTGAACCTTGCCGTTTAACCCCGTCGGGGGATTTGCGTTCGGTTTTTCCGCCTGGGATAACCCCGACGCCCGGACGTGGGAAGAGCTCTTGAGACACCGTGTTACTTTCTACGTTACGTGGATACGACCCTCCTGTATCACCAGGACACTAGTGGTGCAAGTGCTGTTTCGTTCTCTAAATCCTCTTCGATTATAGCTCGTCTACGTTTCCTCTTTGCTGCGCTAATCGGCCGGATCCCTCGATTCTCCGATAGTGCCTGTCCGATCTATCGACGCGATACAGACTTCAAATTTATTTAGTTATTGTATCGAGAGATTGTCGATTAAATTAATTGTGTATCACATCATAAAAAGCTAAACTTCTCTATGACGCGTTAGGCTACATTCTAAACGATAAATTATACTGTAAAACGTCCGTTGTTGGATTTGTGATTCTTGATCCATAGTGCAGTAACAGTGCTCTCGTGTACGATTTTTTAAAATGTTCAGCGAGTTCCTGCGCGTACGGCGTACGGTCTTCGAAGATGATCAATGCCCGGATTTCACCTGGGAGCTACCTTTACCAAACGAGGGAAACCAGGATTGTACGAGAATCAGTATAAAACGAAGGATGGGATCGTCTAGCTCGTAACGGTGAGACGTGTCTCACGGGATTTCATCGTCGTGGATCGCATCAGTTAAATTCATCAAGCAAGTACAGATTGGTTCATCACCATTTTACCACTTTCATCGTCACTCTCTCTCACTCTCTCTCTCTCTCTCTCTCTCTCTCTATCTCTCTCTGTATCTAACGTTTTATTTCCCGTGCAACTCGTGTCCGGGACGTGTCCTGGACATCGGATAGTGAGACCCCCAACGAAAGATCGATACTCTTCGAATTTTTCCAGACTCCAATGGCAGCTTCATCGACGTCACTGTTCCCAGAACCTAACTTTCATCTTTTGAAAAAGCTCCTCCATATCCGTCTCCCATCACCCTTTACGGGTTTCACGGTGCATTTCTGAGGGATATTTATTTTTGGGGGATCGTTATGGATACTCGTCGTATAAGAGGGGCGAAAATAATGGATGGGCGGACCTTGTGCTCGGAAGGAATGATGGTGGAAATCTGTAGGAAAAACTATGCGAAATTTGACGAGCACCATGAAAAATCCTTCTCGGAATCAATAAAATGTATAGCGATATTAAAAAAAAATTACGGAAATACTCGTATACAAATATCTATTAGTCATATGCGAAGGTCTGGTGTTCGTTCGATTTTTATTAAATTGTTGCTTGTTACTGTAATTTCATTGTTGCTGTGTGGAATTTTACTCTCCCCTGCCTTCGTGCACGTACGCTGATACATTTTCATTTATATATCAGCGTGGCAACGGATTGAAAAATGTGTAGGGGGGAAAAATGAAAAAGACAAATCATCGTGAAATATATTTTTAGATGCAATTCTCCGAGAAATTCGACTCTTACAGGATATTTAATCAGAGAATTCACTGTGCCATTAAGGAATCACGATAATCTAAAATCATTCGCTCTTCACGTTATATTAATTTCGTAAAACTTTGGTCCACCTATCAACTACTTTCTTTATCCCTTATTATTTTAACTGAGAACAATGCACAATAGCTTTCATAAATTATAAGGTACTCGATTAATGCAGTTCAGGTAATTCCAATGGATATGCTATTATTACGATTAATAATACTGCTCGAGTAACGATACGATGCTCAAATATAACTGAAAAATTTTAACGGAATTTACCAATTAGTTTAAAATAGTTATTTCTTAAAAGTTCCATAACAAAATAACAAACACGCGTCAATGCATTTCTCGACAATCGATAATCCTATAAACCATTGAACTGTCGATGGTTATCTATTTAATGCGTATAAATATAGACATATATCGTCATATTGATTACCTCTGACTATTCTCATTAGCAAGGTCATTGCAGAACAGACAAGAGTCGCAAGAGTCAAAACACAAAAAGTTTATTGTCATACAAAACTATTCACTCTGAGTATCTGGAAAGGCCTTGATTATCATAATACTTTGCATAATTGTCTGCCGCTCTCTTGGCAACCTTTTACGTTCAACCAAATGAGTATCTTCATTTCCCTACCCTGTTTATTTATTACTTCAAGCAATAGCACTTTTATACCAAATAACAGAAATTAGCGACAGTCATGGCTGTGCAATTGACGATTACAGTATCAGTGGCATCGGCCGGCTCTTACATATACACATATATCAAAGAGACAGTAATATCAGAAATACCGGCACAGTCTTCTTCGTGAGTTCCTTTGTCATACCGGGTAGAGAAACGCCAAGAAGCTGCCAAAAGACGAAACTCATAAAAAGCAGCACAAGCAAGAGCACCTAGGTTATGTCGTCCATTCCGGACTCCCTGTCAGTCTCACCGTTTGACGTTTAAACAACACTGGTCAGTGACGTCGCTACTTTGTCATTCTTTTGTGAAACAGTCACCCACCCTGTCTTGCGGCGCCTGTTGGGAATGCGCAGATAATAGCAACGCCAGTGTGATACAATATCGTTGATAAAAGAATTCTTACCGTTCGATTGGCAATTGTCCGCCGTGACGTACAAAAGAATTTTCATGCGCGCCATGTTGGAAAAGTTGTACGTATGTATATACCTTTGGGTTCGCGCTCTGTTTTACCATCGAAGGACAAATAATTCTTGGCAACGAAGAACACATCAGGACGCAAGATAACGTAGTGCCATGGCGCGCGTGACAATAAACAAGAGCTGTCGCTCTGCACGGTTGTATCGTTCAAGTGCATTCCTTAACGGCTGGCTCTATGGTGTGAAGCTCGTTCGTTTTTGACGTGTCGCTCGGAAAGTTCTATAAACCTACGTGTGGTCGTTTCGTTGAAAAGTATAAAATGCTCCGCCCGTCCTGTGAGAATCGCACTGTTTCTATTGCCTTTTTATATTTACATTACTGTACTTTGTCTGGTTTGACGATTAGAAAATGGCGATTACACGTCCAGCATCGAATCTTTTCACTTTGTTTACGAAACTTATGTCCCGACTGTATCGCGCGAGACGGATTACACGAACCTTTATAGGTTATAGTATTTCCAACCAACGAAGCTGTATGTACTCGACGTTGAATACGGTATCAAACGTACCTCTTCGTGAAACACTAAACGACAGTGGATGGAAATACGGAAACGGAAACTAGTTCTGGCTAAGATCAATAACCAAGTTGTGCATCTACCGTCTGGCGCAAGCCTTTCTCGTTCGCGTGTACCTACTCCGACATGGTGTTGTATGGTATGGCATGGCATAGTATCATATAGTATAACATAGCATCGTAGTACGTTATAATAGATGCGGTGTGGCATGTCGTGCCATGGCGTTACTTTACATGACCAGCCAGCCCTTGGCTAGGTCAGTGCTGTTCTTGCTTGGAGATTATTGCTGAAAGCGCTAAACCGGATATGAAAATGAAATCGTGGCCCTGCTTCGTCGCGTAATAACCCCTTGAGAAGACCGCCGTGTGTCAGTTTCGCGGTTTCCAAGTACCCCGTCGAAATAGGGAGCGAAGACTGGCAATTCCAGACGGAATACTTATTATGGATATGTGTATTCGGTTGGGTGATACGAATATACATTCGTATAATTTTTCATGTGATAATAAGATAATCAGTAGCGCCGACGATTCTAAGGAAATATTTGAGGTTAGTTCAACAATCGTAACGCCTTGATATTGCATACTGCGGTCGCAAGTACAGTCTAAGCATATAAATTTTGTATTAATATATTACTCAGCTTACACTTATAATTTATGACGTAACGATACAATTGCAAGGTTACTCTTTTTTCGAGTTCTCCAACAGATATTGTGATGCATTTTTGTTCATATTGACTTTTATTTAGATTTACAACCTGACAATGAGAATGGAGATTGAGTGTGGTAATAGATTCTGACGTAAATTGTGCATTAGTTTAAATTGTTCGTGGAGATATGAGTATATAAAAAAAATCATAGCCATACATTATTTGGATTCCCATGAAAATTTTATTGGGGATTATTCTCATTGCAGTTGCTCTTCTATCGATTCTCTATTTTCGTTCAAACTTCTTCGTACGTGAATAAATGCAATGTGCATTGTTCGCCTTGACCAGGCAATGATATTTCATGTTTCTGTCTTTGTCTCTCTTTATTTTGGGCTTAATTGCATTACCGATAGTTTCAGGAAATACTACAGATGTGTAGACTTAACTGCTTCATTTTACCCGCCTTGTTATTACGAGTACACGTGGGGTAAATATTATTGAAATATTATAAAGTAAAAACGCCATGAGATCAATTTTGCGGATGCGAAAAACAATTAAATTTTCATTTTCCACGTTGTTGACTGAAATGCTGACTTTTTCATGTAGCCAAAAAACGAGTTGCAAGAGCGTCCCATCAATTTGACTAACTTCATTACTTTCTTCGTATGTGTTCATTGCTTTGCAAATACGTTCGTGCAATTTTTCTTCGTAGACACGAAGTTACATTTATAACCCGAGTTTGCTAAATAAAACCCCTTGGGACATAGAATTTTTAGCACTGACTTTCGAAATGTTTGCATACTTTTTTCTTAAGTGACTCTAAGAATAAGGAAGACCTCGATAATCATGACTATAACAGTGCAGTTTGTGTTCAATCCATAAGTATTTACCGTATAGGACACAATTTTCATAGGACGTGATAAGATCAAGCCGTTATCTACGATTCGTTTGTTCGATAAGACAACGATTATCGATAAAATTATTTTCAAAGGATCATCGGTAAAACCTCAAAGTTCCTAGAACGCAACAATTTTATACGACAATAAAAGTTCTTAAGCACCCTAGTGTCAAACATATTTTCAAGCGTCATATGTATTATTCATAAATCGAAAGACTATCCAAAATGAAAATCATAGCCTAAAACATATCCGTTCAATTTACTTATACGAAATCAATGAAATTTCTCGATTCAATAATTAACGTAGTCTCTAATCAAGGCACAGTGGTATGCAATATAAGCTGAAGGCAATGTCCAAATGTCCTACCAATCCTGTCAATTCCAATGGTATCGCTATACAGATATAATTAACGAGTCCTTGTGAGATAAGCGAAAAAAATTTTGGTATACCCAATAAAAAGAGTGCGATAAAAGACTGGTATGGACGAGAGACAAAAAAAAAGAAATAAAGACAAGTACACGACGTTTGAAATAAAAAAGAAAAATAAACATGACAGACCCAATGGTATCCCGTAGTGACGACGTGTCGCTACGTCAACGTATGGTACGTGCAAATCGTAAAGAATACCGTCAGCTGTTGCTCACGCAAGTCAACCAGCTAGCTAGCAGCAGCTAGTCAGAGCTAGCTAGGTAGCAGCTATAGTGGCACGAGAGGGGAGCTTGCGATGACGAAGACACAGCTCTACACCTCTCTACTAGAATGCATGCCAGTCATTGGCCAGGCTGGTCTAGGTGGTGGGCGGGGATAGGCCTATGGGAGTAGTAAATCAAGCCATGGTGTTCCCACCATGTTAGGATCAAGGTGCAACTGCAGTGGGGCGGTGCATACTGTACAGGGCGAACCAAACGGCACCGGCAAACCGAATTTTCCCTGCTGGCCAGCCACCCCAATACACTTTAGGGATGAACGCGTCTATCCTGTCTGCCAATGCTTATTGGACTTGTCAAAAGCGACGTGATGGCGACCTACGTTGGGTTGGTTAGTCAAGCTTTTCTTATACGGAGATTTAAGTAGTTCGCTGCATTGCCGCTAGATGGTCGAGTCGCCTGATTGTACGAGGTGCACGTGGCTAGAGTGCATTACGTGAGACGGGACGTAAAATAGTTTATAATTTTTTTTGCAGACCTACGTGCGTCAAGCACGTGTATATAGTTATACCATGCCGTGGGGAACTTGTTTCTTTTTTTTTTAGAATATATAAGGAGTCACTACTACGGTTTTAGATGTACCTTCATAGACGATATTTAAAAAAAATACGATTCTTTTTCTGCAGCTAGAAAAGACATTGCCGGGAGCTTCTTCAATTTCTTACAGCTCTTGTATACATCGGTAGAATTTCTTTTGTCTTTCCTTCTCTCTTCTACGTGCTGGCATCGACGCGACGCTTTACCCATCTTCCCTCGGCCTGCACGAATTCGAGATACGAATACCTGGTAAAATTAGAGCGTCTACCGCGTCGAGTATGGAGTTTGCTTTTATTTTTCTACGTACACTGCCGTGTATACTGAGACATACCTGTGTACACAAAGCTTATTTCTGAGTCTGGATGCCTCGAAGAGAATGAATTTACCGTATGTAGTTTCATATATAAGCCATGGCCGCGTCGTGTTGCTATGGGGACGCGTCTGTCCACTCTCTTCTCTTATCCTCTTTCTCTCTCTCTCTCTCTCTCTCTCCCTCTCTCTCCCTCCCTGTAAGTCTCTTCACCCTCATTCCACTTCTCATCCTCCTCTATTGCCAGACCGTCTATCCCTCTTTCGTCCTCTCCGCCGTAGGTACCCTTGCTCGCCAGTTTCTTGCTCTCCCGGAAAAATACAACTCCCTCCTCCTCCTCCAAAGAGTTTCTGCAACTGTTGCAGGCGGTTGCAACGTTTCAACGAACTGCCGGCATATACCGTTCGATACTTACGCGTGCCACGTTGTCTGTCTCTCGTGACGATGACGCTGCAAGGAAGAAATACGTTACGATGAATAAATTTTGAGTTTTTGGTTGTGTCTACATGCAGTGAATTTTGTCCGAGAGATGAAGAAAATTGGAAATCCATTTTTTTACAGATAATTTATTCGTCTATTCTCGCTGTCTCTTTTGCTTCCTCGTTATTTATCGGTCTGTCTCGTATAGTCAGTATCACGGGAAGCGGAATGAAATTCTGCGATAGTATGGAAATACATGTATTTATCCTCGTTGCTTCGGGACTCGGAAGCAAATCGAACGAGCTCTGTCGCTGCAGGGAATATTCGAATGGATGTTTATTCAAGAAAATTAAACTATTCCACGGATAAAATGTACAGTATACCAGATTACGATAAACATGCTCTCTCAGTTTTTTGATATTTTTCATTGTTTTAGCTAGAAAATGTTTTTTATGGTATTTCGTTATATTCATTTGAGTATTATAATCTTTATAGTTGGCAGCAATGCTTATCAAAAGATATGAATTGTCTAGAAAACAAAATTTAGAAATTTTTTTATCGACCGAAGAACCTCCTCGAATTCAAAATGACTCATTATACTCCATTTATGAATGTCTGCTAACGGATTCACCAATCTCGTGACTATAGGCAAAACCCACATGATGCAACACGTATGAAATGTGGGCATTAGGATAAAAGCCAGCGATCTTCCTATGTCCTATCGTTCCTTCCTGGTAGCGTTTATCTTTTCTGGAAAAGTAAAAATATCACAATACTACTCGATAGCAACAAAGTAGATACTACAGAATTTATGAGGTAAGTGTACGGGCCGGGTCTGGTAGCGTCCTGACAATTTGTAGAAAAAGGAGAAGAAATGTTGTACGTAAAATTTGAGGTCTCGTTGCTGATAAAAAGGTCCTGCGAGTCGTGAAACAACTTTATGGAGTGAAAGAGAGAGAGAGAGGGAGGGAGAAGAGGAACCTTAAACGTGTCCGTCCCTGCATTGCAGTTCATTCACACGGCTGTCTCGCTAAATATAATATGGCGGTAGCCTTCTCCTCTTTGCCTCGGCTCCCCACTGCCTCGTTGCCCCCCTAATCCAACGCCCCTGTGATTACACGTTACCTCTCTTCTTCTCTCACAATTTCTCTCTCATGCGCACTCTCTTCCGTTCATTCGTTTCCATTTACTCTATTTTCTCTTCCTTCTCTTACTACTAACTCTACTCTCTCTTTCTCTCTCTCTCTCTCTCTCTCTCTCTCTCTCTCTCTCGCTCACGTCCACCCTTCGTCGATTGTACGACTACAAAACGTGGACGACCCTGCGCAAAACTACGTGAAATCACACGAATGCCTCTTACGTACATGTGCGTAATTTCATCTTATATAGGTACCTTGATACGTAAGTAAGCACGTCTAATTGTATAAATGTGAAATAACAGAAAGAAAGCTTCCTCAGGAAGAACTTTTATCGGCGGATGTACGCCGTCCCCCGGAAAATGAGTGGTTTCGTGGTTCACTTGAGATTCAGGTTCGGAATTTCAATTGAGGGCGGATTCGGACAATACATTGAGGTCTATGAACCGAATTCTTTCTCTCGTGGGAAGGCACTCTTCGACAGTGGCTGATACGATTTAGTGGTTGGCATCCTCTGTCTTCTGTGGCTTACGTATACGCTCCTGGACGTTTGGAATAAAATATCGCAACTTGGTAAATTTCAGATTATTTTCTGGCTGGCATTGTACTTAGCTGTACACGGGTAAACTTTTCTTAACCGAAAAGACATTTTTTTAGTTTTATAAAAATTTGTAGAAAATTTCTGAAAGGATACTGGGTACATCCTGACCCATGGGCTCTGACTGTTGACTTCGATTCTTGCATAATGAGTTAGTGACGTCTTATGGCGAATATACCTATTGCGTGTAAGGATGCACACATTACAATTCCAACTGCCCTTGGCTCATTATTATCAATTGAAAATATACGTAAAAGAAGACAACAAAAGGATTTTGGTAATTCATTTGTTTCATTTCTTTGCACGCTCTTCTTTCAATCTTCGTAATGTATCTTGAGTCACTTTTAGAACAAAGGAAAGCTTACGTAAAAGATTCGTCTTCCATCTCCCCGCACGAGATACGTTGCCCAGACATCAAACTTATTCCTCTGTATCATCGATTTATCGCACGCTTCGCAATACTCGCACAAATAGAGACCCAACGTTTACGTTTACGTTCGACCTACGAGAAACAAGTACTTGCCCTCTCTAGTCTCGATTGATCAAGAAAAATGAGCGTGAGTCAAAGGTCGTCATACTTCTTGATTCGTTGTGTCGTACGTTTTCCATAATGAAACTCGCTTCTGCTAAACGCCGGTAGAGAGCGGTGAGCACATTCTCAGAATCTGCATAACCAACAGACGCGCCAACCGGTCATTGGAAGTACTTCAAAGAACGTAACTGACAGTTTTAAAATTTCAATTATACCCTGGTTAGACGTTTGTTTAATTTTTTCATAGTCGTTAACATATAATTTCACTGAGTCGATAAAATGCGAGCTGTTATTCCGTACTGAAACGTTACGATAGAAAACGGCGTGAAATTAGCAATATCATCGTCTAACAATCCTTCTCAAAGTTTACTCTTCGTTGTTTTGCGCTTTACTGTTTTGTCACTGTTCAATTTTCTTGCGAGGAACGACCAGACGTCGACAAAGATGCTGGCTACGTTAGGTGTAGTACACACTGTGCATCTTAACATATATTTACTTAATATTGTAACCCTGCATCGGTTCGTACAACAGATTTAGTTTCTCGAAAGGGACAGTGTTTCACAGCAATGTAGATTTTCGTTTCGAAAGACACGTTTGCACGGGAGATCCTTTGTCACAGTGTTCAGGTTCCATCCTTAAGCTTTGTTCACAATCCTATATCGTGGCTGCATCCACGAAATTTCATATGCCGTTGAACCAACGCTTGCATATCCGTTCTCCGTATTTGCCGTATGCCATGAGTTTAGGCCTCGTATAAAATATGAAATTACCGAGTGAGGAGTGAGGGGAGAATTATTTACAGGAAGAAATCAATTATTATTTTTTAACGAAATTGAAAAATGAAGACGTGTTTCCGTGGTTTATAGATATTTTAATTTTTTTTATTTATCTAAAATGAATTGTTCCCTATCACGTTTCTTGTTCATCCATTGTTATAGAGACTAATGCATTCTGGGACATTAATGAATTATTTTTATTATAAGAAATGTGTATGTATATATGTATTCCTGTTAATATCTAATCGGTCAATTGGAAACAGCCCCTTATCCCTTTGGGCTGCCTCGGGAGAGCTGCAGAGGCCATTAAACTGTCTACGAGCGAAGAGGCTGGGGATTTTTACAACGCCCGAGCCTACCTATTTCTCTTCATATTCTTATTCTTCCTTGCTCTTCTTCTTCTTGTTTCTTTCTCGTAGGATACCCTTTTTTCTCTTCTGATCGCTTCGCGGCACTGGCGTAACTCGCGAGGGGCTCTTCTGTATTCCTTTTGCAAAATTACTTTTCGTGCCTCATACAAAGTAAACAGATATTTCTCTGGCTGTAACGTTAATCATTGTGGTCCTTAGATTTAATAATTTAACTAACCGAAGTCAAAGTTCCGATGGATTCATTAACGCAATATAGTCTTACACGAGAAAATCTGCGCTAATTAACACGGCGCAGTTTGCTAATTAAAAAAGTCTGATAATTATTAAAACCTATGTAATTATCTGTTTAAAGTTAAAAGTAGTTTATCATTCTCCCTATTGACTGCTACATCTATTTTTTTTAATTGTCATCGAATCGTCCCGGGTATACGTATTAAGTTATCTTATTTGCTTTCAGGTGGTTCGAAATTATTTCTGAAGCAGCAGGACTCAAATCCAGAAATCTCTAGGCCGAGGAAATAGATTCGACACGGAAAGGCTCTCTCTTGGCGTATAAGATCGTCGATTCGCGCGGAAATGTAATCAGCTACTTGATGACACTAACCCGTAGATCCGAACTTGTGGGCTTTTTTATATGCATACCGCAAGCTCCTATCTACCGGTACATGTAGTCAGGCCGGCGTTAAATTTTCGACGTATCTTCATTGGTCGCGACAGAATCGCGCAACCGGTGTCAACGTATGTATACATATCAGAAGAAAATATCCAGTCATTTTTTTAATGGATCACGATGGTAAGACCTCATGGGACCATACACGGGGTATATTATTTTGTCAGTATTCCGGGAATACACTGGATAAGAACGTTCCTTCTTTTTCGGCCGTCCAAGAGAGTTATTAAAAATATAAATTAATTTTTCCAATTCTACTATAATGCCAAACGGAGTCACTGGGTATAATCAAACTATTTTGATAAAACTAGTAATTTTTTGTTCATACAAAATATTAATCTTGGATCATAAAACGTCTTAATGTATCGTAATGCTGAGTCATTTTCAAAAAGTACTACTGTCAGTTCAGTGGTAAATTTACAGACTGAAAGATCATGGATTCTATGGATAGAAGTTTTGTGTACGATTAAAGACGGTCTATCATCATTTAAATCAATTGTATTTATCCACACATAGCTATAAAGATATAAGTACAGAATTGCTACAGGAAGATGGTAAGATAGAGAGGAAGAGTTTGATTGATCGAACGTGAGGAAGAGAATAATGTAGAATGAGTACTGGCATGAGAGAGAGAATGAGTTTGGGGATATTGAGAACGAGAAGAAAATGCATGAAAAACAATGAAAAACAGAAAAGCTGTAATTAAGACTAATGAGAAAGTATGATTAAAGAAGATTCAACATGGTGGATGACATAGCGGCGGCGCCTGGGTGAGGTAGTAGGTTGTATAGTAGGGAATGAAAATTCGCGAGTATGAAGTCCACTGTACAATTTGCTAACTCTCCCGGTCACCGGCGCCCCGACGCTGGATCTTGGAAGGAATACGAGTCAAGCGTAGCCCCGTCGTAGAGAATTGCGAAAGTTAATCGTATAATGTGAAAAAAACATACTAGAGAGAGAGAGAGAGAGAGAGAGAGAGAGAGAGAGAGAGAGAGGGAGAGAGGGAGAGAGGGAGAGTACGAGAGAGCATGAAAGTGGTGGTACGTAAGGGATGCATAAGGAAAGCTGAAAGAGAGGGAGAAAAAGAGAGAAAAAAGATATTAAAAATAAAGAGCAATGGCGGGCGGGCGATGTTAAAGCCTGCCGCGTCGCCGGTTCCCTGAGACCCTAACTTGTGACGTCGCGTCCGATATCTCACAGGCTAGATTCTCTGGTATTGGCGATGAGTGCTGTCTTTTGTCGGTTCAAAAGTCAGTTCTAGCACCAGAAATGCGTTACGATGTGGGGTACTCCGTTTTGTGATCTACTTTAACGTTTCTTTATGGTGTGATTTACATTTAAAAAATTCTTTCTTCCTTGCTCGACTTCCACGCATTGTATTAAAGGACTGTCTGCGCATAGAGAATCGCTTTTTTTCTTACGTCAAGAGAACGAGAACGTCAAGTGAAAAGGATTTGATTTTCGAATATTCCGGAACGTGAGAGAAGGAACAGGAAGAACGTATGGAGAAACTGTCAACGGTCTTCTTTTACCTACTTGTTCACCAGGCTGCGACTTGTCACGTTTTTGGATTATTTCATGGATGGTAAGGTGGATGAATAAAAGCTTTCTTGGTACATTGCTGCAGGCGAAATCGATGTTGATAGTGCGAGTAAGTATTTTATTTATAATTAGGAAGACATTAAATACTCTTATTCAGTTTGGGGAATTTGGAGTAATGATGCAGAGGATCTCTAGTGATATTTTTGTTTTTATTTCTTCCATGTTTCTTTGAGGTACAATTCACTCACCTTATGCTTACATGTATTTAATTAGTTTTCTAATATTGGTATCTGTGTCTGTTTGAAGGCATGAGGCTCTTAGAAGAAATTCATGCTATTAGCATCGAATGACTTTGCAGAAACTTCTATTTTTAAACATTCTCCTGGAGGGTTATAGTATATTGTTTGCTGTATTTTGTCTTCTCTTCGACGATATTACAATTTCTTGTAGCTTAATGCAGACGAAACTCTCCTTAGAAATACTTGTATCCCAATAATATAAAAATACAGAGATGTAATACACAGCATAACACTGCGTTAAACTTTAATAATTGTATCACTACCATGATTTGTAAGTCTTTAGTAAGTAAGGTATCACTTGATTATTATACCTTAGATTGTAATTTATAAACGTATACGCATATCATTCGATATCAAAATTTAACCGCATATATCAAATGCAAATATTCCAGTGCAAGATATAATGATACTAAAACCTCTTAACAGATAATCGAACAAAGTGAAACTCGATCCTCAGAATCGAATATTAATTATAACTGAATTTACTCGTTTTGACTAATTAAAACGTTATGCAACATAACTCATCCGCCAAGACACTCGTCAATATATAAACCCACGCGTACAGGCATTATCACTAATACGGAATTTCATCAGAAATACCTTCGACCCTCCTCGACTAATCTACTCAATTCTGCAGCTGAATATCCCAATAGCTGTTTCAAGTCGCAAACAAATTTATATACAAATCTCTTTCCATGAACTTTCGAAATCATGTCTCCATCGTAATAGTAACGAAGCGCTCTACTTAGTTTCTCGTAATTCATCGATGGCTTGTTCTTACGCGCGCCCCAAAGTTGCGCCACAGCTTCCGGTTGGTTGAGTTTGAACTCTCCCTCAGTTCCAACCCACTGAATAGCACCCCTGTGTTCACGATCGGTCAGCAATTCCAGGAGGAACTGCCACAATTGTATCTGTCCACTGTTCACTGTTCTATTGGGGGTAGTTATCGAGATTGGGGAGGATTCAACATTAGCTAGTGGTACACTAATGAGTCTTGGCTGCTGACTGACACTTAAACGAGCCTTTGGTGATTTATGGTTGCGCATTTTAATGGACTTGTTGTCTTCGACAATATCATTCACTCCTGCAGGTGGATCTTTTTGAACCACAGCTGCGAACAAAGAATATATTCTTTAGCATATACAGAAGTTACATAGTCCACAGGAAAGTAGTGGAATTTATTTGGAAATTATGAAAGTTATTTTGTATATGTAAGAAATTAACCTACCGACAAACTTGCACTTTCGCAGCAATTCTAAATGTGTCCAGAAAACGTCACCTGGATCAAGAGGTACTTTCGATTGAAATTCTTCGAGCGTTAAGTTGCATAACTGAGCACCAGTGATGTTCCAGTCTGCCAGTCGCAAGGAAACTAAGTTAAATTGTCTGACTGCCCACTGGAGCCAATGTTTTACGTGTGCTTGAGACCAATCCTTTGGATCTGCTGGTATTTTTAAACGCTCCTATAAAGAATATGTATTTAATGAACGTGAAAATTGATTGTTTTTTCATAGACATATCTTTAATAATAATTAATAAATAAGAAATTGAATAATATTTATGAGTATTACCTGTTCTTTCTTGTATTGTGCATCCACCATCCATTTCATTACGTTTTGTTTACCCTCCTCATTCGGCGTTACAGCTGCTGTATTTTGTTCCACTAATAAAAGAATTGTTAAACATATTTGGCGTGATATTTTGTACGTTATTTATTTAGAAGCTACACATCCTTAATGCGTTTGTCATTTTCAATAATCTTTGAGTGGCAGTTGAATAATGTGATTCATCCATATTTATTACATTGCTAAGGATTCAGCATTGGTAATAGCGTGAGAATGAACAGCCTATGTTCTAATCTTAGTGCTAGCAGAAGGCTTCTGTTATTTCTAGATCGTTATATTTTATTTTTTAAAGTAAAAACAGAAGTTACGATTACTTAAATATTTTGTTATCTCACTGTTACTAACTAAAGGTGTCAAATAGACAGCCGTGAGTATTGCCAGATAAGAAAAACAAGTATTCAAAAAATTTCTAGATTATTTATAGCAACATATGATGCACACTCTGAGTCAAATAATACAATATATTTGAGATGCATCTTGACCTCAATATGCCGTTTATAAATGCAGCAGCACATTTATTGTAAACCGAACGCTCGTTGCAATGAGTGCGACATCACGTGTGCTGAACTTTCTTACATTTGATCATATTTTAATTCCATCATCATATGCTGCAAATATAAGCATCACATGTGCACTCATAAGCAACACACAACCTTGCTACATGGTGTAAGCTAGCATAATCTAAACTCGAGATAAGTAATCTGTACATCTGTATGTCTAAGGTTTATTTGAATAGACCTATAGCATTTATTTATCGCATAATACAATGTGATAGAGCAGGATAGTAAGTTTTATAAGGATAAGCATACTTACAACTGTTTTCTGCAAGTTCTACATAGTCTTATAAGGATAAGCATACTTACAACTGTTTTCTGCAAGTTCTACATAGTCTTCCGCAGGCTTTAAGACATCAACAATATTTATACGCCTCTGTGTTGCTTTTATTTGAACATTTACTTGAACCAACCCTTCTCCTTGTACACATTGGTCAACTAAATTCTTGTGACTCTCCAGCTATACAACAACAATCATAGTTTCAGAAACTCATTTAATAATATGCTAGACTCGTACGTTAGATAAGGTCACAATATTTATTTTCATATTACCATTTGTGCATCTTGCAGCCAAAAAGAATAATCTAGTAATTCTACTCCTAGCCTTTGTTCGAGCAAATTTCTTAGCGTCGACAAAGGTTCTCTAATATCCATGTGTTGCATTAAGACTCCTTCACTAGAATCATCAGCATTAGTTGCTCCTTCTAGAGCAAAACTTGGCTCCACTTCTAAATCAGAACTATCTTGCTGCAGGTGAGACATTATATCATCTTCTTGAGATAACATTGCAGTAGGTTCCATTTTTATTCTTTTTATCATAACATAATCCGAATCGTCATCTGTGTCAATGCTGTCAATAGATTAAACAAATTATAATACACTGTGAAATGTTAATTTGAATCTATGGATAATACAAATACATATCACATAACATTTTGCAACTGTAATGAACACTGTATGTAAATAAAAATCATCCACTATAAATCTTGTCCTTATAAACAATATTTTATCCCAAATTCTATTTACATAGTATTTTAATTATGACCAACAGAATTGTCAATGAATACTATGAATTAAGGTAGCTATAATATGCTGCACATTAGTTAAATGAGGGTTATATTTTACAATGAATCTAATCTAATAACTTGTCCCTAATCTAATTTTTAATGTGGCATAACTCATTCTGTTTCTCAAAAGTTACTCTACGAGGTCACTATATAAAATGCTTTTAGTATTAACCGTTTAATAATCACAGCAGGTTGTTTATAAAGAATTTTATTTACCGGTTAAACAATAGGTTGTAATTTTTAAACGATCAACAATTTGATGAATTCATAGAGCAATTATTGAGAAATAGAATGAGCACAATAAAATTGATACAAAATTACGGTTTATTCTTTGAAAAAACTCGACGAAAATATACCTTTATGGAAATTTGCATTGATCACTTAATGCTTTAGCAAATACATTGCTATTAATATTTCTCTAGGTTAATGTCACGTGTTGTAATACAAATCGCCTTCCATGACTGTCAATTAATATATTTAACTGTAAAAATTCATTGAAAAATGTAGCCTCCATTTGACTAGTGTGCAGCGGAGTATAGATACCTCAAACTATAAATATATTGTTAGTATAAAAATAACAAGGATTTCGATATTGAAATTTCTCTTAGGTTACAATTATAAGTCACATTTTCTTATGCAGCAAGATTACCTTTTCTCTGAATTCTTTCTTCTGTCGTTATCCATTGAATACTAAGATGTCTTGAAAGTTTAGTGCAATAATGTTTTACACACGTAGAATGTAACTAATTACTTATCGTCTTTTATAACAAAAAAACCAATTGTTAGAGACGCGTCATCCACCAGCCATTTCACACAAGTTGGCGCAAGCGTACGAGAAAATCATCGAAAAGCGCCATTTACAATAGTGCAGATGTTAGCGAAATAATTGTTTATTAAACATTTATAAATTTTTTGTATTCAAAAACCTTGCCAGTTAGATAGATCCCAGTAGCCAAGTAGATAGAAATATGTTTACTTTATTCGATACAGGTTAAAATATTGAACAAACGTTTCATAACTGACTCATTCAATTGTGAACTTGACTAAATGTACAACTTCATTTGCGGTAGGGCAACAGCTGGTAAAAGTATAAATGCTATTGGCTAAAGATCAATTGGCAGTTTTGTAGTACCAATAACAATCACGTTCATACCACTGCAGCTCTTACTACAGCGTGTGGAAAGCTAGCTTTTTAATGTGTTTCTTGGGAAGACTTTGACAGATATCAAACCTCGAAAATGGCACAATTATTAGACTGGCGGTTTTTATTATTATTTATTGCTATTAATGCGGGTGAGTAACTGTGGTACTTTGAGTATAATAATGTTACAGAATTTTTAAACCAATATTATTGTACATAGTATCCTCAAAGAGAATTAAGGACATGATATACATGCCCGTGGACGGTGTCACCGCTTGTTTTCGTAGACACAACGGATCTCATCAATTTGGATGTTCATGTAAGTTTTCTAAAATAATTTAATCTGCATTCCTATATACAAGTATTTTTGTAATTCACTGGTTGTATGAATGTTTAAACCACAGTATTAAGCAAATATACTATTTAATAGCGTTCATTATGTTAACTTAGCACAAGAATGTACAACTCTTGTAATATATTATTGACTATATCTCATTTTACAGCTCCTAGGGCAGGTAGTGTTGGAGTGATCCAGCTTGTTGATAGTGATAGTGATATCAAATGGTTGCAAGAAAATGCAACTGCTGGACCTTATGCGGCAGTATTGCCATTTTCTATGTTTACAAGGGATGTATTAATTCGTTTACGGAATACTAATAATGTGAATGGTATCTTATTAACACGAAATACTACTATTGAACGTCCATCTCATTATTCTCCTGCTGACACATGTCCTAACAGATATTCTGGTTATAAACAATGTGACAATGAAAAACCATGGAATCCAGTTGGGTCATCTTTGTTATTAGAAGACTGGCCTTTTCCCATATTCTATTTACTGGTTAGTTTTATTATATTTGTATATTTGTCTATACTTGCATGAAAGGTCACAATAATTACTATGGATATCATAGAACACTTAAATATGTTGTACCTAATATTATTGTCTGGATTACAGAACGATACTCAACTAGAGGATATAAAGAAGTGTTATTGGACACACAATGCACATGATCTTGAAGGACAAAGCAAACGGTCACTATGTGCTTTGGAGCTAAAAGCCTTTATGTTTGCTGCTGTCGATTCCGAAGCTTGCATAAGACGGAGTAATCCAAGGTTAACTTTTAATCCGTCACAGTTTTGTGACCCTCTTGGCGATAGAAATATTCATTGGGCAGTTGCACCAATAACTGATGATTTGGAATCTGTGATACTGGTGACAGCTAAATTAGATTCTTCTTCCTTGTTCAATGATTTATCACCAGGTGCAGGTGGTGCTGTTACTGGTTTTGTCACCTTGCTTGCTACCGCATATTATTTGAATACATTGAACGCCACTATTAATAGTAAGTACAATTAATTTTCATTCGTATCACTTCAAAGTATATTATATGATAGACTTTCACTTTCTTTCAGAAACGAATGTGGTTTTTTCTCTCTTAAATGGAGAGGATTTCGACTATATAGGTTCCAGTCGATTCGTGTACGATTTGAAGGGAGGTAATTTCAATTCTTTGGGTGGAAAAACATTGTTGTTCGATCAAATTTCATCCGTAATTGAATTAAGCCAGCTTGGCCGTGGTCCATTGTACTTACATGCAAGTAATTATGAGGACAATCAGATACTAACGCAATTGCAGGCTGCCTTATCCGCAACCATCTTGAAGGATAGTGTTCCTCCCGCATCAGTGCAAAGCTTTTTGAAGGCTAATTCAAATTTGTCTGCAACTGTTATCAGTAATTACAAAGAAGAATTTATATATAGATATTATCAAGGTATTCTGGATGATGGGGAAAGTATTGGCTATAAAAGGTAATCATAATATAAATGAGATCTACTACCACTTTAACTTTCATTCTATAACAAGCAATATCTTTGTTACAGAAACGATTCTAGTACTCTTGCAAGCCATCTTGCCAAAGTCGCCATTAATCTTGGTAACATACTGTATCAAAATATTACTAGTTCTCCTCCACGATCCACCGACGAAATTATCGTCGAAGAACTCATAGCGGAAATATTAACCTGCTACTTGGACAGTGCAAAATGTGATCTGTTTCGTGCAGCCTCGGCTCCGGGAGTAAAATTACCATCTAACACTTTGCCACTATACGTAGGAGTAAATAGATCTCCAGTTCCCGCTGTAAGTTTAACCTGGCAGCTTTTTGCGCTTCTCACAGGTGAAAAGTTGCCCCAACTAAATTCGACGGTGTGTCACGATAAACGACTAGCTTGGATGGCTGGTATCAATTTCACTGGAATCTGTATTAGCTCTTCAGTTAACTACAGCATGGCTGTAAGTCCTGCATTCATTATCGAAGGTAAAAAACTTATCGAATACTAACATCATCTATACCACATAGTACTATATTCATAATTGCCATTACATATTCTCTGTTATAGGATATGATATGAAGTCTGGTGTTTATTCAACGTGGACAGAATCCGTATGGCAATATTTATCAGTGAGAATGTTTTTAAAGCCATCTGCAGCAGTCGAACGTCTCAGCATGATCGTTGGCTGTGTTGTGGCTAGTATATCATTCGTAGTAGTATGGTTTATAAATTCGCGTGCCGATATACTATTTGGTACAAGGTAAGTTAAACGATTATTATGATATTCGTGATCTTCGTTATCGAGCGATCAATCCTCGATCATCAATAACAAATTGGACTTTTGAAAGAAGTGTATTGTCTTCAGTGGGAACGTCGATTGCTAGGGACACGCCGCGGACCACATATCAATGACCAGGCTGGATCGTCGAGAAGAACGAAATGTTCCAGTGACTAGCCTTTAAATTCAATGTGTGTGTGGTACGCCCTCGGACGATCAATACTTATTTTTATTCCAATGTCTACAAACCTTCGTGTAGTATATCTTATACTCATTTCTCTGAATTAGGTTCAGGTATAAATATACTTGTTGGATCAGTTAGTATCTTTGAACACTGCGAGACAGCGCCCAATGCATATAATAATTCTATTATGGTGGGTACGTCATAATTTAATTAATCTCTCTACTAAAATTGACCCTCAGCTTAGTACTTACCTGGGCTTATATTAGCTATCATTGATAATTGTGTTTAATACAGTTGAGCATTGCTTATGTGCCTGTAAATGTCATTAATTGAATGTTTAATACTGAAAGTTCTAGGAAGTAATTAATTTTGTTAATAATTTGAGATGAGTGTAAAATAAGCTCGTCCACGTTGGTAACATTAAGGTTTTTTCTTTTGACCATCTTACTATTTTTTGTACAGTGAAATCTAAAGCGATTATAATATTGTAAATTTGTGACAATATACAATTCATTGAATTGCGTTTACCAAAAGTGGTGGACGTACCATGTTAATTATCATAATATCGACTGATATTTATGCCAAATGAGCAATTTAGTATATTTCGCATAACTCATATTTTCGTGATATCCTATTGGAGATGGGATATCGCGGTTCTTGAAAATCGTTAACGTTGTACGATTATCATTCTAATACGAACCGTGATTGGTTATCGAATATGGAATCGGTAATCTTATCCGAGATGCAATTAATTATTGTGGATGCTACGATTCGTGGCAAAATGTAAAACCAATTTCGTAATATATCTCTTAAAATTTTTAATACATTTTTGTTGGATATCCAGCTAATTTCAGAATGAATTAATATTTTTTAAACTGACTAAAATTCTTACAAATCAATTAGCTTAATTAAAAACTGACAAATCAATTAATTTTAAATGCAGTTATATCAGTATTTTCTATGAAACATACAAATGTGTTCAAGTGTGTAGAAGTTTTTCAAAATTTTTAAGGAAAAAGGTTCCAGTTGTAATTTATACAGAAACAAATGTTTTCTAATACTTCTGTATCACTAATGTTATTCCTGAAATATTCTTCATGAATAAAATCATAAAACTCATATTTTTCTTTAAAATTATAGTCTAGGGATCGAAAAGCTGATACGATGATGAGTACTAAAAAGATTTTTTATTTGTTCGACAAGCCAATGATTTGATGTGCAAGTATACGAATAGATTACTCCACCTATCATAAGATCAACATTAATGTAATACATACTTACATTCACAATTGGCTTTTAACATGTGACAAAACCGTTCAAACAATTAAATCTTGTTTCGTTAAAAGCTTCAAAATAACATCAAGTGCTAAGAGCAAATAGAGGAACGCGTAAGGCACTATCTAACGTTCTTCGTTTCTCAGCATTGTTTTGTCAATCTATGTACTTTACGTGATATTATTGTATATTCTCACATTGAACAAACCGTAAATATCATTATAATTGTTCAACTACCTAGCAACTTTGCATTGCTGCTACTGATAACGTTGAGTCTTCCTCCACGTTTGAAATTGTACATAAACACATAGAAAATTCAGCATGCAGACAATGAATTGCATGATGCGAAAACGCAATCAGCATTCCTCCTACAGTCTTTTAATTGTTCGAAAAATGCACTTTTCTCGAACCTCGCCCAAGAATTCTACGGACAGACAGCTTGATATTACGAGAAAGGTGCGAAATATGTTTAGCAAGCGTGATGGCATTTATTATCAATAAAACTTAATTAACAGAGCGTAGATGTACACGAGAGAGAAGTATTCAATTCATTCGTTTATGTTCGTTCAGTATGCGATGCACGTAACTAATGTATAGTACGTTTAGCTTATGACTTAAAAATTGAATTTGAGATAGAAATGCTCCAGAATTTAATATACAATTTCGCGTGAATAGAAAATTTATCTTTTTCACGACGATCAATGTAATTTTAACGTCAAGTACAACGAAGGTCAATAATACAAGGACTCGAGAAACAACAGTTGCATTGATATAAATCTCATATCAGGTACACGTAACGTCATCAAACTGAAGGGAAAACAAAAAATGATCGAAACGAATTGTGAACAAAATATTTAGGATAAAAAAACAAAAAATTCTTCGTTGAACTTATACGAACAGATTTATCTAGCACTACGATTCCCTCGTATGAGTATTTCCGGTCCATTTCTATCTCGTCGTTAATAAATGACATTTTTAGGTAATACTCTCACGTTAAACCGAACCCAATCAGTACCGTGTAAAATGAGTGAATTACCCATAAGTTCGTACACATGTGTCGCGATCCCTACGTATGCACGTGCATGCAAGGACGAAATATTCTTTTGTATTTACTAAGGAAACACACAATGTGCACATGAAATTATTCTATGCACGTGTATATGAACAGTGTTGTAGGTTTCCTTGGTATGGCGCATGAATTTGGTGCGCAATTAATTCCTTCATTAACGAATTAATTACGTCCTTATTGAGTCATTAGTATCATACCATTTCATTTTTTATTTTTTTGATCAACTTTAAGTATTTCATAGTAATCAAGTATATGATGTATGATGTAGGAGGCTGGGCACCGCCCACCGAGCTATCACAGTTGTCTGGTGCCGCAGCACATACGTATACGTGGTTCAGCCTTACAACCTACTTCTTATTCCTAAGTCATTTTAAATTCTTAATTATTAGTTAATTAAACTACAGTATAGTCCCGTATTATAGCGCTTTTATACGTTTAACAATACGACTACATTCGGTTAGCCGTACTCGCTGAGAAGTCTGTCTCTTATTATTGCTGTCGTACGTAGCTTTGAAAACACGCGCATGCTCACACAAATTCTGAATATTCTTTACGGGTTTTGGGACGTATTTTTTTCTCCCAATTTTTTCGGATAAAAATAATATCAGAAAGGTGCTAAATTCACGAATGCACGATTATACCTCTCTCGTAGCACCATACATGGGAGCTATACTGCTGCGTCGGCTGTCTCGAATTGGTGATACCGAGCTTTTTTCCATTTTTCTTTTTCTCTTTATATATCCTTATCGCTTTTCTTGGTACGACACTAAAAATCTCATTTCGAAGCAGCTAAACCGAAAGGATATTTCTTGGCGCTGATTTAAAGATGCTACAAAACGCATCCCTGAAATCGCACTTCGAATTTTGCCATTGATGCCAACTTTAATGAATCACAAAGTGCTTGAAAAGGAAAGAAAATAGTAGGTTGCCAATATTTTACATATATAGGAATTACGCATCGCAGATGAGAACTTAAAGCAGATAATTTGCCTTAGGAGAAAATAATGGAAGCGCCTCATTTAATTTTGAGTATCATTGTGAGAAACTTATAAAAGTGCTTACGGTAATAGTATATTACACTACAAGGGCAGAAAACTGAGCTTTCGTTTTGGTGCACAAACTGTATACTTTCCGTACAGCATTGCAAAAAATTAATTTTTTACACTTAAAATGGAATTTACGAACGCTCGATAGAAGTTTCTGAGTCGACTGTCTGTCTTGTGTTTGTCGCGTGCAGCAATGCGGACTCATGAAAGGCAATTACTTTTCGCAAAATTGTATTCTGCTGCGCCAAGATCTACTTTGAAGAAAAATACGTGGAAAAGTCCTTTCATACGGTAAAACCGATAGGACAAAATTTGAGCACGTGTTTCAATGTGACACATTGGCTAATTAGTAAATTTACTGTCATAGGCAAGTATTACTTTTTCAATTATAATTTTAATAGCACGAATCCAATACACGACCATGAATTTCAGCATCATAACCGTTTCCATTAATTGATAAGAGAATGTTCGTAAATTTATTAAAAAAGTTCTTCTCGGACGTCAAACAAGTTATCTTAAAGGAATATAAATTAATTAATGGTCAATGGCTAATTTTAATAAGTCTACAAATTCGTGATCGCGCAAAAAATAAAGAAAAACAAAAAAGGAATCATCGACGATACGATGGACGGCACATGGTGTACAAGTGACATTAGTATCCAGACTCTTAATGTAATAATATAGTATGATTTTATAGGACACGATTAGAGTGCGATGTTGCGCACGCGGGGATTCGCTAGTTGCTTGAAAAAGATTGAAAATATTTTTGAATTTTCAAATTGTCGAAGCCAATACCCAAGAAAGTAATGCTTCATTCGGGACTTTACAAGCGAAAACGTTTCAGTCTTACGCATATACATTTACGACACGCTCTCTCTCGCGTTCGGAGTCTTGTTTCGCGTTACAGCTTTTATCAAGTAATACAATTTGATTGGCGTATTTTAATACCCAGCATTCTGCTCCCTACAGCCTACGAGTAAACGTGACAGAAATACGTTTGCGAAACGTGAAGATCTTACGTAGACAGCGTAAACGTATTTATATGGTTATCCCCTAGGAATGGCATGTGCGTCTCATGTCGTGTTTGATCAATTATCAGTTACAGTGGGCTATAGTATTGTTTCTTTTAGTCTTAAAAATTATTAATAATTATCCTTTAACTTTATTACTTAGTAATAGTTCCGTATGTAATATATGTACAGCAGTACCAGCCCGCAAGCTGCGGTACACGCACAGAGACGACACTTAGAGTTTAAAAATATAATCATTATATATATTTTAATTTAAGTAGTGTATTATATTATTGTTATTATTAATATTATTATCTTGGAGGGACAGCACTTCGCTACGTCACGACGATGCAGAGCTGAACAAAGACTACGCGTGGAAGTTACCACGCTCTTCAATGGCACAAAACAGAGAAACTGTAACGTAACGATTATGATTTGTTCAAATCTTTAGAGTTTCGTTATTATTAATAATAGGATTCATTCGGTACGACGCTAATCGATCAATTTTAATGCAATTCAATTGGAATCTCCAGTATCATTTAGTGTTTAGCAAGCGCATTTTAGGCTTCGAAAATATATATACACATTGCTTGCAATTACTTCTCGATTGCTGGTACATTTTTTTTTTTAATCGCACATGAGGAAATGTGAATTACGAATGACCGTTCGATTCGATGTTGACCTAGAAAGACGAAGTACTTTGTACAAATAATTAAAATGAGAAAAAGTAACGTCGCTACTTGCGTGATGAATGAAGCGGATAAGTGAAAACTTCAAAGAGTTCTATTTCATAAAAGTAATTGCTCCTTAAATGATAAACGAAGAGTAGGACACTTTGTACATATTTCAGTGAGAACGAAGGAGTGGCTACCTCAAAGTTAGCCAAATTGTGTCATTCAAAATAAATAATTACCAATGTTTTTAAAATAGTGTCATTTGCATATTAATAACAATTGCTTAATCCAGGAAATCATGTAAGCTTTGCTTAAACGCGTTGCGCATAATATCAGTAGCGCCTTTGATAAACACAGTTCTTTCAGTATGTCAATTTAACTGTTTCACAGGAAATTCTTTGCCAACACACACTTCCGATACAATAAGTTAGTTGCTAATCGAAGAATTACGGGAATCACTCAGTCGCACAGTTTAGTGTTTCGGACATTACCCGGAGCAATGAAAGGAAATTATTTTTTAAATTACATTAATTATTTAGATTCATTTACGTAATCGAGTTTGAAATTTTAATCGACAAGCGATGACGTAGAACTGAAAATTAATAGAATTACGAATCCCAGAGTCGATCGTGGAATTGAGAAGTGAGCTACAATAAATACAGAGAGTACGTACGGCTATAACGAAATAATGTAACATGCATTTTTTTAATAATAAAAAAAGAAGAATCTGCGCATCAATGACTAGCCGATGGTCAACGGGTGAAGTAGTAATGCATTCGCGAAAATCCTCGCGTTAAAAATGAGCGCACACAGAGAGTTTACCGTCGAAATGATATAAACGTCACGAGCATAATTTTGAAATTTAATTTTATTTATAGCTTCTTTTCAATCTCAAATTAACAATGTACACATCATCCGTCGGACGTCATTTGGAACAAGGTGAATCCTGTGAAAATAGTCGGGGCACACTCTCGATTACACTACGTTTACATGAACTCCGATTATTCCCCACTCAATATCTCCTTAACAGACTTCTTTCTACGATACGCATATATCGACAATATTTACGTCGAATGTATATTCTTGCACCTGGGAATAAGATTCGCCGTTGACATTTATCACCGGGAACACCGTGTACACGTAAAATCGCGGCGAGTTAACGTCTCGCTGCAAAACGAACTTTGAAAGACAATCCCATTCGCACAATGACAAGGAAGCGGAGAAGTATCGTTCTCGACGACAGCACAAGAGCGTAATAACCTCTACCCATGTATCCCTGATTTTCGCGAGAATAATTACGTATTTGACAGTTAAAGCGAAATCTAACCTCGAATACCTTAATACTGTAATGAGCAACTGAGTTTGAAGGTACCGCAAAGAGGTTGACGTTTCGGTCATCGACAGAGGTCAGTGAAGGTCATCTTCATCGCTATCGTTACCGTCCTTAGATCTGTCGGCACCTCCCTCACCGTCGCTGGAACCCGAATCACTTCCCGAATCCTCGGACTGCCAACCTTGCTGTTGCTGCAGTTGCTGATGTTGTGCTACTTGTTTATTAACCTTGTGCCGTTTCCCGGCACGCGGTATAGCCTCGGCACCGGCACCATCCAGCATTGGTTGTAGAATTCGTCGTCGAGCATTTATAAACCAGTTATTCACTTGGAGAAGCGTGAGGTTCGTCTGACTTGCAATTTGGCGCTTCTCGTCCTCCGTGGGATATGGATGCTGCAAGTTCAATGAAAAAAAAAAACCCGTTACTCGTTTCATTCTTATCCCAGCTTGTTAACAATACGAGCGCTTGGTGCGAATTTCACTTACAACTAAATGTTGAAAGAGCCAGGAACGCATAATGGTAGTGGCTTGTTTGGGCAGGACGCCACGCTTTTGTCTTCCTTTCCGAACACCTCCGTGGCCACCGCCATGACCAGTAGCAGTGCCCAGACCTTCGTCCTCGTCCTCGCTCGGAGCTGGCGAAGGAGAGCCTGCAACAGTAATATCTAAGCCCAATTGATTTATTTCAAGGAGAGTATGTAAAACGAAAACTATATGACAAAAAAGAGGGTGAAATGTAAACCCATTTGTGGAAGAATCTATGGGAAAAACGACCGAGAAAAATAATATTAATTTTATTAGTACAGTGGACGTATTGCTTGGCTGAAAGCTGTGAATGAATTTTATTTAGTGTACGGGGACAAATGTTTTGTTGTTCTATTGTTTCTATCATGAGATGCAACATATGTTATTGTATCAGCGTGAAGGGAAACAACACAATGACTTGAGAATGTTATCGTTGTTTCGCGTGTTATGAACAATCGTGAAAAGATAAAAATCATAATTGTTTCTAACCAAGATACGGTTCATCGACTGAATCTTGAATATCCACCAATGAGTTTTCGCGCTCTTGCAGTGCAAGGAGACCCCAGTATCCAGCTTCTTCCAAATATATTCTATCTGCGGTATTCACCATATCCATATCATCTACAAACGGAAGTTCGAATATCAGACATTAAATCATTCCAACTATTGAATGACCCAGAATGTCTCGCTAAGATCCTTGCAGAATGCGACAGCAGCAGCTTTTCACGACTTTATACATTAAACTAGCAAGCCTCTGTCGGCCAAAAGTATCTCACTCCATACTAAAGTGCTATTCTACAAATTTCCCCAGGAACCATTGTTGCCTCAGCAAAAGCAGATGTGCGGTTTTTCAAATTCTTGAAAAATTGTACTGGGAATATTAAATTTCAAAGGAATCTGACGGTGAAGAAAAAACAGTGACCAGTTCACTGACCTTGACCGAGATACATATCGTTAACAGATGCACAAGGATGAGCCCCAATTTGCGAAAGAGGGGTACTTCCGTGAACCGTGGATGGTGACGGTGGATCGTCATGGTCTTGGCTGCTGGACCGGATCGAGTGTTGTGTCGTTGTAGAAGACCGGGCAGAGGAGGGTCGATCGGTCCCAGCCTCCCCATGGATGCCCACCAGGCTAGCAGCACCGTTCTCCGTCAGCAAGTCACCTCTGCTCACTCGGAGTCCGTTAGCTCCCGACTCAACATCATTGCCTGTAGATGACAGCACCTGGCAAATATATGTCGCAACTAGCCGTCAGAGAGCAGGGGTGGGGTGCTATTTTACATCAAGAGGATCACGAGGGTCTGATCTCGATTTTAATATCTCGATACCTCTCAGTACTCAATATACCAGCAGCACTGGTCCTCGTACTCCTCTTGTACTACAAGGATATCTACGCAGGTAAGGGAACAGGGTGAGGAGTCCTGCGCTTAAAAAAACAGCTAACCTGCAGTGGGCTGCTTCCATTGCTGCCACTGGATGGACCCATGTCGTGGCCCTGATGGCTGTAATCGCTCCGAAGTAAATTTTCGCTCTGCATCTTTCCTTTCAGGCACGAGATGTACCTGTTGCAAAAGTCTTTGCACAATTCCTGGACCTTCTCCAATTCCAGCAGATGAATTCGCAACACCTGTATGGCTTTTATCATCTGTAACACATTAGAAATAATAAAACTTCACTTGTCTCCTTCCTTGTGCACAGTCAATTCTTTTTCGCGATGCTTTTGTCTTCCAACCATTTGTTAAAAAAAAAAAAACAAAAAAAAAAGACAAAGCCACCAGAACTATTTTACACGTAAACCCCTTACCAAGCCGTCAATCTCTGGGTCATTGATTAGAAAAGGCTTTCGGTCTCTTTCTTGATGTTGGACGAAAGCCTGTATATCCATGTTGAAGCTTTCGGACGTAGAATTGTCCGAACTTTGCGTGGCCTGCTCGCATCTTTCGAAGAGTAACGCCAGCAGGGGAAACAAGGGATGCTTGTAAACGGCACGTTTATCCGCTTCAAATTGTGCCTGGTCCTGATGGGTAGTATAATCGGCTACCCCGCTCGCAGGGTCCTGATCGTAACCAGGAGTCACCATCGCTAGCGCCACGGCGGTGCTACCCTCTTGCATCCTATCATTCCACCCTTAGACCCTCCATTGTTTTTCAGGTCCTTCAGGGCCTGTAGAATCCTCTCCTCCGCCGATAATATCCTCTAGAGTCTAACACCGTCTCCTTCTTGATTGGTGCTGAAAAACAAATGGGAATTACGGTCAGTTAGATTGGATCGCGCTCCTTTGACACTTTCTTGACAAAGAAAAATAAGACAAAGAATATTATCATTGAAAGAATCGGCTCTCTATCAATTGCATTCGCATTCACCATTTACTCTTACAGAATGATGCTTCATCCACGGAAGAACGAAAAATGGCGTCAATCTCAAGGACAGCCGTTAGCAAACAAAGAACGATGTCCCGTATAGAAATTCTAGTTAGAAGTTACTTCAAAATGGCGACTCGTTTTTTTTCTCTATTACGACAAAGCAGAGACACTCTGATTTTCGCATTAATGAACGGCAGTTTGAAGCTTATTGTTGGTAACAAAATAACTGTTTACGTTATCTGAATTACTGTTTTTTTTTTTAATGACACTACTTTCATAGATATAAGCATCGGCATTCTCAAGGAGAACATTATTTTTCCTACACAAATATAAGTTTTCGTGATAGATTTACCTCTGAACATCTAGCACCTTATTAGCATATATAATTTCGAAGTCTCTCGAAGCAATTGCGTTACAAGCAGGATACCATTTAAATTGTCTAAAAATAGCTTTCTGGACAATAAGGTACGAACAAAGAATCGACGCCGTTAATCCGGATTTAGTGTGAACGTACCCTTACTCTTCGAACGAAAGTCGCTACACCACCAAGCACCGAACTAGTGCTACTGCATTTAAATGTCATCATTAGAAGCCTTCGCCAGCACCTTCTCTCTCCTCGAAGGTATCCCTGGCAGCCCTCTCTCTACCCTCTCGTCGTCTTCCCCATAGCCATCCGAACCTCCACCATTCGTCCCTTTGAATTCCCAAACCCTGTGCTCTTGGCGCCCCAAGCAATTCCACATGAATAAATAAAGCACTGCGGCATGGCGACAACGTATAACGTGAAAATGCCGAAAACACATATTGCAGACGTGCGCTACATGTATGTAACTTATGCTACATATATTGCATAACGAACTACGGGCTACGAGCGGACTTAGAGATTTGACGAAATGTACAAGAAGAATTTTTGAAACAAAAAAAAATCTGCACATTTTTTTTCAAGTTTCCGAACAAAAAATAATTACTCTCTGAAAAAAATATTTTCCATAACTTTTTTTTTACTATCCTCGTGACTTTTAAAATCGGTACGTTACACATAAAATCCTTATGTCTCGTTAAAAAATTATATTACTATATCCATTTGATTATGATATGCTTTGAAAAAAAATCTGAATATTATTAAAGTACACATGCTCTCTCGGCAGACCCTTCAGATCAGTATAAAATGACAGAACGTAAAATCGGATCCCGTCGTGCGCAGTCTAAAATTTCAAGTAATAGCAGTCATCTTGATCGTAACGAGTGTAAGTTCGTAGCTAACGCTAGTGAGAACCCGACACTTGGAGATATCCAGCAGCGAAGTGAACATCGCCGAGAGGGTGAGAGGGGAGGAGAGAGGGGGGGGCGTAAGTAAGGGTGGCGAGTCAGAGAGAACGAGTGGAAGAGAATCGAAGAGCCAGACGTGGGGTACGAGGTAGCGAGAAGGAAGACAGAGGGAGTTACAAGAGAAAGAAGAGAAAAGATAAAGGGGAAGATTCCGTGGTATGAGGTAGGTACTGTGAAAGAGGAAGTGGTACGGGAGGGGAGGGAGAGGCGCCATTACTTGCAAGTGGCGCTTTCCGAGCGCATCTTTCCGACAAAGCCGATATTTATCGCCCCTCGGCTGCTCGTATCCAAGGTTTCATTTAAAATATTATCGCTGACAGAGGCCCGTTCCACCTGTACAATACCGAAACGAGATCGTCCACAAGGAAGCTTTCTTGCTTCTCATCGGCTCTTCTAACCCTACGTTACCCAATTCCATCTCGGACCTTCGTCTTCGCTATCCCTGCGGCATATTGCTTTGGGATTCCTCGAACCTCGGCATTTTTACAGCAGCTGTTACAAGGAAGAACGATCTATGACGCAATCAACCGGCCCACCATCGCCGGTACGTATCAAACGTCTAACGAACCACCAGGAGTGGATCGAGCGAGAGTGAGAGGGTGTACGGACTTTACTCTGGTTTACCGCTGCGAGGCACTCTGCTAACTTCACTTCGTATTACGGTCCTATTTCAAATTTACGATCCCCGTCGCAATGTCATTCGGGCATATTAGTCTCGTCCTACGAGCTCCCAAGTATAATCGCGTCTCTCAGGACGTTTGTTTACTTCCCGGAAACCCTTAGGACGCGACCGCCATGACATTCATTTTCGTAAGTGCATCAGTTAACCTCGAGTCTTTTCACAGCGAAAGGCAAGCGCCTAAATGCCATCGTTAAAACAGCAACGACTACTCGATACTGATAAATTCTATCATTTTGTACGGATATAAATGACTGAGTCAAAAAAAGTAGCCAATAGGAATACGTGTAGTGGATCGTAAAATTGCAGTTGTATCTATTTGTCAATTTGGTACGTAGAGGTTATGTCAAGGCACGCGCCAGAATACAGTGTCAAGGATATTGCTTTTGCTCGATATTCATAACACTAAGGAATGCTTCACCGTTGTTACTTTCAGTTGAATTTCTTACGTCAGTCTCCGTACGGTGATTCTTGTCTACCCTCGAACAGCGAAGCATGGTCGGAGTGCGGTAATTTTGCTATTCCGAAGGATTTTATTGCACTAGAGATTCGCGGGTTCGTACGCGCGATTGATATTTAATGGTTCTACTACGAAGTTACAAAGAGAGAGAGAGAGAGAGAAAGAGAGAGAGAGAGAGAGAAGAGCGTTACTGAAGGAAGATAAAAAAATAAATCGTAACCTCCTCCGCTCGATGGAAACGATTCAGCGAGTGTACGCCACGAAGTTAATGCAAAAAGTTTTCCACTTCATTTTTATACGAGGAGGATATGCGTTTGCTGGAGGATCACACGATGTCGATGTCGTAAGGATGTTAATTTTTCTTTTCTATACAAACTTTCATTTAACTTGCATCCATCAAGGATCCATTACGTGCTCATAACTCGTGAATATCTAGAAAGTAAATCTTTAGCAAAGAACTGAAAGTTAAATGGTACTTATGATTACAATGTAAATATACACTATTCTAATCAATAAGCCTCGATTGTAGACTCTGAGTAAAATATCAGTTTACAACAGCCATAAAAATCAAACAAACGATACACAAAAAAAAAAGACAAATCTAAATGCAACGACTACCCTAGTCTTATATTTGTTTTCTATTAAAAAAAATAGAGGTTAAAAAGTTCTATCGATTATAAAAAAATAAATACTACTTGTCATTCAATGATTCATAAAAGTCGTGAGAAGCTTACAAACCTCCAATAAATGATTGTAGGATTTACATATCATTCGGTCGGTAGAACGAAGGAGGCGGCGTCAACGGTGGCGTTAGGAGCAACAGAGTAGTAGCGACAGCAGCAGGTATCCCCTTCAGGTAACCGACGAAAATGTAGGCCCAGGTCGCAAGGGAGAAACCAATCTTACGAATGAGGAACAGGTTTCTGTGATCGAGAGACTCCGCAAGGCGTATGAACTACGTAAAGCTAATATTACATCGTGAAAAAAAACTCGCGAGGATTGAGTGCACCACGTGTTTTTCATAAAATCCGCTAGAGCCCGAACGGGAACGTTCTTGGATATGTTTACTAACTGTCAGTAAAGAAAGCGCCGGATACCCTTGTCACCGTATGCGAATGCTCTGAATAGCTGTCGATTTTTCACAAACTCCTCGAGTCTGTCACTCAAACGTCAATAATGGCCGAAGTACCACCCCGTCCTGCCGTGGGCCAGAACAATCATTTTCATGCGACGAGGGCGGAGCAAAAACTACCGAGCTACTGCTGCTCCTGGTGCTGCCTATGCTGTTTCTCTTGTCGGTGACCAGTGCCGAATCTATCGTCTACGCGCCACGATACTTGCTAAAATGACGAGCCATGAATATTTGCTACAAGCCAGACACTACACTCGATATTTTTTTATCGTCCGTGTACCGAGTGTTTGAATGATTCACCGACTCTCTTTAACTCGGTTGCCATTGTTTCAACTATTAGATGAATAAGTACCCACAAGTTATTGGGATTTTGGTAAAAAAAAAATTCGGGATGTATTGGACAGCTTGTAATTTAGTTACGGATGAAAATTGATGAACAGGGTTCTCTACCTTCAGACGTTCTAGTTACGTTACTGGATATCTCGTCCCCTCCGCCCTGTCGAGCTTTATTAAGAGTGCGCGCGCTTCTGACTTTTCACGACGCGAGAAGCGCATCGGACTAACCTATCATTTCGATGGAATTTAAGCCAATGCAACTCGGGATATCGTTAATCATTCTTAATTTGAAACCACCTGTTTGACAGCGAGATAAAACCGTGACTATTACTCGCGTTGTCATGAAAATTTTTACGGTTTAAAACGATGCTGTCCGCGTGTATCTTGCTTCTATATTTTACGAGCATACCGGATTTATTTTGATTGCACTCGGTAAACTGTACGAAGATGCGCACTGTTTGTACCTTATGGAATAAATATACTGTGTCATATATTTGTTTTGTCTCTCTGGGAAATAATGGAATGTTTTGACTGCCATTACTTTTCGGCTCTGTGAATGAACTTGGCACAGAAATGAGCTTGAAGATATTTGTCTTACTTTAAGACAGGTTAAGAGGATCATACATTTGTCATATTCTAATACACAATGGTACGTTATGTAATTTCTCGTGTATATACATACATATACCATACGTATACCATTCATAATGGTATGCACCATTTACCTGCGTCAATTACAAAATGTAATTCATACTCCGTTAGTTAATGAACTCTCTATTTAAGGAACGTTCATACGAATTCATAACCTTATGATTCGCTATGAATTTTCTACGATCATTCTAGAATATGCACTTATTATAAATGAGATGAAGAGAATGTATTTTACGCACGTCATTCTTTGGTATGCACTATATCTTGGGAGATATCAAACGATAAGGTAGCTACGTGGGAGTTCAGTAGATAAGTTATATGTGGGATTAACGTTGTGTAAAACAAAATTAAGAGCCCGGTTCAGCGAACTTGTATGTTCAACGGAAGCGATACTAAAAAACCGGTCGATTACATCGTGCCAGCAGTTCGGACACGATGGTTGGGAAAGAGGATGAATTTCGTGGAATCGAAAGGATTTTTATCGTCCTCGTCAACGCATAACTCGAGTCCTCGTAGAGTCATCATCCGCATGAGCTATAGGCGATATCGTCTTAAAAGTCTTTTCTCGTAATCCCTGATGATATCGATCGCATCAATCTGCAATTCTGTCAACCTACACTAAGAGAAATGGGCGTTTACTGGTAGGCAGTGCGCACAAAACTAGTTTTCCGGTGCGTCGCGGTGCACACCAGAATAACGAAGAACCTAACCTCTATATTATAAACGTTAGCGAAAGCAAGCAACCGTTTGTCAGCCACCTGCCGTTTCGGTGCTTCAAGGACGATATAACTAGCGTGGTATTCTTACCGTACTACGATGCCTGATCTCGACGGTTCCCTTACGAACAACACAACACGCCTCCACTTGTTTTATTTTTTCCAACTTTTCCTCGATCCGCTTGACCCTTCGTTTACTTCGATATTGTCCACGTGTAACTGTGATATTCGTTCAGAATAACTAATGGATAAATCACTTTAACAGCACCATACTCCGTGTCTGTTTACGACTATTTACGCCGACGATAAATTAAAATAATCGGACATTTTTCAACGCACCGTCTACCGTCTACTCCTTCCACTGTCTCGTCTTTTGTGACGTCATTGACTCAATACTTTTCGCCGAAGCATCTCAACATGTTTCCTCCTTCTCACTTTAGGTGGCAGCACACACATCGGAAACAGCGTGCGACTATCATCGATCGAGTCTCTCGTTTCGAGCGGGAACATCACGGATATTTAAAAAAAATATAATTTACAGTAACTAAGAAGCAACTTTGTTAAACTCACAATAGGCAATTGTCACATTGTATTACGAAGAACTTGTAATATTGCGGAGTAAATAAAACTAATGTGATTATGATAATTCTTTTCTATAAACATTACAAATATGCATATAATCGCTACTCGGTTGATTGACAAAATATCAAATGTAAGATAACATTGATGATCGAAAAATTTTATCGACGTTGTTGCACAATGGAGATAGATGGCGTTCACCCCAAAGTATCACGAAACACAATATGTAATTCAAAACGTTACGTTTAGAAGAGTCATTTCTATTGGATTATACTACGAATTTAATCGAACAAAGGCCTGTTCGCCATTGATTTCTATACAGGTATAACAATCGGTGGAACTGTCTGGTAAAACTCACCTGAATTCGCCACTCCTCGCATTACGTTGTCCACCCCGCTTGATGAGTAACGTTCCTGTGAACCGTATCTTATCACTGACTCTTATCAGGGAGGTCCCAGTTCATAAAGAAACGATTTCACTTCTCTGGTTGCAATTAGTACGAAGACGCGTCCAGAGGGAAACCATGATTCTTCACGCAATATTCCTTATTATTCTTGCTGTCGGGAGTGTAAGATCCAATGAAGACGTCCCGGCGTTGACGCCATTGGATAGCAGCGTCTCTAGTGACAATTCTACTACTCGGCTACCTGCAGTATGTAGTGTGTGTTCGTGCAAAGGTATTACTTTTTCAAACTGTTACTTCAAACTTCTCGAAACTTCATGAAAAACTTCGAAATGTCGTTCCGTCCGCATTTAACAAAATTCTTTCGTATATCGGATAACGGAAAATCCGTATTTTTAGCTTGATTAAAGATCCACAAATATTGCAGTATTAGCGAATTAAATTTTGACTCGATATGTGACTGATGAAAATAATTGTCAATATTGTTTAACAACTTTTCTACAGTCAATTTTTACGTTTGCATTATTACTCACTGCTCTTTATTGCAGTTAATTATATTAACGTCTTTTATAACTTACTATTAGTTTTTTTACGCTGTTTCCAAAATTCATATGTGACATGTCTCTGATACGTAGATATATATATATATTTGTTTTATACCGATAACGCAAATTTCTATTCCTATCACATTCTGTGATATCGACGGTACTATCTTTCGTGGGATTTTGTGTAATCTGTATCAAACATAATCATAATTACTAGAGTAAGATCCAGGCATCATAGGTGTCCAGTTCTTGTGTGGAACGCAGTACATATCCGTCTGATATGCGAACAGCAATATTGTTTAAACCTGTACTCGAATATCAGAAACATATTCAATTGTCTTGCAATGAAAATACATTCGACACAGTTATAAGATCTTTAGAGAACTTATGAGAGAGCCGTTAACAATATCTTATACATATGTCGGTACATGAACATGATTAATTTACATGACAAAGTATGTCGAATCGGTTAATTGTAAGCATTACTTACTGCGCTGAGTAATTGGTGTAACGTTATAAAAATAAATGAATAATTATTCAGATGGATAAGTAGAGGTAGTTTAATGTATGGTGGTATAACGAACGAATAAACATTATTTTAAAATATATTATTATAATGTAATATTTTTTTATTATTTTTCAGCCGATATTGTGAACTGTTCCAATTTGAAATTGGAAAGTGGGTTTGTGGATTCTCAATGGAACATAAAAACGATGGTGACACTTACGTTCATGAACAATTATCTAGCTCGAGTAGAGCCATTTCCGAATCTTGTTATTAACAAGCTGATCCTATCTCATAATAGAATTGTGAAGATAGACGATTGCACGTTTAAAGAAATCAGGAATCTTACTGATTTGGACCTGAGCCATAATCAACTTACCTCTGAAAAACTTAAACCAAACGTTTTCGAGGTACTACTGCCAGTGACTGTCTATTGTTGTTCAATTACTCGGTATTGTTTAAGCACACCTTTAATTCATATTAAATTATTGTTTTCAGGGACGATTTTCGGATGTCGCCTACGAACCATTGTCAAGATTAGTCACCTTGAACTTGGGCCATAATGCACTTCACACGTTGAATGCAGATTTATTTGAACACATTCCGGATTTAAAAGTCTTAATTCTAGAAGGAAATCCACTGAGGGTCATCGATCACTCGACTACGATAGCGATTGCCGATCTTCCATATTTGGAAGAGCTGGATTTAAGTTACTGTGGTCTCAAAGATTTACCAGATCATTTATTCCACACTCCAAAGTAAGTTAAAATTCTAATACTTGATTAGTTTGGTATATAAAAATTGTTGATTATAGAAATTTACATTTACAGATATTTGACAAAGCTTCATCTAAGAGGTAATGCCTTTACTGATCCGCCAACGGCGCTGGAAGATGCACAAGCTCTACAGTATCTATGCTTGGACGAGAATCCGATTCAAGTAATTACCAGGGAAAATGCATTCCCGTTAATGCCTAACCTAACAGAGCTCAGTCTATGTGGTATGCAGAATCTGACTAAAATTGGAGCAGGTGCATTCTCCGGCTTAATCAGTCTTCAGAGTTTGCACATAGAGAATTCTCCTCTGTTTAGAAAAATCCACGAGGACGCTTTGATTGATAAGGTAAAGTCGTCCAAAACAATTATATAGAAACTCTGTTAAGAATTTGCAGGAATTTAATTTCTATATATGTTATATCCATAGAGAAACGAAGCAGCAGTATGGCCGCCAATAAGGAGATTGGAATTGGGAAACAACGCTTTAATGTATTTACCGGCTGGTTTGATCGCTCGTTGGGACAATTTAGAAGTTCTTGATCTTTCCGACAACAAATGGTCTTGCGATTGTGATAATCAGTATCTGGTTAGATCTTAATTACTGATGGCAATTACGATTTTCGACAGGTATAAATATATCATCTTTTTCAGATCGGTTCGTTACTTCCTGGCGTAGGACAGAAATTAAAAGAATACGAGATCGGCTCTCTGACTTGCGCAGCTCCTCCGGAACACGAGGGCAAGAATTTGAGTTCCTTGGCGAATCGGCACCTCCGTTGTCTCGATTTATATGAAGCCAGACCGGAAAGGGATGCTGCCGTCTTAGTCGGATTACTCATAGGAGTATTACTAGCAATTCCTGTAACTCTAACGCTCTTTGTATTTTGGCAAAGAGGATTCTTCTTCTGCGGTTCTCAGCGTCCAGCCACATTCTCTCGTGCCTTCTACAAAAGAGCAGATAACGACGAGAACATTTAAAAATTTTGATAAATTGCATATAAAATTGCAAAAAGCTTTACGGTACATAAATCGCCAAAGTATGATGTTTAGTTGCATGCGCGATATGATTAATTAGTATATTTCGTTGTAAGATTCATTTTTAAGTTACTGTCCGAGACAAAACCGTGAAACCTGTATATCTCATAATTACGCAAAATACCAAAACAACAATATTCCAATGATATACAGTGAGCAGTACTATTAATAATTGCAAGACAATTATTCCTAATGTAAACTAAAAGCGAACAAAATATTTTCTACAATTTGCTAAGACAATTCATAACCTATAAGAAATGTAAAAAGTTTTCTATTATCCCCACCAAAAATTCATACAGTCCCCTTGCTTAACCGCACATATAATACCTTAGTAGAAATATTTGTCAAACATTTAAACAGCACTTTATCCAAACTTTCATGTACCCAACTACATACAGGAAATCCATCAATCGATCGGCCAGCGCTGCAGCATTCTCCAATCGCAACAAACTTCTCATTTGCTACATCATCCGCATTACCGGTGCTCAGCGACAAGAATCCGTTGCGAAGCAGCGTATTACCGTTACCAAATATCAAGTACAGCACGAGGCAACCGTTTCGCTAATAAGTCTCTTGGGGAGATGACGCCAGTCGTAGGCTTCAATCTTAAGGGGAGTTTCCAGCGGTTCAAGCTCGTGGTTCGTTTTCATGTGGAAGGGCCACGGATTGCAGATTGTAGATTGCCGAGGGACGGACCGATGGACACGCGTCACTAACACAATTACCTTGACGTTAATTTACTCAATAATCGCGGAAGCAAACCCGTCTAAATGCCGGCACGCGCCTCTCTTGTGCGCCACTCATGTAGACCCCCTATATTGCACAGAGACTTCGTGACGTAGGTAGAAGGTATCCCGTATAATTATAACGTAGTATACACATTAGCATACAAAGACGATACGCAATTTGGACTTAGCCCTTCGTTACAGGATTTATTAATTTTAGTAAAAAAAAGCACGTATAGTACTATTCGCGTGAATTATTTTAAATAAACCTTCTTTAATAACATATCCAGAGAAACGTATTTAATATGCATTACTGAAGCGCGAAATTTAAAAATTAATTATCTCGAGCTTGCTCTCTGTATTTCATGGTCTCTTGGAAAATGCACTATACGGAAAATCCTGTATATACGCTATACGATAAGTAATCTAATCCTGTATCTCCGCTCAACATGGTCCTCATCCTCGTCCCTTCAGAAATTCCCGATGTCAATATATTGACTGAGAGTCGAGGTTTCGCCATTGAGGGATCATATACATATATATGCTTGAACTATTTTATAATACACACTGATATATTATTATTTGAATAATAATCAAGATTTTCAAACTTTGAAAATATAATCAGTTAACAATAAAAATTTCTTATGCAAGTAACTAAATGGCGAACAATGGATCATTCAATTTTAAGTGAAATTAGGAATCCTTAGGTGAACGTTTAAAGAGATCATCCCCATTTTTAGAGACGAGAAAGTTTACAATTAGATCTTCCTATATCTGCGGCAAAGTAACGAAATACGCGACGCCTGTGTGTAGAAAAATACATAGAGATACATAAGGAATCGCAATTGACTTGTAAACGTATGGCGAGCACGAAGCGTCGAAGTTTTTTGTCAAAAGAGATGAATATGTATATGCGTATACGTAGATGCGTATACGTATATGAATATATATATATATATCGACGAATACGTAGTCAGTCTTGATATATATATATTTTGTATATAGCTATATATATATATGTCTACGTATACGAATCTCAGCCGGTGAAATGATCGCTGGGTGTCCATGGAAACGTGAACGGGGTTCCGCCTCCGCAATTCTAGGGCCAACCCTGGCGACGCCGAGCGTCGTGACGCCCGCCAATGCGACGCGACCGACCCTGGAAACCCACCCCAGGTTCGATTCACCTAGAGGGTGTGAGTTCACGTTCAATCGCAGGTTGACTGACTGATAGGGGCTAAATGGTGCCAGTGTCTTACAGAGATCTAGCGGATGCTAACACGTGTCAAATTTTTGGAAAGAGTGCAAAAAGCTTTGTGAAAAATATTACAAGCTCGTGTATCTATGGTTGATTTATACGGATTGAGCTTCGTCATTTTTTGACGGCAGGATCCCTGTAGTCAAAATATGTGTGAAGAGGAATATATTGTTACTGGATGAATCTGGTGTGTTTTGATGAATTTTGTGAATTTACGAAAAAACCAGTTTTCGAATGATTTAATTAGAAATTTTTTATGGGTAGAACGAACTAAACGTTATATGACATTGATTTTGTAATTTTTTTTCAAATTAATCAACATAAATTTCATGTATTCAAGTGGTTTCAAAATTCATCACAATTTTTTTTTAATCGCATCGAGTTTCATTCAACGCGAAAACTTTGTCTGCTTTACAAAATTACTCTCGAGACTGGGAAGCAGTTAAGGTTTTGTAAAAAGTGTATAATCCTTAACCAGTACGACGGGATTGATAAAAGTGTAAACGTTCAAGTGTATACGAATAAATATAAAGTTTGAAATCATTAGGACTATCGAGTGCAATAAATTGTATAAAGTATCACCGATGAAATCTGATTTGGGTGAAACTAATAATTTCGCAAATACGCATCCTGATGTCAATTGTCGTTTGAGACGTAATAAAGAAGACCCCTAAATTCCTATCAGATAAGTATAATTGGGGCACGTGAAAAAAGTGGAAAAAATGGCAATAAAAACGATGCCGAAGCTCGTAAAAAAGTAATACAGTTGGACGCTATTAATTTTGAAATATTAAAAAATATACAAGATGCAGTCCACCTGTCCGCAACAGCAGCAGCAACCGCAAAACGGGACATCAGCCAGTAGAACTTCTTTCCTAATTGAAGATATTCTCAGCCGAAGTAGTGTCCCTCCACATGCCCAGCATCAGCTTCACCATCAACTGACACCTTCTCACGTTCAGCAACATCAGCAATATCAGCAATTCGCAAGTTTGCTACCTGGTTATTCCTCTGGCCCGCCAGCAGCTGCCTTCTTCCTGGGGCCGCTTTTCAGCAGTGCAGGAATGGGTGTAGGTGTCGGGGTGGTCCCTGGAGTAAGTGAGCTTGCAGCCCTTAAACACTGCCGACGGCGGAAAGCCAGAACCGTAAGTTCTGATATTGATAACAGTAAGACACAATCTGTAAAAGCCCTGAAAAATTTAGAAATTTGTTGTTTTTTTTTTCAAAACATAATATTTTTCATATTCGTTGTTTAACAAAGCATAATGTGATTGGTGTGAATTCCCGACGTGGTAGGTCTTCAGTGATCAACAATTGGCTGGCTTGGAGGCAAGGTTCGAAGCTCAGAGGTATCTGAGTACACCCGAGAGGGTGGAGCTTGCAGCTGCGTTACACCTCTCCGAGACCCAAGTGAAGACCTGGTTTCAAAATCGACGTATGAAGCACAAGAAGCAACTGCGTAAGCTCAAGACCAGCACAGACGGTAGTGCAAATCAAAATGCTAATCAACAACGCTGTACTGGGCAAGGAGTTTCCGTGAGCTCACCAGCCGGTGAGTAGCAGTTCCTACAGTCTATAGAATAACCACAAGATTTTTAGTATAAGTACTCAAATCACCTTTGAAAAAATTATTATTGTCAAAAGAAAATATCAAACCGAAGATATACTCAGGATCTTTGACTTTCCTGCAATTTCATTATACAAGGAACAACCGCATGGTTAGGCACGTTACCCCCCCATTACTTCAGCCAAACAGTAAAATCTTTGTACGGTCTATACCAAACAATAATTTTGAAGGGTAATACTGAATTAATAAAATAAAATTTGTAGACAGATAAAAATTGCGACATTTAAAGCAGCACGTAGTGCCCAGTAAAAATGTCCTCAAGAATATCCGCAATACACTCATCCATCCTGAGTAACGTTAACGTTATTGCGAGGCAACCTGGTAATTAATGGTAACTGCATTGCTTTATTCTCAAACGACAATCCAAAGTCGCCGCATCGCATCCACCTAACTCCGGTTACTTGAGAAAGCCAAGATGGCTCCGTTTCCAGGGAGTGAAGATGGGTAAGAGAGGTCTTGGAGGTAGGCGGAGGTAGGAGAATGAGAAGAAGGTTGTGGAGGTTGCCGAGGCGATAGGGGCTACAGAGACGGTAGAGATGCTGGAGAAGGAGCTAATAAAGTTACGGAGACATCTTCTGAGGAGCTGGGGATGGCGGATGTCTTGGTTTGAGACTACGTAGGGGTTAGAGACTTGGGGTCTTCGTGATTCGGTCTTCCTGAAAATTAGTCAATTATTGGCTAAGTGCTCGGCCAGACCTACATTTATAATTGTTCCATGCACATCTTAGTCCTTGGTTACTAAGGTCTGACCTAATTGATACCATTTAAACTTTCCCTCGGAAGGAAAAATTATTTGAAACTCACCACGCATCGACAAGCCTTGTTTCCATGTAGAATGACTGTTCGCAGAAAGACCTGTGGACTTTTCATTGAGCGGCGGTCGCGAGTCGCGGGCGAGTAGCGACGCACCCGTTGATTCCGAGGAAGATGAGATCGATGTCCTGGGTGATGAGACTCCGTCACCTACGCAGACACTACATATTTCTAGGAGAAGTTCACCGCCACCTACACCCTTTCTACAATCATCTCACCCGCATCCTGTTGGCATTACGCATCAACCCCATCAGCCACTTCAACGCCAGCAACATCGCTGAGACTCTTGTGAAGGTGAACCGCTTCCTTAGGGAGCATTGTGTTGAAAACTTAACGTAGAATTCTTCATTGGTTCGTATTTTACCGCGAGACTCGCAAAGCCGCGCGTGCAACCGACGATAGAGAATTACGTGAGAGCTAGAAAAAAAAAATTAACTTTTTAGATAAAAGATTGATCTCCGAATGAGTGTTGTTATTTGCTTCAGAATAAATGTCACTTTTTTTTAATAGTAAATAGAATTTTACGAGTGACCGATGAGATTAGATGGTCGTCTTAATGATCCATTGTAATTACGTACGTACATTGTGTACTTATATCTTTTTGACACAGTCTACGAATAATCGTGAACGTGCTTAGAGTCAATACGAACAATAAGGAGCGCACGAGAAACTCGATTCTAGTGTAATGGACATTATTGTAAATATTCATCCCAAACACGATAGGCGATTCTGGATTAGAGGTTAGAATGAGAATTTTTCAATGATGTATTGTCAAGTGATATAAATAATATCTGAGAAAGAGAATAAATCGTTTCTGTTTTTACCTATATCAATTATATAAAAATCCTATGCTCCATTTTTTAATCGCGATATCAGCCTCGTTCATTGTTCTTATTTTTAATTTTTAAATATTGCCGCCTACACACGAAATAAAATCTAATGTTATATATCGTTCGCCACGTGAGAATTCACGACGGTATTAGCGGTCGAAATGCTGCTCGTTTGACATTTTATGGCGTCGCGGGTCACGGACGACGGACAAGTCCTTGCCAAGCATTACCATCCCACTAATTGGCATCCTGACATTTAGCCATTATCCTTTCAGGACATTTTCAAACCTTAACGAGACCTATCGCCCGCTTCACACGTAAATTAGACAACGCGCCGTAAGTCCATGACGTATTTCATAACCTCAAATATTTTCTAGTATCTCCGTGATATCGGAAGAAGCACAGCGTTAGTATGCCCTTTATTATATTATTCAAAAATATATATTTTCCCTCTACAAATACAATTATCGAAGAATTGGTGGGATACCTGACCAATCAGCTACGCATCCGAATATCGTATGCGCGTTGCGTTAAACCTGTTGCGGGGTGGCGGATTTACTCGCATTTTGACGAAAGTTGCCACTTTGTCTACCTCTTGAAGCGGCCCTGGCTTTTTAAGGGAGTGCGGGAGCCCCGGTTGGGGTGAATCCTAATACCCAGATAATGGGAAGTAATTGCAAGGGATCAGAGCGACCGGAGCTACTCTGCTGGTTCAGGGGAGGTACAGGCTGCGCGGCTCGGGGATCGTAATCATGTTATCGGAGCGAAATCACGGGGCACGCTCTCAAATACACAATATCGCTTGCTCCACCGAACGTTGGAACGTTCGGGATATCCGCCTTAAAAACGTGATCGCGCGACGAGATATAGGCTTCAGTAAAAAATGTCAATGGCGTAGCAACAACTTCTGACAGATTATTATTTCCGAGGTCAGTAGTAATTCCATAAACTGAGAATGATTAAAGACAAGTTCAAATAGCTCTGATTAACTGACAGCAACACTAGTTGACACAAGCTATTAGTTGATGAGAATTGCTCGACCTCGCTCTAAAATTTTCTCGATACTCAAGCCTATGACAATTTTTTGTTCAGACAACTTCAGGTTGAACTTCATCCGCCATGTTAAACTTTTAACATACGGCTTCAGACGTGAACCGGTAGCTTGCTGTGCGATAAATGAAGTTACAAGGCATTTATGATGTTTATTGGATTTGTTAAGACGCCTATTATTACGGTACGTAAATAAAGGGGAGATTCGCACCCCTTGTCAAAAGGAATGCAGACAAAATAATGAAATAAAGGACAATGAAGTGGCAGGTACAATAGCTAGTGAAAGGACACCGGGATAGAAGCGAAGGTAGCAGCAAACTAAATGCAGTGGGCGTATTCAATTACTTTCATTTTTTTCAACAGAGGGTGCTGAGCAATATGCACTCGCATAATGTACCTACGAGTTATACGGTGGATGCTGGGTATTCATATAATCCCATCGTGGGACAAGATCAGAGGGATTCGAAGGGTTGATATATTAACCCTTGGCGGTTCCTGTATATGAATAGTACAAGTTAATCATATTAACAAAATTCCTTGCGAAACTTCTGACGGATAAAGCAACGTCCGGAATAAAATTCTATAGAGATTGATAACTTACTGCTGTGCAGCATTGATAAATTTTCTATGAGGTACATAAAACGGCAACATAATATCGTTCCCGTTAAATAGCTTACAGCAGATTGCCTGATACGTACCTCGTGATGTTTTACTGGGCCATTATAATTTGAACGTTGGCTAGTGATTGTGAAACCTGTCCAAATGGAGAAACCGTCAGACTAAAGAGAGTAAAGAGGCTCAGGAACGAAGTTGAATACTGCTGTTAGCCTAACAAGCTGTCAAGACGTCGCCGCATGTCACTTGACGTCTCAACTACCCCTGTGATAAATCCTCTCTCTCTCTCTCTCTCTTTATCGTTCTCTCTTTCTAGTCCCGTGCATCGGGCATCGCCATCCCCTATATAGAATTTCATAGGTTAGGACTATGTATCCCGAGTGCCAATCCAAAAGCGTATACAAGCTAGAATCAAGATAGGGGTTGACTACCCACGTGCCGTTTAACATGATCACTGGGCAATCTGGCCTCATTTCAACCTTCGGTTACTTCAACGCTTCCACTAACAAATAACATTGTCGACGACGTGCGGGAGTGTCCTGATTCGATTTGCACACTAAGAGAGAGGGTGGAAGGTAGTCGTATATGAGGAATCTCAGGGTCCAAAGAATAGGAGAGTCCCGTGAATCATGATCAGCTGATTGAAAGGGAAAAATGGTGGAATCACATTGTATGGAAAAGTGACAAAAGCATGCCAAATTTTGGTGGCAAGTAGCAACGCCATAAAGACAATATTTTAGGTTATAAAATTCTTACTTTCGTTTTTATCTATTTTCTAGGTGAGATCTGGCTATTAGAAGATTCGTGCCGTAACTCGACGGGAGCACGAAAGCAACCTCTAATTAGTCCTGTTATTTAGTTAGGGAGCAAGAGATGCGACAAGTTTACAGCTTGTTCGCGGGTACACTGAGATTCGTATCTCCACGACGTGTTTAAAAATAATTACCAAGGAAGATCCGACGATAGTCACGGAGTTGCCCTCACCTCTGTGCTTCCTGGTGCCTCAAGTGGTCCTCGTTCTGGCGGCATAAAGGCAGACCCCCAGACCCCAGTTCCTCTCATCTTCTCTTGTCACCTCTCACATCCCCTATCTCTCTCACTTTCTCTCTCTCTCTTCCGGGCAATCTCTCGAGAGGTCCTCACCTTTCAACCACTCTATCACAGCGGTTAAAGAAGTAAAGACTAAAGGCTCTTTAAATTTTTCAAGGGCTTAGACGGCTGAAAAGAAGTTGATTCTTGATCATCGTATGTCAGGGGTCAGCCATGATTCTTTTATATCACACACAACGTGTATGGCTCATGTGAGAAGTTGAGAAATGGGAAGCTTCGATTAAATTTTGTATACATTGATAATAAGAAGGAATCTCTTTTATGTCATGCTAATATTTGCAATTTGGTATTTATAATATTTATATTTGTTTACATATATTTTGTATAATATATATATATATATAATATATATATATATATTATAATAATGCAGTGGGCAAAACAGTTATCTTTAATAATAACAGAAACATTTATAAGCTAATTATAGTTGAAGTCATGGAAAGAGAATATGGGGAAGGGGAGTAGGAGAAATGCATTCAGGCTGACAAACGGTGGGTCCTTTATACTCAAAAACAAGATTACTATTAATCATTAGTTGTTAAATACTATGGCATTAAATTTTATAGTTTGGTCTTAAACGATTACGAGCTTACAGCAAGCTCGTTGTATATCCTCTTCTTTCTTTCAGCATCGAGAGCTTCAAGTCTGGAGAACCTTTATACTTGAGTTATCGCGAGAATTTCAAATTATTAAAAATAAATATATTTCTCATGCACTGTTACCGCGCATTACATAATATGCTGAATCTTGCGCAATTAATTGTCCTCTTGTATTTCTCACATTTTCTTATTTTATGGTTAACAATTTTTTTTTTTTTCTAAGCCATCGCTCTCGACTGGCAAAACAGAGAGTAAATTCAGTTTCTTCTTTTTGTTTGCAAAATACCGCAAAATTCAACGTTATAATCTCTTTAGCGATTTCCTAAATGTTTCGCACGAATTATACGATAAATCTTCAGTCTTTGCGAACAACGTTAATTGAATAAAATTAAGAATATAGAAATGAAAAAAGCAAGATAATAAACGAATATATGGAGATTCTATAGTCAGATTAATTTTCCTTGCAATATATCGATTAAATCAACAAAAAACATTCTCACAATTTTATCTAAAATGTATTTTTTTTTCTTTCGAGTCGATGATTTTGTATGATCGATTAATAAATTTTGCTTTACATATATCTATACTGTGTGGGAACAAAGGCGTATGACAGAAGTATGGCAGGATGATGCAAACTTCGAAACATTGTTTTTGCAATAAGAATAATTACAATGTTCCTTGACAGTCCTATATATTACGATAGACACTCTTTCATTTAGTGAATCACGTTACTCGTAGATAATCGGACGATTGTGCGCGAGACACCGTATTCTATTTTTTAAATCATACAGGAAGCTATGCTTCAAATTTTCCAAAGGTTCCCACAAAGAGATCACCTTTTGGATACCACAGCGTTACCTTCGTTTATATCTTTCGTTCATTGCTAAAATAGCTGATCCGAAAGAAAACCATTGACTTCATGCAGAGTATATGGAGAGATTCGTAAATACGCATAATAATTTCTACGAATAGATAATATTGTCATTACATTTGCCAACGAACACTATATCACGCTATTATCAAGCAATTTTTTAATAGAATGTACTACGAGTAACCGTTCTTTTGCACAATTGCCTTACTGACGTATCAATAAAATCAAAAAAGGAACTAACTGTACTTTTTTTCTGAGTCATTTGCCACATAGTTCCTAATCTCGTTATTCGTCCTGGATAAACATTAACGATTTCTTGAAGTCGTTATCGATATTACACAGTCTAATTGTAAGTAATTATTTCTAGCGCCTAGCTGGGATGACAACAGACCCTCTTCGTATAGTAATCTTGATTTCAAGTGAGCTTATTTCTTGTTTCATCAGTAATCGAGCTAATATATAAATCAACTTAATATATTAAATGTGAACTTATGTACTATCATATACAAATGATATTTATAACGCTGCGGACCTGTCCACAATGAAAAACAACGCTCTCGCATATATAATCTATATAAATATAAAATGCTTAATCTAATACGGTTAAATTATAAAGACAAAGAATTCTGTATGTTTCTCATTAGTTCGATTGCTGATGATATCTTGGAAATGTACCAGAGATCGAATGACACATTTTTAATGAAACATGAATGGGTCTTCTCTCAAGAGTTTGGTTATGTAAAAAAGAAGGTAATAATAGTGACCGCATTATGAGAAATACTGATTTTTCAAACACAATTATACTGAACGTAATACTTAAATGTTTCATAATGCAATTTGCCCAATACTCAATATCATTGTGTTGTTACAACTTTGTCTGAAACGATTAACAATTTCACACATAATTACAAACAAGCATACACTAATCCAAATTAATGTAGAATTGAGTTAGTATGCTTTGAGTCTTCAATAATAATTAATATCGTAAAAAGTACATACTCAGTGACTTCAAACAACACATTGTCGAATAGTTCTACTTTTATAAAACGCATTTAATTGTAAGCTAGGATTGTACCTTGTACTCTCTGGTACATTTCAAATGAGTTGGTCGCTATTAACGTAACTGTGCACATGATAAATACATTATTCATTGTTTCTTTCAAATTATCATCAGCTCGTCTTATCTTTCAGATCTATAAAAAAAATCCCACAGGTTCATTCACCTCACTGATGTATAACAATATTGAGTCAATCAATGTATTATCTTCCTTATGAGAAATAAAGCCATATCGAAGAATTCAAAGCTGCAATAGCAAGGAATGTCAACATTTTCCCATCGCACTGTCTTAAATCCAATAAACACTGTACAAACTGCACAGTTAAGTTAACAAACGATGGTAACTTAAGAATTAAAAAAGATAATAAAAACAAAGAAAAATTGTTCAATTCATTCACCATTGAAACATTAGCCGTGGACCACTTTGCCATAACATTATAGCGCACTATGCTATATAATTGTTAACCTCTTTTTTCTCGTACGATACAGTAGGCTTAATTTGCAAAGATAAAGAGAGAGCATGGGACTTATTAATATCACTTGGTCAATGAAGAGAGGGTCTGGAAGCTCGCTGTTTCAATCTGGCTAGTAAAGCTTGCTCTTCATCGTCTTCAGCTCTGGACGTTATCCCGCGAAAGCTCTCCGATCTGTATTTATCTCTGAGAAATGTTCTTCTCTCTTCTTTGTACTTTTCTATCCGCTCGCGACAACGTGGATCGCCAAGATCCAAGCCGCCCAGATTCTTCAGCTGGACTTTTTCGGAACTGCTCGAAGAGGATATTGACAATTCCGTACCGACATTAGGCGTGGAGCTGTGCTGCAAATCTTCGGAAGCTGGCTTCCTGGAGAGTGACGTATCACCGGTCATACGATTGAATTTTCCCTCGTCCAAAGATCGACTCAATGCTGTACGAGTTGCTCTGGCTTGTCGGGCGCGCAAACATGGCGGCAGATGTTGTGATGACGTAATGCTGTTAGGCGGTTCCTCGGATTTACCTCGTGCGCAATCAAGTTCCTGTCTCATTTTACGCTCCCTTACAATTTCTCTACCAATTTCTGAATCAAAGCTCCGTCGATCTCTTGTTACTTCGGAATCGTATCTTCTTCTTGGCGGTATTGGTATGTCGGCTGCGCCACCACCTGATAATCGCTGTAAGGCAAGTTCTTGTAGGATGGTTGCTGTATCCCGAAGAACCACAGATTCATCTACGGGAGAGGATGCGTTTGAGAATGTGCAGGATGAATTTAAGGACGTCGCTTCGGACGCTCCTTCTGGTGCATGAGCAATTTCACAGGGTTCAGCTGCATTTTCGGAAGGTATCACCACTTCCAGGTCATCGCGGAGTTGACTATTTTTTATATTGTTTCTCTTTGCATTCTCGTGAACGTGTTTAGATACATATTTATGTTGTTGAGAATGATTCTGCTGTTTTTGAGGACTATGAGGGTATCCCTGGCATTTGTCTGAATTTTTATCGAATGACTGCTTTTCAGAACATCGAGAAAGATTTCTCTTGCACTCTATGGACGAGTCATTAGAGTAATCGTGACGCTCGGAATTTTTATTAAAATGAGTTTCTTGGTGTACCGAATGGGAACGTTGTTTTTGATACTGAAGACGTTCGTGACTCGCTGCCGATGATTGTGAGTTGTCGAGATTCTTATTTTCGTGCGCTTCGTTCACATTGGTATGATAGACATTTGTATTATTATCAGGAAGACGATAGATCTCGGAGTTCTCATGTTCCATTCGACTAGACTCTTGATCAGATTTTAAATTGACACTTCTTTTGTCATTCCCATTAGTCTGATTCTGAGAATATTTTTGATCCTGAACAGAGCAATTCTCATTTGCAAATCCATTACTTGTTTCTTGTAAATTATATCTTGGATCATTATCCGAAGATTTCTTTTTCTCTTTAGAATCATCCTCGTGGTCCATAAGTTCCTTGCACTCTTTGCTCTCATTAATATCCAACGTCATGTCTCCAGAATCCTGTACCAGGACAGGACTTTCAGTCAAATCACTAGCTCCAATGCAGGACGTATCAGTGTCTACCGTAGAGCCCATAGTAAGATCTAGGGATGTTCTAGAGACATTTTCTGACCTGGAACGTAGTTGTGGTGCATCAATAGCTATGGCAGGATTGACCGTGTCCTCGAGAGGATCCTTTCGACTGCTGGATTCACTGTTTGGCGTCAACGCAGATTCTGTTGTCCTCTCGACCATAACCCATTCCTCAGAGTCATTGGTGGTCGTCGTCAACTGCTGCGTTTCGTTATTGGTAAGCATTTTATCAGAATTATCGCAAATAACAAACCCAGAATCTGGCAAGTCCTCTAGAGTTTGTTCGCAAGACATCGGCGAGTCAAGGTCAGTGTTAGACAATGGCAAGCCTGTTAAATCGTTTACTACCGTACTGGACATGCCTCCAACTGCTACATTCTCATTTTGTGACGCCAAAGATCCATTGCCAGGAGAGTCTGGCTTTCTTGGTTCAGACAAATCAGTACTTTCGCATCGCGCTGTGTTCTCTTCAGCTAGGTAGCAACTTGATCTATCCGACGAAGCAGTGTCCTTGCAGGGTGAGGTCATCCTACTGGATACTGTGACCTCACTACAGGGAGAAGCTAATCTATCGCATGGTGTCATTTCCTGATCTAACGATTCTGATACAGTACCGTTAGATTCACTCTTTTTCTGCAGATCGGAAGACCCTTTTACGCGAGTGTCATAACACTCTACGAGTCTATCATATGTCGGTATCCTCTCGCAGGATTGAACGCCATTCCGATCGTCTAAATTAATGGAGAGTCTATGACTAGAATCGGCTATTCTGTCGGAAGACGCGCTGCTTCTATTTAATTTATCTCTGCTAGGTTGCTCGTCATTGGTGTCTAAAGGTAAAGTGAAACTTCGAAAACTTATCCTAGGACTGTTAGCCGGCACTGGGGAAATAGACAACGGTGTTCCTTGCAATGTCGCTGGTGTCAATGGTGTCGATGCTTCGGATAGGAGAGGCAAATATCCTGGAGTTGGCAATGGTGATGGTGTTTCTTGTCCATGAATATCAGCAGATACCATCACCTAATATAGAAAAAGGAGCAAATTATTAAACTTATAGGAATAGAATTTAGTTTCAATGTCTACAGTCATTTTTTACATTGATCTATTCTTACCTGATCTGGGCTTTGACTATCGATGAAACGTAATTCAACGTCGCAATGTAACCTCTCCTCCAATCTGGACCTTTTCCTCTTTGATCCACCACTTGCTGCAGCGCATTGAGGACCTTCCGTTCTCTGTCGTCTTGGAGAAGCTTCCACTGAGGCTACACCTCCTTCTTCCTCGGAGAACATTCTCATTTCTCTCTCCTCGAGGTCAAAGTTCAGTTGTATCTCAGAGAGATCCAATGGCGATGTAGTGTTAGGCGCGTCGGCCAGGTGATCAAAATACGAATCGTGCGAGACCGACCGACTATGTCCACAAGGTCTTGTGGGTGGCGGTCCCAGAAGAGGCCCTAAGCTGTCTTCACCATCCAGACTATCTGCACTCTTTACGGGTCTGAGTCGTCGCAAGGAATTCAAGGAACTTGGCATTGTTTCTACTTGAGGTGGAGTGCCGACTTGTCGTGCTTTACCTCTAGCACCCAAACCGCCTCTACTAAACAAGGCTCTCCAATTCAAGGACGGTGAACGTTTCGATCCATGCCTCTTTCTCGGCAACTCTATCACTGTATGATATTGCAGAGGAAGACCAGCTGGTCCAGCTCCAACTTCAATGTAATCAGGTTCACCCCGTAAAGTCCTATTCCTGGCTTCTTCGAGACTCAGAAGCCTCGCAGAAGTTGTTATGGCCAAAGACTTAGGTCTGCCAACTGGTCCATCGCCAAAGATCAATTCAGCATAGCAAACCAGAAACTCCGTCACGACTGCTTGCACTCCGACACCCTGAAGTGCTGCTACCCCGCCAACTTCCAGTTCCTTACAGCGTAGAAGGTTCGGTGCCCAGACGATGGCAACGTTCCTTGGTGTCATTCCCGTATCAGCCCCACGAGCAGCTACTCGTGCAAGGTGACGCATCAGGTATTCCAACGTTCTGAAAACAGAATAAATTTGTCATACGAACAAACACATCACAAATCACTCTGAACCCTCTGATAAAAAGTTCGACTTCGTTTAATCTTAGAAAATTCTTTATATTTACCTGTAATGTGGGGGTGGTAATTTCCTAACAGCATCTCGCATTCTTCTTAATCTCTCTGCATCGCTGCTAGCTTGAACAGCTCCAACGAACGTAGAATAAAGCTGGTACGTGCACAATGGATTGGGTAGTTCTCTAAAGTACATCTTCAGTAAGGAGGCCACAGAATGTATATCCTGAAGGATACTCTCATCGGAGTGCAAAGCAGGAACTCGATCCTCATCGAAAGCATGCCGTAACCTTTGAATATTCGACGTGACGCCACTTAACCGATAAATTCCATCGACTAAGCCGTGATTCTCGATGAACTCGGCACAACAAGTAAGCACCGTTGGTACTGGACAGACAGATTTATACGTTGTATAATTAACCAATTGTATATAAGTGAACTAAGTAAATGTTCAAATTAAGTAAATGTACCATCATGACCAGAGTTCAAGAGATGTTCACCCAAGTCGCAACCGAAAACTCGTTCCTTCAGTATTCCTGACTGTTTTAGTCGTCTTCTAGATGGCCTATTTAAAATAAACGACCTGAAGAAAGCAATGAGCTTCCCGTGCTTCCTGAGGACTGGTTTAACTGGTAACCTTGAACGCACTGTCGTGGAGACTGTCAGATGACGCGGTACTTTATCCCCAATGACTGCGACACATTCAGCTGGGAAAAATCCAACTGCAAAGCCATGTTTTCCGCGCCACCAAGTGCTTTCTCCTGGTGGTGGCATGTCTATCACGGATATCATATCTCCAACCTTGAACAGTTATATTAAAATGACATTAGGCCTAAGTAATAAACGTACCACATGAAGCTATAACTGAAGTAATAATTGAGGAAACAGATGAGTTTGAGTTAGACCTAACGAATAACAGAATCTTCTCACAATAATAGTGAGTGCGAAGGATGTTTGGACAAGTGGAAATATTTTATGATGCCTACGGTGCTCAATACATTTTTGCCACACGTAATTAGTAAAAGCTTCAGACCACATTAAACGATAAGACATGTGTCTCAGAAGAAATAATGAAAAACAGCTATAAAGCGTTGATGCTATTGTAAAAAAAATAATTTTCAGCGACACCAAGTCTGCATCTCAAAGTTTTTCAATACATAATGAAGGATTACGAAGCCTGACACTTGTTTATTGATCCCAATTAATAGTATTCCTTACGTAAGAACCTTATGCTACTCTCATAACATTCTTTCTTCAATTAGCGAGCATCGCGTTAGCGTATCATTTTCACACGCAGCTGCTTGAGCCATTAATTCCTACTGTATTCTATGGAAAGCATTAAAGTTTTGAATAGTCACACAGACTAATGGCTCGAGTAACGGATACTCCGTACAGAGTGTACTGCATTTTCCAGATATCCTTCAGATTAAAATTAGGTTCGGTTGGGGAATGAATAAATGAAATCCAACAATATTCCAGATAAAGAAACAGAAATAAAAAATAATCAGTCTCTCAGGTTTACTCCATCTGAAAAATACGCATAATATAAAGTTTAATGCACATCCTGCGTGATTACCCTGCTTTATAAACCGTTATAATAGTCTTAGGAGTGTTAATTAAAGATACCCAAGGAAGTATTAGCCGAGACACGTTCAAGCGTACAAGAACTGGTATAATGGGTTACGAGGCAGCACTTATTAGTCATAAAAAGAAGTAATATGAAAGTAATAATAATCAAGTAAAATCAATAATGCATATATCTTACCTGAAAAGATATTTCATCTTGTGCCTGAGCTGTATACGGTCTCACTGCATAAGCAGCAGCCACCGCAGGTGTGTTTATAGGACAAGAGTCAGATTCCGGTACGAGAATACGTCTTCCTCTGTTATCCAGTTGAAGCCAATTCAGTACTGGACCACAATTTAAACCTTCGTGATTGAGCTGTGAGAACCGACCCAAATAATTCCTCAAAACGTCGGTAGTGCTCTCTGGCTGAGCATCAGGCAGTTTCGTCAACGATGAAAACTTTCGATCGAATATGCATCGATGAAGCTGCTTGTCGAACATGACGAAGTTATCGTACGAACGCTGCAGGGTCCAGCAAGCATCCCCGGATGTCACCCTGACGGCATAAGTGTCTGCATCGTTAGGACTCTCGCTGACGGAAACCTGGAACGACACATAACGAATGCACAACTGTCTACTAAATCAATGGGACAAATCGTCGCACAATTCTTACGTTATATAATACCTCTTTTTATTAATAAAATATTATTGATACTTAGATTAAGAGTGCAGTCAGACGTGCGTACAGTGTCTCATTATATTCCATCAACTCCCGTGCATACATACCGAACCGAGTATAATATCCATTATTTACTATACACGGATCTCAAATGAGAAATACTGTCCAAGTCAGACTCACAAGGAACAAAGAGGTTTCTCTGAGCACTGTTAGAGTATCATTCGTCGAAGCACTGAGCAAAACACTTAAATAACAGGGAAAGTAATGATTAATCGATACCGTCTCTTTTCTTTTTTCTTTTTTTTTTTTTTACACCAAGCTTATGTAACACCACGGGCTACGAACACCTAATGCAGCATGAATCTTTAATCGGTCAACACTATGAAAAGTCAATTACTGCCGATTTATAAGTTTCGCAAGGCGATCCCAAAGCGGATAGCGCAATACTGTTTACTCTGCCCACCATTTATAACTTCACGATGAAAGTAACGTGCTGCGAAACACGGACTTAACCAACTTGACGGATCGTAAAGACAAACGTTATTTTAGATTTATGCGTTACGGCTGCCAACGTACTTCTAAGGCTCCGAGTTCCACGTGCTCGTAATGAAAGTGGGCGCACTCGTCCAATTTTGGAAATCTTGCCATGCTGCCCATGTTGTTTCCGGAGCTACCTGTTGCGCCAAAGTCATCCGTTCGACTGCATCCCAACCCCTGTAAGAGAACAAATATCTTATTTAAGTATTGCAATCTTAAGACAGCTAGTTGATAGAGCGTCGTGTGCTTAGAGGTTACTTTAATAGCGAGGAGAAGGAACGTTGACGAGTCTGCTTTAACGATTAAAGACAGAGTAACGCAAGAGACCAAATGATGAATCATCAGGCGTGAAAACGCTAAATGCATAGACTACAAACGATCCTCTGAGCAAAGACAGCATATGAATACATAATCATCGGAAGAGCAATTGTGGATGATTCAATGAAATCAGTTAATTAATTAATCTTTTTATCAAGGAACGCCTCGTCGGATACTCTTGAGAAATATTCGCAAGACTTAAATAATGCTATCGAGTTAAGTCACTTTAAATCAAAATAATTCAATTCCGCCATTACCTTGTGGACGCTCCAACGTTCTAGAACTTTTACGAACGATTCGCTTAAGAGCGTCGATGCTTTTCAGTCTCTATCGTACAAATTAAAGTGTCTTTGGGCTCAAGGAAAATATGAAAAATGGGTTAGTAAGCATTCCATTCGAATAAATTGACGCTTCTCAGTTATTTTTATCGACTTAACCCAGCTGTCAATACTCATTGTCGTTACACTCCTTTGTCAAAAGTGAATGGAGGAGCTGCTATTTCGTTAGACACACACTCGTATGACGTAAGTAGAGTAAAATAGATTTTGAAGCAGCCCATTAAAGGGAAACATGACGTACTGTACATACATAAGTAAACCTATATGAAACACGTGGAGCGTTACAATTTTTAGATATAAATATTTTTCTTGTTCGCAACGTGCGAATTTTCCGAAAAAAAAAAAAAAAAAAAAAAAAAAAA